CATAATACAATGTATTGAATTAAGCTTGTTATTATGGCATCATTGATGTTGGTCCCAACTTCTGCAGTTATAGGCCAGATGAATCCTTGTACTGTTGTACAGGTGGTACCTCACAATTTTACTCTAATCTGTTTTCAGACTAGTGTTGAATTTCAAAGCAGTCAAATTGCAAGACATTTTGAAAAACTGAGAAATATCAGCACAAAAATGCAGAAAAAGTAGCAAAAGCAGGTCAAATTCAGGGCAGAGGTCAAAGTACAGGTCAACCTCCCTGCAGAATTTAACCATTGAATAGTGGGAGGTCAAATTGTGAGGTACCACCTTAACTGCATTTATTCACTACCATATACTGTATATGCACCCTTGGCCTTGGGTAAGACCATGAGGACCTCCAATTTTTAGCCTTAAATTCTATGTTGAACCAATCTCAAAGTAAAACATGCATCCTATTCATGTGATTAAAAATTGCAATACTCACAAATAATCTAACAAAATTTGAATATTAACTTCAATTCAACCTGAATGCAAATGGTTTGTCATTTTTGATAATATTGTCTTAGATGTATACTGAATTGCATGTGCCCAACATTTCCCATGTTGGGCTAAAATATAAGAGGTACATGTAGACTTCAGAGAAGTAGGAATCATTGATACCTGCTGCTCATATAACTTCCTTTTTTTCCTAATTTTGGGAAAGGTGGGCCACATGATGGTACACAAGTACATATATTCCAATTTTCCAAAAGAATAACCGTGCAGAAAGCTTTATGAAGAGGGCTGGCAGGAAATTGAGGGTATGTTGGTTGTGCATATGAGATAATGGTACACCATATGGTGCATCATTAAATTTGAGGTACAAATATGTTTTTGGCTTGTGCCACTGTTCATCATACAAAGGGGGAAATAATAACTGATGTTCTCACAAGTGTCTGGATGATATTCAATGAGCAGTTACTATATCTCAATATGCTTTTTTTCTTTTTCAGGCCAGCAAGGAAAGCTGCTGCCAGTCTTCTGCATGTCAGGGTTTACCCAACACCATTCATTCAGTTTCTGGGTGTTGCTCTGCCATATCCCATGCCACTGATTCCAGTGAACATAGTCATTCATCCGAAGTTTATTTACTGTAAGAGAACGTTTGTCGTGGGTGTCTAAACAATTTGATTTTTATTAAAGATGTGAACCATACTTCATATTAAATTCGTCAAAAAATAGCATTTTCATCGGAATTTCAATGACACTATATTTTTGAAATTTTAAAATGAAAGGTCTTCATCAAATGAGGAAGTAGCTCCTCCAGGCATTTGGAGATCGGATTTTTGCATATAAATTCAACAGTCATGTTTCACTTGATTTTAACAAAACTACAAATAAAATGAGCGTCAATCATCAGATATGAATTTTTAATGATAATTTTTAGAAATTGTTTTCAAGTTTTTGCTTTGTATGAGTTCCCTGTGCTCGAAATATTTGACTCTTCACGGCTGCAGGTTGAATTTTGTAGCTTCCAAAGTTCTTATCTCCATAAATTTACTTCATGTATACTTTTACTATTGAAATGTGACTTGCGGTAAAAAATATCATTTATTAATTGTAAGTATACGGTATCATATTCAGTTATTTGTGCTTGATGCGTATATATGACTTGTGCAAAGAAAGTTGCACAGCAGTGAGTTCTCAGACTTCTCACTTGATGAACTGATCAATTCCTGGATGAGTTTTGTTATTGCGCATAAATTTACAATACTGTATAATTCCCTTCTGCTATAAATGGAAAATATTTAATGCATTCCATCAGACAGTCAAAAAGACCTTAAACCCCACACTGTATTCTTCAAAATATCCTTTATTTATGGGCACAAAAAATTAGGTTATCCTCATTGTCAAAAATATTTGTTGTGGTTACATTTTTGTTATGTGCAGAGACCCTCTGGCCTTGCTGGTTATGGCATCAATCATACAAACTGTAAAATGTGCAGTATCAAATAATAATGATTAAAATTGTCTTGTGTCATGGGAATTGAATTGAAATTTCTGCGACGGGTCCAGCATCAGACCATTCATCCACATCCAGCCAAAAAACAAAAAAAAACGAAGAAAAAAACACGCACATTCAGATATATAATATTTGTATTGTACGATTCCCAGCTAACTTGATGTTTGATGCGGCCATTTTAACAATGGCGATGCCCTTCACGCTCCTCCCAGGAATTTTTAATGATAATTTTTAGAAATTGTTTTCAAGTTTTTGCTTTGTATGAGTTCCCTGTGCTCGAAATATTTGACTCTTCACGGCTGCAGGTTGAATTTTGTAGCTTCCAAAGTTCTTATCTCCATACATTTACTTCATGTATTCATATGTGACTTGCGGTAAAATTATCATTTATTAATTGTAGGTATACGGTATCATATTCACAGTTATTTGTGCTTGATGTGTATATAGTGACTTGTGCAAAGAAAGTTGCACAGCAGTGAGTTCTCAGACTTCTCACTTGAAGAACTGATCAATTCCTGGATGATTTTTGCTATTGCGCACAAATTTACAATACTGTATAATTCCCTTCTGCTATAAATGGAAAATATTTAATGCATTCCATCAGACAGTCGAAAAGACCTTAAAGCCCTGCACTTAGTATGAAATTGTGAGTATAATACTGTATTCTTCAGAATATCCTTTATTTATGGGCACAAAAAAATTAGGTTATCCTCATTCTGTCAAAAATATTTGTTGTGGTTACATTTTTGTTATATGCAGAGACCCACTGGCCTTGCTGGTCATGTCATCCCCCATACAAACTGTAAAATGAAAATGTGCAGTATTAAATAATTATTATTAAAATTGTCTTGTGTCATGGGAATTGAATTGAAATTTCTGCGACGGGTCCAGCATCAGACCATTCATCCACATCCAGCCAAAAAACAAAAAAAAAACGAAGAAAAAAACACGCACATTCAGATATATAATATTTGTATTGTACGATTCCCAGCTAACTTGATGTTTGATGCGGCCATTTTAACAATGGCGATGCCCTTCACGCTCCTCCCAGGAGTAAGCCCAGTTGGTCTGCCGAGGGAACCAGGAATGCCAGAAATTGGAACTGTGGCTCAGGTGGCAGGTTTTGGGGTTCAAGTTCCAGGTTAGCATTTGCTGGATTGCCTGTTAAATGGATACTGTCATTTTTTTGAATCCACATTGAGATGATTCATACAGCAGTTCCATATTCAGAGGGATTTCAGAACCATGGGAATAATTTTTAATTAAAACTAAGGCTTCTTCAACATACATTTTGCGCAGGTAATCAGCGACCTTCTGGAAGCATGCAACTCACTTTGATGGAGATTGTGGATAACATGAAATGCACCCAGGACCCGCTGAGCACAGTCTATGGAGAGACTCTTTTGTGTGGGCAGAGTGTTGAGAAGAAGTCAAATATCTGTTACGTGAGTAGCACCCTTTACATCGGAATATTGTTGCTCATACAATACTTGAAATTAAGTGTTGCTTGAACTGAAGTTGAATTACAGTATAGATATTTACATCTGATGGCCGTGTTACACAAGTGGACTCATTCCATACAGCAAGTCATAGAAAACCAGAATAATTTTTTTTGGAGAACCAACATCACTATATGATAGGATGAGTCATGGGACCCTCAAAATTCTTCATACAGATATACCAATTTTGAATAAAGTCATTGCAGGGAGAGTATACCTGTGTAAGCTCCATGTACGTAAGCTCAAAGGGTCTGTATATATGCTGAACAGAATATGGCTACTTCTTGATGAATTATTCATGGACACACGCGTTCTTTCCTTATACAGTATGCAGGACAATTCTGAAAGGTAGGCTGGTGAGAAGTCTGAGAACTGAAAATATTAATGTTCAGTAAATTTACCGGCAAGTGTCTCCCCCAGGAGGGAGACATACAGTACTGTATTAGGGTTTAACCTTTTTCAAGAGGTTGGTACGCTAGAATTACAGTACTGACGAATGAATTTGGCGCGCGTTGATACTGTCGGCTTGTAACTTATGAATGTTGAGTCGCCCATTTGAATTATTCGAGGACGATGTTGAATTGAATGTACTGAGTACAGTACTGTATCTGAATTGGTAAATTACTCAGAATTCGTAAAATGAAGCGACCGGCGTTCTTTCAGGGAGATAGTGGAGGCCCATTGGTGGTGACGTCACCCACTGGCTACATTCTAGTGGGAATCAGTTCCTTTGTGACGCAAACCGGTTGCGTGCCCGGAGGTCCAGCGGGGTTCACAAACGTTTCCTACATCACGCCGTGGATCCAATCTCAAACATCGGAATTGCCTCGCTGGAGCAGAACTGTCCCCATGTTCTTCCGGATTCTGTCCTGATCTAGCAGTTGATCAAAATTTGACTTATCGTAACCGTGAAGTTCTTTTCGATTTTCTGCGTTCAGATCTCAAAACTTTTTGTTGCGGTTCGTCTCACGCGTACCCTCGTTCAGCCGCTTGACTTCGAGGGATCGTGTCAGGACATTCATGTGCGATTAATTAATGCGAATAAAAGTGAAGTTCTACAAACCCATACAATTATGCTCTAATACTCACGATTATTCCATTGAAGGCGAAGTAGGATACCCTGTACCCGTCCTTCCGCAATTTAAAACCATCACAAAATTACATGAACCGAAAAGAGCTTTCGGCGCTGCAGAAAGAACAACCCTACTTCCTCAAGCAAGTGTTGAGTGCATCTTCTCGACATTTCTACAACTGTAATCTATTGAACGTGATGCATTCTGAGTTTCTGACTGAGGTTGACATAAACTCTCAACTGAAATTAATTTCGAGACTTGTAAGTTAGTCTGCTGCAGTCCCATCTGGCGCTATACACTTATACCTGTACAGTACTTCCATGCCCTGCCACTTGCTGGCATGAACATCTCTTCGCGCATTGTTTCCCATCACGAATAAGAGTGATCAACCAAAAAAGATATATAATGTATTACCATTAAAACAGAGAGCAGTTGACTTCTAAGTGAATGGAATTTTATTACCGTTCGAAAATCCGCTTAAATCCACCGGAGCTTGCAGAAACCAAAGCACTTGACCTTACGGATTCCCTCAACTCCGATGACGATGGAGAACTTTAAGAGAGAACGGAACACACTCCGCGTGACCAACACAGAGTTGATTAAATCCAAGAAGCACCGCGCCACAACTCGAAAAACGAAGCATCGCTGTTCAGAACATATCTGAAGAAATTGAGAAAAAAAAGAAGAACCAACGTAGAAAAATCAATGACGCGCTTGAAGATCGCGGAACTTTTTCCACTTGCCGAAAAAATTCCGTAGAAGACAGACCTACCCATCATGACGTTATACGGTTCCATCCGCCATCACACAGACAAGAACTCTGAGAGATGATTTAATGAATTCTTTCGTTAAGCTCGAAACTATTACGAGTCGACGGACACGAACGAACGTTACATTCACTGGAAAACTCCGATAGAAGTCTTCAAATAAAACAAAACAACGAGCTTAACGCGTTACGGAAACCCAAGCATATTGTGAGGATTGTGAGAGGATACAGAACGCGCTAACAATTGTAACTAATCACTAAGAGTCGACTTCCATCTTCTCTCCTGATCGGTCACCGGTCGCACCTGCATCCCCTTCTGTCGCCTTTTGATCGGTGTGTTGCTCGGATTTCCCTCCGGTCTTTGCAGGTTCTTCAGGAGGGGTTTCCACTTTTGGCTTTGGCTTGGGTTTATTCAGGATCGAGCTCACTGATGCATCGAGGCTCTGAAACACAACACGAAGTCATTAGAAACCACTTCGTTCGGTCCGATCCTCTTTCTTTCCAAAACGAAACCTCTTTTCAGTCTATTGCACAAGATGATAATTCCTCAAGAGGATAAGAAGTTCAACTGTAAATAACTCACTACGCATCAAATTATATCGTGCCCATCAATGTCAATGTCCACCGATAGGTGCTTCAATTAGCTTCGGTCAGATAGATTCGTTTGATTAGTCTGGAGAAATTGTCTCATTATATAAATGTTCAGGTTGCGAGGACAGGTCATTCAAAATAGCTTCAGTACTTCGAGACGGATTAGTGTATGAAGTCGAACTTCAAGGGACCAGCAAACAATTTTTGTTTAGGAATGCTGTTGGTTAGAGAGAAAAAACAAAAGCATTTTAGTTGGGGGAAAGAAGTAGAATTAACGGTCTCCAGAAAAGTTGAGTTATGACGGTTTAAGGAGGGAAGGTTTCGAGTGGGGGAGATTTTGAATGCTTTACTTTCAAGATAATTCAGAGAGGGACTACAAAAAACTACAAAAAATTCCAAGTCTTTGATTTATGGAGGTATTTGATTATTTGATTTATGGAGGTTCAAACTGTACGTTTGGCTAATTTCGTCAACACTTGGGATATTCGAGACAGGTTTAATGATGGACAATGGGATATTGAACTTAATAGAAGTTCATGCATCGTAACGGTAGAGTTAGACAGTCGTTCGCTTTTCATCAACTTTTTCTCAAGCGTACATTTCCACGAAGTCGTAGAGCAATTTGACAAGTTTCTAAAAGAGTTCAGTTCAAATACCTCTCGGGAAGATAAAAAAGACGAATGAAGCAGCTTTCCGTAATAACCGAAGGATTCACGTAAATACCGATCGGCTACTTCGACTGTTGAACTATTTAGAATACGAGTAATCCCATAATTGATTCAGAAGAAATGTCAACATTTGTGTAAATCACTGTGCTGGTCATTCACACACCTGCTTCTCGTTACGGACTTGCTGTACGAGAATGGGAGGATCAACGTGCTTCGGCAGTCCAGCGGCAGTCGTCAAGGCGGTGTTAAACCACTTTTCCTTTTCTGCCACCGCATTTGCGACCTTCTCCATTTCCGAAGCATCCAGATGATCGTAGCTATTGAATTAAATCTCCCGTTAGGTCAGAAATTGCGGGCACGACATATTCAAAAGAATCGAACACTAACCGTTCATCCTTCGCAGCATACAAATCCAGAGCTTTTCTCACAAGTTGTAAAGCTCCTCCTAGTTCATCCAAAGCTCTCGGCCTTTCCTCAAATTCCCTTTTCCGCTTTACTGGGGGATCCCCTACATGACGCAGCTGCACTAATCTGTCAACGTATACATTCCTGGCACAATCCTCTCCTTCGTTGTACAGCCATTCTTCGGTAGCATCCAAAGAACTGAGGAAGCTTTCCCTACACAGCAATAAAAGTTCAAGTTTATCTCCAGTTCAAGGACGCATTCCCCTTCACGAAAATTGAGTAAAAAATATCGGTGCGTCTAGAATTTCGAAGGAAGACTCGAATAAAAACGGTCCAAAATTTAATTGAAATCGTTTATCCCGCCAGCTACAACGAAAGGGCACGATGAACAGTATTTTGATTCCTGCTAGAACAGTATTTAAAGGATTGAGCTAGTAACTTCAGGTTGTTTAACATGAAACTCCTCCGATTCTCAAAAAAAAAAAAAAATTAAAATCTCTTATCTTCAATAATTAACTCAATTCTCAAGTCGCATGCATAAATACAGGTGATCCTTATAATCGATGGAGTATCCATTCGATTAAATACGGGTGTAATTGTCAAACTCACCGTTCTTGAGGCGGCAAAAACTCTCCCAAGCTTTCGTTCACCTTTCCTCTCATATCGTACACGTACTCTTCGACGGCATTTCTCGCATCGGCTCGTTCCTTCTCCTGCTTGTCATTTGCTATCAATTTTCCCTGCGAAAAGAAATAATGAAAGTTTATTTTAGGAACCCGAATACGATACATAGAAAGCTATAGAAAACAATACATTAGTCGGTGACTCACTTCAATTTCTGTGAAGAGATCCAGCCGCTCCTTCGACAACTGGAACACGAGGCTCTCGATCGGAAGATCAACACTTCGGACAGTTGGTTTGCTCGGCTTCTTTTTATCCTCCTTACCGGTCTTCTCCTCAGCAGGCTAAAACGTAGACATACTGATATTTTCATTCGAGTTCGCCGTGACCATCGAAGATTGACTTTTATAACGCTTTCAGAGCCGAAAATATAATCCTTTGGCAACCTCTAGGAATCGCACGGCGTCCAAGAGAACCTTGGATACCAGCAACTCCTCTTCACAAGGAAGGCGAGATTGCGATTCAGAGAATGGATATTCGGTATCATCATTTGGAGAATTCAAGCATTGAACGCCGGTGTTGTCGGAATTTCTCGGACTGATAACAACATGCCCCTGAGATTGATTTCAAATTCGCAGAAAACATAAAAACTTCCTTAGCATAAACCTAGACATTTTAGGTCTTTCACACGACCACCACTGATAGAAAAATTTTCAAGTACATTTACAGAAACGTTGCACTCAAATACCGCTTCTCAGCTTTTGTTAAAGATTATTCATTTTGCCAGAGCTACGCTAGTTCGAGCTTCGTCTTAGAACGATTCCCTTCATGACTCATTCGAAATCATATCCCCTTCGTAAAAAATTTAAAATCGGTGGAACATATACAAGCCTAACGGATTTTTCTACATCACTGAAAAATACATATAAGAACTGTTCCATAGTTTTACAGCACTTGATCGAAAATTTCGACTCGGAAAAAAGTTCATCGATAAATCAGGTTGAACCTTTTTATGTGAGAAAAATTTCGAAATTCGTCTGGAACGAAAATTTCCAAGTTCTGAGCAAGTCCGAGGTCTTCAACAATACCCTCGCTCTGTAGCAATCCCAAATCCTTTCTCACCTCGGAAATTTTCTCGGTTCCATCTGTTTCCATCTTCTCATTATCCTTCAGAAGAAAATCTCAATCAATTGTGTATTCTCCGAATGGAAGAATCACAAACATACTTGTGTATTCGCAGGCCCGTTCTGTTTATCATTTTTCTGAGGTGTTTTCGGCCCTTCCGCATTTGCAGCTTCACTCGCATCCATGGCATCTTCCTCCTTCGGTGGCACTGGTTCGATCAGTGAGGCAGACGAAATCAAGAAAATGCCGTTTACGTTGATTCGCGCCTTCACCTTAACCTTCGAGCTTTCTCCCGTGGCAGTTGGTTTAACGCCCTGTACGCGGTACTGACCTAATAAAAAATAAAAAACGAACTTCGTGAGGCAGGGATCGATTGAAGTGAAGCAGAAATAGAGAACCCACCAATGAAGTTGTTCGCCAATGGCACATCGCCGTCGTAATAAGCTTCCAATGTGAAAGCGTCCGATCGGTAAAACGTCAGCATTTTGGAGAAAGGTACGGAATGATACTTCGGAAAGACTTCCATTTGCCTGGGAGCAGAATCCAGATCGATGAAAATAATGTAGTTAGCATCACAAGCGAAAATTAAAACAGCTCTAATTTCGTCTGAATGGTCATGAAAATCCGAAGTGGTATAATATTCAATTTATCTTTTACTAATGGAATGGTATTAATCTTTACTTCTCTTTGAAAATGTTTCACTCGAGGGAAATGCAGCACAGAACAGATGAGCGAGAATTAATCTCATCCATCATCACTGGCTGACTTCATTCGAGTATATTTCGTCAGTGTAAGCCACCCGAAATATTCGTATTTCTTACTCTTCTTTTCATACTATTACTTCGTCAAATAAGGCATCCTGTCAGTGCCTGCTACTCACCCATCTTCATGATTCGGACCTCGCCATTTCAGAATGATCGGATAAATCTGAATGTCGGTGACGTTGAACTCGCGGACTTTGAAAGCAGGCGACAACATGGCCGATTGCAATGCACATCCCCTTGAAACTGCTTCATCCTGTTTAAATACATGCCTCATGAACAGAACTTCTTCGAAAGCAACCATGTGACAATACCTGATTCAATGTGGTTGAAGGAGTCTGTCCAAAAACGTCTTTTATTAGATTCTTTACGGCAGGAACACGAGTAGACCCACCAACGATTTCTACTCCGTAAATGTCATCCAGTTTCAAACCTTTAAAAATGAAAAAATTGTTTTACCAGAGATCTTTGAAGAGAACAATAAAAACGTACCGCAATCGGCTAATCCCCGCTTCAGCAGAGTATGCGCTCGTTCAAGTAAAGGTGCGATCAGCAGCTCAAAATCCTCTCTAGGAGAGAAAGCGTCCGCGGTCAGTAACTCCTTACGTAGCGATGAAACTAAAGCCTACCTTTTCATCGTAGATGTCACATCCTTATCGTCCATTAGGCATTCAATACCAAACGGTAGCTGAGTAGAATTGGCGGACATCTGCTTCTTCAACTTTTCCACCTCGGTCGTCAGCCGTAGCCAGGCTCTGGAGTTCGTAGCGACATCCATCTTGTACTTCCCGATGAATTCGTTTCGGAAATGCTGCGCCAACGCGAGATCTAAGTCACGGCCGCCTAACGTGGGATCGCTCACGCAGGAAAGCATCTGAAGCATGAATAATTTCGATGATCACATAAAACACAATGCGATGCAAGTTTCGCTTGATCAAGTATGATTCTTAGCCAACCCAGAATAGAAGCAAGCGCCTTCAGGATAGTCCCTATTTTCGCCATTTGCGTGTCAAATCTTCTACCGCTTTTCTTGCCGAAAAATAGTGTGAGGATTCATCGTAAGGGTAATCACGTCAGAAGTATTCAAGTAAAACGAGGGAAGCTCAAAGCCAGGTGTCATCTTAATATTTAAAACTGAAAGGAGGTGAGAGCCAAGGGTCAAGCATCCAAGACTCAATCGAATATAAAATTCGAGTAGTTCTGCATTAGTTCATGCGCCCGTTCATATCTTTAATTGTGCTGCATCGAAGTAATGATCGAAGTGATTTGAATGTACAAAATAGCAAGGAAATCTCAACCTGTTATCGATAACTTGGGGCTCAGACCGTGTGAAACTGTCTCATACAGAAAATGTCGACGCATACCTTGAGCTTTCCTTTGTTGTACGCAGCCGCGTAAACCTGCATACTGGAGTACCCCACATCGACGAACACGACATTCCTGGGTTTCTCTTCCACGTTTGGGAGATCAGTACGATAAAGCCCGTAGGCCAACGCAACGGCAGTAGAATCATTCATCTGCTTCAACACATTAAAACCTGCTATGGTGGCGGCGTCAAGCAGTGCTCGTCGCTCAGGATCAGTGAAATAGCTCGGAACCTGAAATAGTGAATCGCAGTTGAAGCATGCAGAAGAAAAGGCATGCGGACAGATTAACTCACCGAAATGACACAGTCGACGGTACGACCTCCGATTGCGGCGTCCGCGATGTCGCGAAGCTTTGTTAAAAGCATGGCAGTAACCTGCTCCGCCGAGAACACCTGCTCTTCATTTTGGTAACGGACCTTAAAGGCGAAATCACAACATGAACATCACTCAAGCAAGGAGCAAGAAGTTATAGAATTGCGTTACCTTGATCCCCACGCTACCATCTGGCTGCTCCATTACTTCGAATGGTAGATTCCTCTTCAACTCCTCTTGCACCAACGGATCACGGAATTGCCTTCCTAGAAACCGCTTGAAATTCGTAACGGTATTCTTCATGTTAGTCGTCTGTTGATTCTTCGCTGCGACTCCCATTACTCGCGTTTTCTCTCCAAAGGAAATACATGACCTGCAAGATAATTAGCAATAATGAACTCACACTGCATCACGTTGAAAAAAAGAAAGAAAACTCACGGTGTGTTGCGAAGACTGTAGTCGTTCGCAATTGTTTCAATGCCGCCAGCACGAGCAACGGAGACATAGCAACAGTCGGTGCCGAAATCGATCCCAAGAACGGACATGATTTATGCAATCTTCGACTCGACCAAGTCTCTTTATTCAAATGAACACTTTTCAGAAAAAATTTCCTGCAACCGAGCAAATCACGTGTAAGGGTAGAAAAGCTACCTCCAACGGTTAGACATCGCGCAAACAAGTCTGCGCAAACCCGCTCCACATGGTGCAGATCAAATGAGCCACACATTCATCTTGTCGAGGATTCGAAAGGTTAACGTCGTTCACCACTCGTAAACTCGGAGTTAAGCAAGTGAGCTACCGCAGCCACCCAACATGCTTGCGTCACCTTCACAGTGCGACCCAGAACTTCATAGAAGGTTCTCGAACGTTCTCGTAATTCCTAGTCAAAACACTGCTTCTCAGTGTACAGGTATTTCTTCTTCAGCGTGATTCAGTAGGTTCGCGAAATTTAAGGACGCCTTGTATCAAAGATTTCAAGAAAATATCCATGGACGTTTCCTTCGCAATTCTCACGTCACGTCAACACCGGCCGTTCATTCACCGGTTCCGAACAAGGTCTAATAGAATCTAGGGGGCGCAAGCGGCGCGGGCGTTGGCCCCCAACCCAAAGCTGGATCGATGGTGCAAAAATGAACGCTGAGCGCTGACTCACCTTGACTGTCCGTCGATTTGGAAATTAATTTATCAAAACTGTCCCTGTCATCCTATTGCGTTCCCAAACGAAATGCGCGAGGAATCTATCTCATCTTGCTCACTCCATTTGGTGAAGCATTTCAGTACACTGACAGACTTGAATGGAACTGCATACTGTACTGCAATTCATAATGCACAGGATAAAATCGAAGTTTATCGTGAATCATCAACTTTATTCCATTAGAATGATTTACAATCCACGGGTTTCAAGACAATCACAATCAGCTATGCAGCATTCCAAATTTTCGAACTATTTCACATCAAAGGGGCCCCATGTTCACGTTAGGCCTTTGCTCCAGCAGAATGAGTATCCTGTTCGTTGATGGTCATCAATCCGTAAGTCAGGTCCTTGGTAGTCTCCCAGGCCTTAGAACTCAATTGTGACATAATTTCCGGCGAGTTGGCAAGCCAGGTAAACACGCGAAAAACTCCTCTGTTCCATTTGTCTCCCAGGGAGTCCCATTTCCAGCCTTGCAGTAACGGCTTCAATTATGAAAGCAGCAATAGATTTACAGGGTGTAAACATGTCAAGTAAAGGTACATGGAAATTTTACAAAAGCAGAAGAGAAAGGTGAGCAAAAAAAATCGAATCAGAAAAAACCCCAACATAGAGTGCAGGCATGCTTCGATGAGAAGCACCCTCCGTAAAATCTTGCTGAGTTCCTGTCTTTCCCATGGATGAGTGGCATTTGTGAGACATCATTTGGTTATAGTTTCTTAATAAGATCAGCAGGATGGACCCCAATAACATCAGAAGAAAATCGCTTTAAGATAAAGAATGCACAAAACTGCACGTTGATATAGCGCAGCAATGCCTAATTCGGTAATTGTTGCGCTGGGGTGCTTTCTGCTGACATGAAAAAAATCCATTTCTCATCTTACAAAATCGACGAGAAAATCAATGGGACCAGCATTAAAAAAATAATAAAAACAACGCGAACCCTATGCGATGGACTATCCAACAGCCGCAATGCCTCTATTCCTATTTAAGGGAAGTAAGATGGTGAGTGAAATGACGCACCTTATCCAAGCCGAGTTCTTCTTTATATGGTATGTTCGCCTTCATGTCTTCGTACAAGTGTTTCGTGTGAGCAGCGTCATCCCAAATGCCGTATTTCTTGGTTCCATAAATGGCGCCTCCGATCAAACCAAGTTTGATGGAAGTTCTGCATGCGATCAAAATTGTTTCAGTAATTGAAATAGCCATCATTCTATCCAAGTCTCTTACTTCAAAGTCCACTTGACCACTCTGGCCATCTGACGCTTGAATTTGGTGGTTTCCAATGATCTCACGAAGTCTGCGTACCCAAAAAAAAAAAAATGACATGCGACTATTTCCGCCGACACACTTTCTAAAACCTTGAGGTCTTTTCACAAAATCCGCCGAAAAATAATTGAAATGACGAAAATAGCGCGGAAACAACACACAAATATAGATGAAAATTTATTATCACAGTGAGCGTAACCAGAATTGTATCAAATTTCGGCCCGTTCCTCTTTGGGAGGTCGGAGAATCTTCAGAAGACCTTGACAAAGGTCAATTTCTCTCTTGATTTCAACAGCTGAAGAGTCCAACGTTTCCTCACAAGCGCTCACGGCTTGAGATATTTTGACGATTTGTCCGGGCAAGACTGGCCATAAAAACTCGATTGCCAATTTCAATGTCTAGAAAGAAACCAACACATTCTTGAAGGGCGTATAGGAAACAGCACACTGACAGAAACATTTTAAAAAGCAATAAAATAATGTTTCATTATCTTTATTTTTTTTATGTAGTGGTCTAATAGAAGTGTTGGGCCTTAGTGAATACCTTCTTGTCCTCTATGTTCAATAAAAATTTGGCCCCACACTTTTATTCGACCACTACATCAGGACATTTTTGGAAAAGTTTATTTTCCCCATTTTTATTGCATGAAAGTCTATTCTTCATGTTTTTTAAACATTATTTTATTTAACCCTTTTTAGTGATGAGAATCTATTTTGCAATTTTATCACTAAAAACAGATTTTATCACTAAATCTTGCTAGGATTTTATTGTGCTAACTCAATCGCAGGTTCTGTGTCCGGTCTACCCATTTCTCATGCCGAGAAAAAAAACCAACGTTAGCCTGGATTGGAACCCAAACCCTGGGTGTGTGCACTGCACATTTCTCACTTGTACTACAGAGCACTTCTTGAGTAGGATGGCACAATTGTGGCATATTTCACTTAAGAAAGGCAAGAAAGGAGGAAAAGGTTGTGGTGGTTGAGGAAGGCATGTTTTTCACAAGTTTTTATATATGTAAAGATGTGTAGAGTATTTTCCAAAAATTAAAAAAAAATTAGAGGTTATGGAAAAACGAAGTAGTAGAAAACAGAATTTCAAATTTTTAGGACAATTAGGAGGCCTATAAATTGAGTTTAAAATGCTTTCAATTTTTTTAAAATATCAATTTTGTTCACATGTAAAAAACACAAAAATCACAGTATGGAGACATTCATTGGTTACACAAGTGGAAAAAGGTTCAAGTGAATTGAATGAGTAGATTATCACTATAAATTGATTTTTCTTATTTTCAAAAATTCCAGAATTTCTTTATTTTCAAATAGAACCTTTCTTTTTCATTCAAAATTTTTTAAACTCTCACAATGTTTGAAGCAATGCTTGATAAATGCAACCCCTAAATTTTAATCAATTTGATCAGTTTTAAAGGGCTAAAAATAGTGGCTCATGATAATTTGTGTTTTTTCAATTTTACAATTTTCTGGCCTTCCAAAAATTCTGAAATTTTGAAACATTGCATTGTCATCAATGTTCAACAAGTGTGGAAAATTTCAGTTAGATTGGACCTTTGAAAGTGGGTTAATTTTCAGTTGCAAACCTTGCTAAATCTGGATACCCCTTAGACATACAGCAGACATACCCCAAGTCAAGTTGAATAAAAGTCTATAAAAAGGAAATGCCAAAAAAAAGACAAAAACGTGATTTAAAATTTTTTTGGCGAAATTGGTTCCCTCCACGCTTCCTTCTATCTCTGGCTCTCAACACTTTTACAGCAACATCAAACACAGAAAAGCGAAGAACTCACGCGGACAGCATCAATTTTTACTGGATGTGCTTCCAAGGGTGGTAAAATAGCATCGACTATCAGCAAACTCCACTTGAGCCCAGAAAACTTGTACACCGGCAAGTAATCCATAATGACATCAGTCAAAGACGTGCGTAACTTTGCACCAGGAAGCATGATGCAGACACGACGAAGCAGCCCTTCGAAAGCCTCGTCCATCTCTTCTACCTTGAATAAGGACAAATTAAACCTATCGTTGAATCAAAAACTGGAGGTAAAGAGGTTGAAGCAATATTTTACCAAACAGTCGCTCGGATCATCAGCTCCTTCGGCCTCCGCAGCATATTTGAATAATCGCACAGTCAGTTGCTCCTTCAAAACAAGAGCGTCTTGTTCGCAGAATGTTGGGATTATGCACGTGCGAAGACTCTGCTCTTCGTACTCGCTGAGCAGCATGTTTCTGAGCAACGAGGACAAAACTTGTCTTCTTCCAAGTCTTGCTATTTCCGTCGGGGTCTGGAAGAGAGATTATTTCATCTATCTCAAGTAAAGAAGCTCCTCACGAATGAATGAACACTGTACTACGAAAATCCAACCTACAGTAAGATTTATTACGTAAAAATACAGCATGGCGATTATCCGAACGATTACACGATGATGTCATATGAAAATATATTGACGCTCACCACATTTTGGAGGAGAATTTCCAAGCACTGTAAGCCCAGCCACTTGTTTTCCGTTATGTAGTCATCCAGAAGTCGGACTATTATGGGGAATACTATCTCGATCTCAGGATACACATCCGGGAACTGCGATAAAAAAGACCCTTAAATCATAACGAAAATTGAGCAATGTTTACGGGATTCTCCATCAACTCTTGAAAATAGTACTGTACTCGGATGTTAGTTAATTGGCCTCTGCAACGAAAAAATGTGTCATGAAGTAAAAGCGGGAGCTGTAATTTTTACATAATCATTCCACTCCAGGGAAATTTTCTTAAGTTCGCTGCATGAGAAATTTGATTTTTTTCTTCTTTTGAAACATTTCTCACCACATCAAACCTTTCAGAACATTTAAAAATTCTTGCTCTCCCTCATCGAACGATCAGGCGGTGTTCTACTAAATCGAATTATGGTACACTTCGTAGCGTCTTCATCGAACAAAATGAGCAATACTTCAATCAGAGTTTCGAATGGAGAAAATACAGATGTATGAGTGGTTGAAACAAAATAACATTGAATTATTCGAGAAAATTTGGGGCATAAATACCTTTGCGTGAGAAAACAACCATAAAAAGGCATGTGGCGCAGCAGGATGAGCTTTCCAAATTGGGTCTTGAAACTGTTCTTTACAGATCAGCAAGCATTGCCCAAGAACGGAATGGTTCCTTCCGACGCTTCGCAGCAACTGAGAAACCGAATCCACTTCAAACTTCTTCAGCAAGACTTCCAGAACTTCATTCGTAGTATGTTCAGCGTTCGTTACAGCCCAAGGCATCGAATCGTCTTTGTGCTCCGCCAAAAACATCAGCACTTCGGCCGCAAGAAGTCTTTCTAGCTTCTTCGGGACATTGTCCAAGTTTCTGATCATGTCTGGAACTCGCTTGAGAAAATGTGTAACTTTGGCACGCCATTCTGACTCGAAGTCCGACTGTACAGCTGGTCGTTCGTCATAAATCGCGTTCCGTTGAACACGGACGCTCCGGATTTCATTAATGATTGTCTTCACTGCTTCACTCTCCATTTGAACGTTTCGACCTGGACAGGCAAAATGAACCAAGCATCTGCAAAAATATTTATTTACATCGCGTTTCATTGATTTGAAACACACGTATTGTAATGACCAGTCAATGAAAAGCGGATAAGTTCAATAGATTTATTCAACGTCCAACAGGCACGGCGGGTTTGTTCTATTTCCAGGATCATTTTTGAAGCAAAAGAGAAAATAGATAACCACAATAATTCCTGAACACAATTTTCTTTTCACTTGATAGCTACTAAGTAAGTTACTGTATTTTTGTTACATGCAAAATATATATATATATATATACTGTATAAATACTGTATATATATATATATACAGTATTTTACATAAAAACCTGACTTGATCAAAGGAAATGTCTCCATGATGAAAATAACAAAAAACATTTTTCAATGAACTTACAAATTCGCCGATTCTCTCCATTTATTGAAATTTCAGGGCTCTTTCAACAAAATGTATTTCCTTGACAATTTTTTCTGAAGTTCGGGAGAAAATGCCTTGAATAGTTAATATACCGTCCAATATGTTAGATAATGAAATTCAGAATTGCATAAACTCTTTCTAGAAATGGAATGAATAAAATATGAACTGAAAAAGCCAATTTCAACGACGTATCACGTATTCGCAACATCATTACCGTATTTTTGGGATCAGAACAAAACAAGAAAATGAAGCGTGAACAGTCCGTTTCCAACGGGATATTTCCACACGGTTTTTGGGAAACTCGGCCATTTTAATTGACAGCAACCTGAATTATTTAGAAGTACGCGAGAAATGAAAATAAATTGCCGTTTTTCGAATTTCAAGCGTCCTTCAGTCTTGAAAATGCTGAATGCACTAATTTTTCGGTCGCCTTTTCCGCTTAATCAACGGTGAGCTTCTTGAGAGCTTGGTTGATGTGGAACGTGGCAAGTGGCAGTTCATAGGGTCCAGACATGGCATGGAAGTTGTTCAGCAATCCAGATATGTCTCGAACCCGTTTCATGTTTTCGCTTGTGAAGGATGATTCCAAGAAATCGTTCAGCTGAAAAAAAGAAGCATATTTCACGGCATATGAGACTGAAAAAATAAGTGATTAGCCGACTTCCGAATATGAACAAAGCAGACCGAATTTTTGTACAATTAGAACCAGGAACGAGAGCATTGTCAGAGCACTGATCGGTGAAAGTACTGTACATCTGCATCCCTGATTTTGAGGAGTACTTTATTTCTCTTCAAATAGCAACGACGTTTAAACTCGGTCAATGAAACGGAAGCCTAACAATTAAACGCAATTTTCCCGAGAAAACTGAATGAACTTTGACTTGAGAAGCATTTTTGACCAGGGAATAAGGCTACTTTACTCGAATTGTCCTTTTCTTTTCTGATCCATTTTTCATACAAGCTACGCTTTATATCCTCAAACACAGGACGAACAGACAAAGTACTCGAGATACAAAACAAGTACCATAAATAGGCAAAAATTCAGTTGAGTAAAACGTTATTCATACAATTTCCTTTCTGCTGAAAAACCTGAGATATTAATTGAACGACAATATCGTTGGTAAAAGAAAAGTTTCCTCACCAAGGGATCACCCAAAGTTTCAGATCCTCCGGATGTTTTGAGAATTTGACTGATACTCCCAAGGAAATGCTTTTCTCTGTCCAATGCAAAGCCCAAGGATACCAACTCCGACTGATCGAAACGTCGAGTCGGCGAAATCTTCAGATTGAATAAGAGGGACAAAAAGGTCGATGGGCAGATAAATTGGTGCTTCTTCAGAGGAAATATCGCATTTACTCAAATATAAGACGCAAAATAAAATAAAAAATGATGGCTCGTCTTCAATTTGTGCATAAGAAGGCATGATTAATCTCGCCAAACAAAATTTATAAAATTTTGAAGGTACGAGTTAAAATTCTGAATTCATACTCAAAGCATCTAATAAAATTAAGTAATTAACAAACACAAGGATCATCTGATTCAGAAGTAATTTCTTCGTGCAATAATGGTCTCAAATTTATAGGAAGTTTTTCATCCTCATTTTTGTGGCTCCGAAAAAAAGAGAAGGGCGTCTTACACACGAGTGAAAACGACATTCAACTTCAAAAATACTGTACCTTGACAAATATATCGCTTCCGATGTTTAGGCCCCTCAGATTCGCATACTTAATCAACTTGATGGCATTTTCCCATGCTTCATCCGATAAACTTTGGAAGAACGAGGTGAAGCCATCCCAGTTGATATTATCCTGCGAAAAGTGTGCTGCCTGGAACACAGCGATTTGAGACAGGTCAGTAAGCTCCATACGAATCAATTTTCTTGGTTGAAAAAAATCAACTAAAAAGGGGACTTACAACTTGCATATATTCGTAATTGGACGCCAGTAGCATGGAAGTGACATGATTCAAATGCGAAGTGTAGCTTTTGATGTTTCCCACCACAGCAGAGCAATGGTCCCTTGATCCTAGAGTTCCTGCTTCCGGAAAAACTAAAGCAAACCCAGATATAAAATCAATAGTGATATAGAACCCGGTCTGTTGCCTAAATTTCACATCATCTTACCAGAAGACGCGAGATGTGCGCAATTATTCATCACATTCTGGCCTGAAATGACTGATGCCGCGGACATGAAGAGCAACGCACAAAAAATTTTCCCCATCGTTGTTGGCACTTCTTGAAACAAATTTTTGTAAATTTTTACTCAAAAATGAATGCAATCAAGACGAATGTTCTCAACAATTCGCTTGTTCCTTGGGCCGGATATTGTAACTGTTCAGACTCAAGGAGCTATTCTATCGGGATCATGTTTTCTCTTTTGCTCCCGGTATGTTTCACCTCGCGTGAAGGACACGTTATTCGGTTATTTTTTGTTCTTATACGGATTTATTTTTTTGACATGGTCAACCATTCACAAAACAAGTTTTGCTCAGTAATATGAATAAATTCCACAAAAATTGTATCTACTACAGTACATATAAAAAATCTCGCATCATCATTTTCAAAGTTAGACACTGCAAGCTGCCTCACGTATACATTAAACCTTTTCAACTACAGGTAGACTCTCTTAACAACGAATTTCTCCATATTCAGGTTCTTTTTTCCCATGGGATTCTCTCCCATATTATAGGGGTTTTCTGCAACGAAATTCTGAAAGAATTTTTCTGATCGCTTGAATTTAGTTGTAACGAGAATCCAAATAGCTGTCTTAATCTTTCGCTCATAGACGAAATATAGAAAAAATAACCAGCTGTGCTTGTTTGTCAACCCGCTAATCGGGTGGAGCATATGAGACAAATCGCTTTTCGATGCCTTAAAAAAACTTTCATAATAAACGAAAGGAAAAAGGCATTGTGGCTGTTTCGACAGGAACAGATGAAAAAATTCACTGTAAGCATACATTTGTTGCAGCAAGATTCTGCTGTATGCTATTTCCTGAACCCTAATTCTAAAGTCAAATCAATCTCCCTTCAAGCAAACAAATCGAAAACTTCTCGATCATTTCATTTTACCAACTTCTCTTTGTCCCCTATAATGGCAACAGATAGCTGTGGGCAGAGATCCACCAGTACACAAAATTCATCACTGATAGATACTGCATACAAAAAGTAAGATGTACCTTCAACGGCAGCAACGAGAAAATTTGCGTTTAAGGAACTCAACACTGCAGAACATGGGCTTCTGACCTCACTGAAACGGGTGAGTCTACTAAGCTCCTAAACACAGCTACGTTCTCATGAGGTTGTTTTAAGAGCAAATGGCTGACGAAACAAATCCGCCTCTTGACACATGGATTGGAACGAGACTGCGCGTGTAAAACCGACTCTTCACACAGATCTATGCACAATTTTGTTGAATAATACAAGCACAAGGAGGTTGAAAGAGGAACGATGAACAATCTGTCGGGTCGGTGCGTTTTTTCCCCTCCACTGTCGTTGCATCATGATTGACGCGCAGAGTAAACAATCCTCGTTTGACATACATCAGAGCAACAGAGTAATTAGTGGAATGAGTTTCAGGGACAAGCTGTGCAAGAGACTTCGGCATGTGCTGCGTTATTTTGCATTTTTCACACCTAATCTTTAAATCCATAAATCTCTATGTATTCTACATTCAATCCAGAGCATGCTTGAAACTATTCAGTAGTGGAAGAAAGATGCTCAATGATGGAGTGAGGAAGTATTCCGTACAAGAAATATACATTTTTCGACCACCCCCCACAAAACACATTTTCTCGCGCGAATTCAAAGACATAGCCTGATTTTTGGGAATCAAAGCGGGGAAAACTGCGTCTTATATTTTCGTATAAACGGTAAAAAAGATAGAAATGACTGTGATGCAAATGATTACACTTTGCAGTGTTCGTACATCATCCGAGTTCACGCTAGTATTGAAAAAAAAATTATACTCTTACAATTGACCTACATTTCGAAGTTCATGAAAATGAAGTAAAGATGGCCAATACGTATAACAAAAAAGAGTGATATAACAACAGCAGCAGGAGAATAACAAACATTTAGCTCATCACTCACAAAAGCCGATCAAAATTCACATATCTTCCGTGCTCCATTTGTAAGCTTCGGATTCACCAGCTTTTCGGCTAGCTTGCTTTGCGAAAAACTCGTTCTCAAATCCGTTGGAACGATCAACACCGTCCCATCGGTAACCAGGCCATACATTGAACCGATTTATCGGAGGCTGCGGCGGTGGTTTGTACTTTGGTCTCTCTGAAGTGAAAAAAATGAAATAAAAATTATAACATACTTCCGACAGAAGAGAAAAATCTGGAACTGCTCATGGCGCTCACGAACAGCAGAAGTCACAAAAGCGAGCGTCCCACGAAAACAATAATATTTAAAAAACAAAAACCGGACTAATGAGTGAAAAGCAATCCCAGTTAAGAACAATGCTTTTTAATATCAGACGTATGATAAAATGATGCTCTTAGATACCGTGAAAGCTTTCGAGAACAAGATAACTCCGTGTTCAGAATGGTCAAAATGAACGAAATCATTCGTACCTCTTCATCAGTATTATTGTACAGTGAGTCCCCGCATAACGAAAGACCCACGCAGCGAAAAATTGCGCGTAAAGAAAATGTCAAGGGGATAAACGTGACTCATATTACAAAGTTATTTCACAAAACGAAATATATCGGCTCGAAAAATGCGCAAATCTCAACAAATTTTGAGTAGAAACTTGAGAATTATGCAGAAATCAAGAAAAAGCGGAAAGAAAAGTATAGTTTTATACCTTGTTTTCACAATTTGAGGAATACAGAAACTTATGAGCAAGAGTTGTCATGATGACCCCAATTTGTTTGCTGAACAATATTAAATTGACAACATTCTGCTGAAAAATACACGAATTTTGGTTAGTGGCTGGAACCGATTAAATAAATTAAAAGGTAATCTGAAGTGAAAACACGTTTCACGCAAGGAAAATTTGGCATAACTAAACTCATCTAGAAGGATTAGATGAGAAGGATTGTGGGGACCCACTGTATTTGAAGCATGCCCAGCGTTTCATGCCGATTCGTGTTTTCTTCTTGATTCGTCATCCTAAATTACCTTTTTACAATGGTGATGTTCCAAGCTAAAAAACGTATGATACATATCATATACATATAGCATACGCTGGACCTCATCTGTGCCACGTTTGCCCGACATTTTCTGAGATACAAGTTTTAATTGCTTTCGACTCGTAGAAAATGTGAAGTCCGACCTTTCGGTGAACATTTTATCAGTCCATTGCTTTTTTTGATGAGTAAAATTAAGTTTCATTATTCTGTCACGGTAAGTATAGAAAACAATTTTTCAACGGCTTTTTTTTTGCAGAAAACGAGGGCTTCCAGATGAATAAATAGCTTTTACTTATTTCTCTACGTAAAGCGTACATCATCAGCATCATTATTAAACGAGGAATTTGTATGTGAAAAAGTTTCCGTCCGGATACGTTTTTGGATGACCCCTCGAAGCGTGTTAAAATTGAATTTAGAATTCCGGACTAACCGACATAGTTGGGATTTGCCTCCTTGAACTTCTCCATTTTCTTCCTCCGGACATACTCCAACATCGGATCATCTGCTCGTTCCTGCTCTTTCAATTGCCGTTCTAGATCCTCGTCGTCAGCATACCGCGCCAAAGGCTTGCTCATTTCGTAGAGGTCTTGAGAAATCTGCTGTTCCTTTTGTTTCGTCGTAGCAATACCAACGTTGAACTCCTTGTATTTTTCTACAATTACTGCGCGACGATCCGCTTTCTCTTGTTTCTTCCGCAGCTTCTCTTCTACTTTCCTGTCGCGACGTACCACGGTTTTCGCTCCCTTTCCAGTCATACGCTCATCGGCCTGGTATCAAGCAATTAGAAAATCAAAAACTCATAATTAGACGCTTTTCCATCATTGCTCAAGATCTAAAATCCAGAATAATCTACGAGGGATTCTGGAATTTCCGATTAACCTGAGAACACGATTCTATCGTTTTGGGATACAATTTAATATTCATCGTGCGAACTTTGATTAAACAGGCACATAATCTCGCTCAAAATTTCGGACCAGAATGCGTCACTGCAAGATGAATAAAAAACTGACTACTTTTCTGCTGAAAAAATTACGCTGATTTGAGCGTGTCTAAAAAACGTACTCTTTTTTCCATAGGTAAAAACACCTTAAGCTGACTAATAGTAAAACATCGTAATGAACAAAATTTTACTCTTCATGTTCATGTATAACTGATGATTCAGAATTACGGAAGATGTCCTTCCGTCATCGGCAAGAATAATAACTATTCTGGTATCACCGTTCAGTACTTTCTTCCATAGTTCAAAATGTACTTCTTCTTTCAAGATAAACCGCCACATTACTCAATTATTTTCGGATTTGGTTGGAAAGAATCTCATGTTCAATTTTTCCCCGGGTATTATTTATCAAAGAGTAAAAATGCATGAAACGTTGTATACAAACCGCAACAATAGCATTCTTCTACAGGTCAAAATTTAGTTATTTTTCAAAAGAAATCTCCAGATTCCTCGATTATTTTTGTATTCGGTTGAGGAAAGAATCTCAGGTTCAATTTTTCTCAGGGTATTATTCATCACCGCGTAAAGATGCACGAAACGTTGTATACCAACCGCAACAATAGCAGCTCTTTGACGCTCGGCGAATGCTGCATTCTCTCTTCTCAAGGTTTCCTTGGATTGCAATCCTGCTTTCTTACCATCCATTGTCTTTGTCCTTCGGCCAAGAGAATCTTTACCAGGTGGAGAATTAGATCTCCGTTCGCTTTTGATTTTCGGAAAGTCCATCTTCATCATAGACCGTTTTCTCGGAGGGGAAGCATCAGAATCGTTTCCACTTCTGCGCCTCGGAGGAGATGCATCAGAATCGTTCGTTGCTCTTCGAGGAGATGCATCGGAATCATGTCTGGCTCTGGGATTTCTTGGGGGTGAGGCATCAGAATCATGCCGCATTCTTGACTGTCTGGGAGGCGATGCATCAGAATCATGCCTGGTTCTAGTTCTGGAATTTCTAGGAGGTGAGGCATCAGAATCGAACCTTGTTCTAGAATTTCTCGGGGGTGAGGCATCTGAATCATGCCTCTGTCTTGACTGTCTCGGCGGTGATGCATCGGAATCATGCCTTTTTCTAGAATTTCTAGGAGGTGAGGCATCAGAATCGTGCCTTTTTCTTGACTGTCTCGGAGGTGAGGCATCAGAATCATGCCTTGTTCTAGAATTTCTGGGAGGTGAGGCATCAGAGTCGTGCCTGGTTCTTGACTGTCTCGGAGGAGACGCATCGGAATCGTGTCTAATCCTCAGGTTTCTGGGAGGCGAAGCATCGGAATCATGCCTAATCCGAGAACTTCTCGGCGGTGACGACGCAACAGCAGCAATACTCCGTTTCGTTCCTCTCGGTGACCAACTCGTTCGCACATCTTCTTCGGTGTTCCGTCCCACACGGGCCCAACGACTGGAATTTTGATATTCTGCAGTACGAAGTTCGACGGGAAGATCGTCAGTCAAACCCGCGAAAGTCGGTAACTCGTCCGCAGTGGCGAAGATCTCATCAATGTCATCTTCCTCCTTTACCGCACGGACAACGTCTTGAATCGCCAGTCCGTCATCATCCACAATTTTGCACCTGATGAAGATGAGAAAATCAGCATGATTCTCACACTTTCCGTTCAAAATGCCAACGAAGTATACGTATAACGCGATAATTTACAGTGAAGTAACATCATCTAGAAATTTGATGAAGATTTTTACAAATGTTTACCAAACCATTTACTGTACTGTATATCTTTTAATTCGAGGTCCCTCGTCTCGGATACCAAATCTTCCACATCACTTGTTACTTGATTGAGGATAGCTTTTTAAAGATGCTTTAAATGTCGCCTACGGGGAAAAATCAAAGCAGATGTTTCAATTGTTCTCTTCTTCGCTCCGTTTTCCTCGCCTTCCGTTCTTTGAGGCCTAGATGGGGACATGGGGTCAGATGATCTTAGTTTGGGTTTTGAAGTGTTGTACTACCTAGATTCGAATGCGTTCGATTATTTTTGATCTGGTCAGAGGTTGAGCATTGAAGTTACAAGAACACAAGAGCATGAGAACACCCCCGTTGGCTTCAAAAGTTGGGGAAATTAGGCAAACTAAAATCGAGAAAAGTTTCAGTTATGGTACACCAGGCAGACGGACAGATCGCAATCAAAGATCGCCCCACTTCAAATTTGAGTAGTCTTTGAAGAAACTTCAAATTATTCAGCTTTTCAAATGTTTCAGAAGACGAGATTTTACCTGGATGTGATGACCGCGTGTTTTTGCTTCTTCTTTTTCTTCTTCTTCTTCTCAGCGCCGTCTGCGCCAAGTCCAAGATATTTTTTCAAATATTCTTTCTGATCTATCACTGAACTCGTCTCCTTTGCTTTCGCACTCATCGCGAGTAAATTCGTAAGGAGAGTTTAATCTGATCATCCAGAAAAAAAGAGACAATTCGACGTAAATTCAGGATACGATTCGAAAGCATTGCTATGAATTCGCAGATTTCAGCGCACATTTCCTTTCATTGCGGGAGTGCTTTTCAAGTCAACAAAAAAAAAACATTTGTGAAAATCACGAAGATCACTGGGGTCAGAACTCACGCTCCTATTCGCAAGCGAGAGTCGGAACAGACCTGGAAGCGAAAACGAATCCCCCTTTCTCGCCACAATGCCACAAAATACTAAGCTTCTACGCGTACGAAGCAAATCAACATATTCAATCAAATTGAAAAAAAAAAAAACGAAAACAATCTCATTTGCGTCGGGCGTTTCAATGAAGCCGGTCTCGATATTCCCTGATCACTTGTCGGTTTTCATCGCTTCAGATCATAATTGCTTGAACGGACATGGGACCTGGAGGTGAACCGGTGCCATCTTGGTCGTCTTCATTACTCTTCTCTTGTTCCTTCCCTTTTTGAGCAGAAGCATCTGCAACCTGAGCAGGTTTCTTGCGCTTTTCCGCTGAACGTTTTTTGCGATCTTTCGACAGCGGTGAACCAGTGTCAACCGCAAGGTTTTCCAGCCCAGGATAAGGAGCCATTTTTGAAAATTCTTCTTTCAAAGCTGTGTAATGGCGCTGAAAAAAGATATAGAAAATTAAAACCGCTGATCTTGCATTGCAGAAATTTATATCAACATTAATATCAACGCAATTCAAAACCAAGGTGAACGACTAATTCTTTCTCAAGTCTAGCGTGGGGCTCAAACTTAACGAAAATTGGTTCATGTCACTCGAAAGTACGATTTCTTCAACTACAGTAATAACTTTCCTTCCAAATCAAACACGTGGCGCCTGAATTTTAATTGGTCTTAGTTAAATAAGAAGATTAATTCCGTCAATTTAGAAAAGGTCTGATTAGGCTAGATTTGATTCGTTTTCTTCAAGTTAGTTCAAGGTTCTGGGGTAGATCAGGCAAGGATAAGGATTCAGGCAACTACTCCGTATGTCATATGTCTCAGAAGAATACGCTGAGGTCAAAAGGCGTTGGTTTTTTCGGCAATAGGTCACTTTTTTTCATTCATTCCTGAAGCAACCTTCCATATGAAAGCGGACTAGAAAAGAATCACGGGGTTTCGCAGACCATGACTCTTGATTTTTCACAAGAAGCATCACAATGCTATTTTTTACAGAACTGAACGGTATCTAACGTCGAAGTAAATGACAAAAGACAGCTGAACCACGCGTAACCGGACAAAAACGCACACAGTAATGAAATACTCTACATTACTGCACGGTATTTCCTTCGATTTTTTTAGATACTGAGAAGCATATGTAGGCAATTCATTTCAAAAACAGGTGAACAAAATGAAAAAAAAAAGTTAGGAAATTTCGGCATCAACCAGGCAGGTATAAGCACTGCATAGTAATCCGAATTACAGTACTGTATCTTACTATGAATAATGATTCCCAACTCCCCAAAAATTATTCCCGTTCTTGTCGATCTACTAGCGATTTATTGGGAAGAATGAACTCAAATTAACAGGCTATAATAGGAGCCAGTTTTCGTACAAAGACATAATCTGGGCCTACCCGAATCATCTTGGCAGCATTCATGGATGACGTCAGCAATCGCGAAGTTTTGCTCGCAGACGGCATGGCTTCGGCCTCTTTCACCCAGGTTTTGACTTGTTCCAAAATTTCTCCTCGCTTCATCCAAAAATGAGCGCTGATTACGTCTTCGAAGCACGGCGACGGATTACGAAGGTGCTCGAGCATGGCCCAACGAACAGTCGCTTGCCGAATATTCGCATCGTAATCTTTCGCAGCGTTCACTCCACTGGGCGTGTTCCGCGTCTTCTCAAAGCCAGGCTCATTGAAATAGGGATCCGGAACAAGGATCAGACTTTGAATCGAAACCAGCACCTATTACAAGATAGAAAAAATATATCCTGTACTATACAAGCAGTCATCCGTAACAGAAATTTTCGAATAATAATAGAAAATGCGACGGCGATAACATCTTCGAACACAGTCAAACTGGGATACCGGATTCCAGCCGTCCTCGCAAAGCTGCCTTTTCTCATCATACACCCGGCGAAAAAGTAATTCAAAACGAAAATCTTGTACCATGGAACCTCCTCAAATCAAACTTCAAGAGAACAGAAAAACGAATTCCAGATGGGAAGGTTTTTATCGGGGGATATTCTGTGGCTTAGATTGCTTCTTGAATGAGCTGACAGGTTGCTGAACTTCTTGGTGGCAAGCACTCATTTGCTCAGTTAGTCTTTCGGTCCCTTCCACAACATATGGAGTCATACTTTTCTTTATTGTTCTCTTTTTTGTATCAAGATGAGAACAGCCAAAAGGCCTCGGAAAATTCGAGTTACAGAGGTCTGATGAAAAAAAAAAAACCTTGGAGTTCTTGCATTAAAAAACCTTGAAAGGTTTTTAATTCAATTTTTAGAAGGGAATCCAGACAGGAACTTGAAACATTTCGATTTAACGTTTAAACTACCAAGGCTCTTTTTCTCCTCTGTCGTCAAAATCATTGAAATTTCGAAAAAAAAAGTGTAAAAAGCGCGCCCGTCGTCTCCCCTGGAGACTTCGGACTCGCTTTTCGTCCCCTCCGGGAACATCGGACTCTCTTTCCCCCTGGGAACTTGTCCGTGGACAGCGCGGAGTGTGCACTAAACTCCAACGCCGTATGTTGATGCGTACTGACGTGCAGTGGCAGGACCTTCCATGCCCGCGCACGAAGTCGGTACCTCCAGTAACCGCGTCCCATCGCATAGGCGATACGCAAGAGCACGACACCGCCGGTGAGGAGACTCGAACCGGGGTCTCTTGCGTGCGTGCCCACCACCGGATCGCGCAGGCTGCGCCCGGTGGCGGCGAAAGAGGAACGCAGAGGGAGGGATTATATACTTTACTTCACTGTACTGTACAATAGCCCCAGCGTACAATACCCCCACTACCTTGGATCGCGTTGGTCAGCGCTCAAAAAACCGTTATCCTGTTTTGCAACCTTCAAGTAGTCGAAGATAAATGGTTCCATTTGCCACGTGGCATTTGTAGAATCAAGGAAATACTGGTCAGGTTCAAACAAGTGTTCCCCAACCCGTGGTCCGCGGACCGGCGCCGATCCTCGAATTTTTTTGCCGGTACACCCACAATTTTCTTCAGCACAATAAAGATATCAGAAGTAGCAATGAATTCTGTCATTTTTAAATAATATTTCGGAAAGAGAATGTCAGTCGAAATTATCTAATAAAAATATATAAGTTAGCTTTCCTCTTATAACACTTCAGACACATTTTCACGAATAATTTTAGTTTGTCAGTCTCAGAAATATTTCTTCATTTCACCTCCGCAATTTTTTGAAGACGTTCTTGACTTAAGTTTTTGCAAAAAGCAAAAAAATTCTTGAATACCTTCTAGCGGTTGTTTTGTCTTTCAAACAAAACTTGTTTAGTCTGAAGGCATTTTCTTTTATTAAACTTTGCCTGTCCGCGGAAAATGTTTTGAACATTTGCCGGTCCGCAAACATTTTTGGAAATTTGCTAGTCCGCAAAAAAATTTGACGGAAATTTGCCGGTCCGTGTACCCAAAAAGGTTGGGGAACACTGGTCTAAACTTCACATAAACGAGAGAATGCAGTTGAAGAAACTTATAAGCGAGTGAACATCAAAGGCTCTTTTCGAATTACGAGAAGAAAGAAATCGACATAGGGAGGTGTTCGACTTGGGAACGCTGGAGATATCGAATTTCAACTGTATACACTAATTGCTACCGGACATAACGAAAAATTTAATTTCAAGCAAAACAAAAGCTTCGTACAGCTGTGTAGGAAACGCTGCACAGCCACACAAATACTCTCTGAAAAATGATCGAAGAAAAACGAACTTTGGGCAAAATACCCCACTTCACGAAAATCGCGAAGCCCGGGTAATCAGTCGGATGAGGCTACATGCAATGGCTGAAATTAAAATTATACAGGTCCATTTGCAGACTTGATAAAAGACGAGTTTTGCATTTCATTGAATCAGGTTTTGCCGTATTTCAAAGTTACATAATGTGTGTCTACTTGAAATAGGACCAGGTATGGGCGGAATATCTTCACACAAAAATTCAAACGATGAGTACAGAACCCGTTGTAAAAACCACCAAGGCCCTAAAGGCCTAAAACATGGGATTTCTTTTTACATTATTTTTACGGAGTCCATCTTCAGTCATAAATGTTGGAATGAACGCAGAAAACTACCATTACGGAACTGGTATAAAAAGCCTAAAACGCTTGATTTTAATTGTTATCTCTCATCAAAACAAATCCGAACTCGAAAAATACATGGAAAACAAATTTTGCAAAAAATTTCACAAAAGCGCGCCCGTCGTCCCCTGAGGGACTTTCGGACTCGCTTTTGCTTTGAGGGGGCTCGTGCGAATAGCGTGAGGTGTCTGGAACCTCCACGCCCGTGCGTGTACGCGTCAACCCCGGTGAAGAGATTCGAACCGGGGTGTGTAGCGCCTGAGTCCGCCACCGTGCCGGGTACGCCGCGCAGGTGGCGGCGAATACTTTACCCTGAGGGACGGGCTTATATACAATACCCCAGTCACCCACTGCACATGCCTTCTGCTGCGATTTTCGCCTCGATCAGTTGAACTTTCAGATGTACTTTCGACCCGTTCTCGTGGTTTACAGCGTTCAACTGCAGACACAGAAACGGTTTTCCTCTCAAAGTTGGTTGATTCTACAACTGGGAAGCTCCTCAATTCATAACTAATGTACTTTCGACGAGACTTCCAAGCGATTAAAGCCATATAACAGAGGCTTTTTTTTATTTCGCATCGAACATTAGTTGGCAAGATTTCGATTCTGAAAGTGAATACAGCAATACAGTACTGTATTTCACAGATAATTCAATATTCGGTTCTGTACCTGCCCGGAAAAGACTGTTGAAGCATCAAATAAACTCAGCCTGCTTTCATAAATATTTAGATAGATGACTGCAGTGTCGATGATCATTAGCCAATTATATGCTGTACTATAAATACCGTAATCCATCTTAATCCAATACCGTACTACAATAGATTGTACAAAATAAAATAAATACTGTATCTCGACCCTCTTCATCACGCAATTATGAGGATACTCAGGCTTGAACCTGCATTCAACATACAGTGCACAATTACGCACGCATTATGCAAATCTCATTGAACATCGCAGACTCTCTTCAAATCTCCAACAGAGGTACGCTCTGAAGATTTCAATTCTCAGAATTGAAAGGTAAAAAACTTCGAACACATGAAACAATACATACAGCTCTGTATTCATCAGTGAACAACCGGAAGACTATCTTCGGCGTGACAATTTTTCAGAGAACTTTTTAAACCCCTAATGAAACTTGTACAGTTGTGTTTTTCTATTGATGCGAAAATTAGGGGGATAAGCTTACGGGACATGAGGGAAACCGGCGTGGTCTCGTATATTTTCAGAGTTAATTTTTTCACAATCATTACGGTGCCCCGCGTTTCTCCAATTTTTTTTTCTAATTTAAAACTATTTCCAGCACATTGCACGCTTGATCAATTCTACTTTTCATGCATCTGCATGTTCATACTCTACTTGCTGTTTTTGTCCGTTAGTCTCAACCACACATACTTTAGAAAGGAAGTAACATTAGTCTCCACGAATATTTCGAGAAGCTGTTGAAAACAGATAATAAAAAGAAACATCACTAACGAGGAACTTCGATAAAAAGCATGAACGCTCGATATTAATCATTGCAATGACATTTTATGAAAACAATGCTCAACTAGAAAAAAATAGGTAAATGAAAAGTGATCTTTTGGAAATAAGTGACAAAAGCGCGCCCGTCGTCCCCTGAGGGACTTTCGGACTCGCTTTTGCTTTGAGGGGGCTCGTGCGAATAGCGTGAGGTGTCTGGAACCTCCACGCCCGTGCGTGTACGCGTCAACCCCGGTGAAGAGATTCGAACCGGGGTGTGTAGCGCCTGAGTCCGCCACCATGCCGGGTACGCCGCGCAGGTGGCGGCGAATACTTCACCCTGAGGGACGGGGTTATATACAATACCCCAGTCACCCAATGTACATGCCTTCTGCCACGATTTTCGCCTATATTATCAACCCGTTATCATGGTTCACAGCGTTCAACAGCAGTCACAGAAAAGGTTTCCCTCTCAAAGTCGGTTGATTTTATAATTGGGAAGCTCCTCAATTCATAAATACTGTACTCTCGAAGAGACTTTCCAACAATCAACGCGAATGAACGAAGGCTTTTTCGTTTCTTATCCAACATAGGTTTGCAAGATTTCGATTCTGAAAGTGAATACTGCACAGCAATACTGTATTTCTCGGGAAATTCAAATCTCGGTGCTGTAAATGCCCGAAAAAAACTGTTGGAAGCATCAAATGAACTCAACCTGCTTTCATAATTACAGTATTAAGATCAACTTCATGGTCGATGATCATTAGTCGTTTATATGCCGCACCACAATTAATCCATCTTAATCCAATCGTACAACAATAAACTGTACGGTATAAAATAAACAGTATATCTCGACCGTTTTCATCACGCAATTATAAGGAGAATTATAAGGATCACGCAATTATGAGGATTATTATCAGGCTTGAACCTGCATTAAACATGAAGTACAGTACAATTACATACTGCACGCGACGATGGGCAACACAATTCTCTCGCATGATTACCGTATTTAAAGATGAACCAAGGTCTATTTTTGTCAAAGGGTTTTCAGTAACACATTGAAAATTACCGTGGTTTTCATTATGCGAATTTTTTGGCGACGGACCAGTCAACAAAAAAGGACAAGAAAAAACTACGCACAGGACTAGACTCGTATAAAGCACTATCAAGCAAAACTTTTCGCGTAGAAAATTACCAGAAAAAATATACTGTATACTGTTGATAAAAAAAAAATACCGGAGAAGGTACAAGTTTCTGTTAAGAGTTCCTTTTTTCAACGATTCGCGGAAAAAGAAAGGTGCGCAGACGGCACTAGAGGAGGATTCGACATTCACATAAGACAAGACTTTCGAAGGGTCTCATCCAAAGTTGTTGGGACACTAAAACTTTTTTGTGCCAGATCACATAATGTGTCATATTTTCCTGTTTTTGTAGAATTTCAAGAAAAATCTTCAACACTCTGTATACTGATTCATCGTCATTTCTTGCGCGTCCTTTGACAAACTGATGATCTGTTCGCTAAATCAAGGAAAATAAATGCTAATACTGTATCATTCCTTGGTTCTTGATTGTTGAGCAATATTTACACTGAAGAAAGTTTTGAAATCTTTACTCACAAAATTCAGCAATACAGTCGAACCTTTCTGAGTCAAATTTAAAGGGAACAGCAAAACTTTGCGTTGGGGAAACAAGCATTTTATTGCGGGAAAGCAGGAAGACTAGCAAGCAATTTCAATTGGTGACATTCTGAACCTTGAATTGCTTCTAAAATGAGTTGACAGGATGCTGAACTTGGAGGCAATGGTTCATTTGCCCTACTATTCTTTCACTTCCCTTCAAAACACATTCTAACTTTTTCATTATTTTCATCTTTAGTGCGTCAAGAAAATAATTGGGAAAAGGCCTCACAATGTTCAAGTTGAGAGGTTTGAGTTTCAGAAGTTTTTCATGCATTGGTGCTACGGGAATCCAGGTGAGGACATGAAAAATTCGACTTACCAGCTATTGCGGTTCAACTGCATTTTCCTCCTCTGTCGTCAAGAAAGTTGGATTTCTGGAGGGAAGAAATGTTTCAAAAAGCGCGCCCGGCATCTCCCTGGGGAGCTTCGGACTCGCTTTTTCCGTGAGTGAGCGAAGGATTCTGGCGCCGCGTGCAAGCGGAAGGCCAGTCTGTGCGTGAGACAGACAAGCCCGATCAAGGACGAGTTACCCCTAGTGCAGAGATACACACGGGGGGGCTCTGAATGAGCTCCATGGCCTGGTGGAGGCGGATGGGCGTTCGGTGCTGAGACTACCGAGTGCAGTGAGGCACGCGTCAACCCCGACCAGGGTCTCTAGCGTGTGAAAGCCGACCACCGTACTGCGCAGGCCGCGCACGGTGGCGAAATACAGTCTCCACTGAGGGAGGGACTATATCTCAACTGAGGGAGGGACTATATCTCAACTGAGGGAGGGACTATATCTCAACTGAGGGAGGGACTATATACGGTACCCCAGTGTCCCTTACAACCTTCACATCGTTTGGCGGTCAAAATACCGTTATTCGTTTCGCAGCCTCCAGCAACTGGGCTCAAGAGAAGGAACCCCAGCACCCGCCAAGTTGGATTCGTAGATTCACGAAAATACTCGTCTGGTCAAAACTTCAATTAATTGAGATAAATGTTGCTCAAGCGTATGGCACGTGAGCGAAATCGGCGCAGTCTCATATATTTTCCGAGTTAATTTTTTCACAATGTTTGACGTTTCTCCTTTTTTTAATTTATAATTTAAAACTATTTCCAGCACATCGCACGCTTGATCAATTCTACTTTTATCGCATCTGCATGTACATACTGCGTTTGAGGGAACTTCTCAGCAAGTGAAAATCATAGGGTCTCTTCGAATTTCGAAAAAAAAATGAAAGAGTTCAACTTGGGAACGCTCGAGACATCGAAGTTCAACTGGAGAATTGTAACATCAAATACAGGAAATTTATTTTCAATCAAAACAAAAGCTTGGCACAGTTCTGTAGAAAACGCTACACAGCCACACAAATACCCCTTGAGAAATGTTCAAAGAAAAGCAAACTTTGGGCAAAATACTGTACGCTTCACATCACGAAAATCTCAAAGCCCTTTTGGTAGTGAGTCATGAGAATCAGTCGAATACTGTAAGCTACATACAACAGCTGAAATTAACATTTTACACGTCGATTTGCAGGCTTGGGCACACTTGATGAAAGACGGACAACCTGCGTTCTGTATTTCATTGGATCAGGTTTTAACGTATTTCGAAGTCACATACTGTATATCCCCTTGAAATAGGACCAGGTGTAAAATCTCCGCAGCAAAATTCAAGGGACCAGAAAAAAACTCAGTCGTAGAAACCCCCCAAGGCCCTATAACATTATACTTATTTTCAAAAAGAACAGGTATGTAGACAAGATATTTGCGGAGTCCACCTTTAGTCATAGAAGTTACAATGAACGCAGGGAACTACTACTGAGGAACTTCGATAAAAAGCATAAACGCTTGATTTCATTTATTGTAATGATATCTTATGAAAACAATTCTAAACTGGAAAAAATATTTAAATAAGTGACAAAAGCGCGCCCGTCGTCCCATGAGGAACTTTCGGACTCGCTTTTGCTTTGGGGGCTCGTGCGAATGGCGTGAGGTGTCTGGAACCTCCACGCCCGTGCATGTACGCGTCAACCCCGGTGAGAGATTCGAACCGGGGTGTGTAGCGCCTGAGTCCGCCACCGTGCCGGGTACGCCGCGCAGGTGGCGGCGAATACAAGACCATGAGGGACGGGGTTATATACAATACCCCAGTCACCCACTGCACATGCCTTCTGCCGCGATTTTCGCCTCGATCATCAACCCGTTATCGTGGTTCACAGCTGCAGTCACAGAAAAGGCTTCCCTCTCAAAAATGATTGATTCACCGACTATGGGGTCCTCAATTCAGAACTAATTTACTTCCGACGAGACTTGCAAGTGATTATAACCATATAACAGAGGCTTTTTTTTTGATTCCTGATCGAACATCAATTTGCAAGATTTTGATCCTGGAAGGGAATACAGCAAGAATTCAACTTTTGATGCTGTACATGCACGGACAAAACAGTTGAAGCATCAGATGAACTCAGTCTGCTTTCACAAGTATTTAGATCGACTGCATGGTCGATGATCATTAGTCGATTATATGCCGCACCACAATTAATCCATCTTAATCCAATTGTACTGTACTACAATAAACTGTACGGTATAAAATAAACAGTATATCTCAACCCTTTTCATCACGCAATTATGAGGAGAATTATAAGGATCACACAACTATGAGGATTATTATCAGGCTTGAACCTGCGTTAAACATGAATTACAGTACAATTACATACTGCTCGCGACGATAGGCAAAACAATTCTCTCGCATGATTACCGGATTTAAAGATGAACCAAGGTCTATTCTTGACAAAGGGTTTTCAGTAACACATTAAAAATTACCGTAGTTTTCATCATGCGAATTTTTTGGCGACGGACCAGTCAACAACACGAGCAAGAAAATAAGTGCACAGGACTGTACTCGTATACAGCACTACAAACCACAATTTTTGCGGAGAAAATGTATACTTTACATATAAATAAATACCGTAGATGCGTAGAAGGTACAAGTATCAGTTAGAGTTCTTTTTTTTTTCAACGATTCGCGGCAAAAGATAGGTGCGCAGACGGCACTAGAGGGGGATTCGATATTCACGGAAGACAAGACTTTCGAAGGGTCTCATCCAAAGTAGTTGGGACACTAAAACTTTTTTGTGCATGATCATAAAATTTGTAATATTTTTCCGTATTTTTGTGGAATCTTAAGAACAATCTTCAGCACATTCTATACTGATTCATCGCCACTTCTTGTACATGCTTTGACATACAGAAAATCTGTTCGCTAAATCAAGGAAAATAAATGCTAATATCATTCTTTTTTTTTTTTTTTCAAGAAAGCAAGAAGACTAGCAGGAAATTTCAATTGGTGACATTCTGAACCTTGAATTGCTTCTTAAATGATTTGACAGGATGCTGAACTTGGAGGCAATGGTTCATTTGCTCTATTATTCTTTCACTTCCCTTCAAAACACATTCTAACTTTTTCATTATTTTCATCTTTCCTGTGTCCAGAAATTAATGGGGAAAAGGCCTCACAAAGTTCAAGTTACAGAGGGTTGAGAATCCTTTGAGTTTCAGAAGTTTTTCATGCATTGGTGCTAAGGGAATCCAGGTTGAGGACATGAAAAATTCGACTTACCAACTATTGCAGTTTCCACTGCATTTTCCTCCTCTGTTGTCAAAAAAGTTGGGTTTATGGAGGGAAGAAATGTTTCAAAAAGCGCGCCCGCCATCTCCCTGGGGAGCTTCGGACTCGCTTTTTCCGTGAGTTAACGGGCACCGCGATCGAGCGGAAGAGAATTCTGTTAATGACACAGACAAGCCAAGAGACAGGCTACCGAGCTCCGTGAGGCACACGTCGACCCCGTCGAAGAGGCTCGAACCGGGGTCTCGAGCGTGAGAGCCGACCACCGTACCGTGAAGGCCGCGCACGGTGGCAACAAAACCGATTAACTGAGGAAGAGGCTATATACTGTACCCCAATGTCCCTTCCAACCTCATAGTTCAGCTGTCAAAAAACCGTCATCTTGTTCAGCAGCCTCCAAGGATTGTAGATTCAAGAAAATACTGGTGCTCAAGGGTATGGGATATGAGCGAAGTCGGCGCGGTCTCATAAATTTTCCGAGTTAATTTTTTTTTCACGATCAATACATAGTTTGACGTTTCTCCCATTTTTTTTTTTAGAATTTAAAACTATTTCCAGCACATTGCTCGCTTGATCAATTCTACTTTTATCGCATCTACATGTATATAGTTCGTTTGAAGAAACTTGTAAGCAAGTGAACATCAGAGGCTCTCTTCGAATAAAAATTAACAGAGGGAGGTGTTCAACTTGGGAACGCTCGAGACATCGAAGTTCAACTGCATAATTATTACCTGAAATACGGGAAATTTATTTTTTAGCAAAACAAAAGCTTGGCACAGTTCTGTAGAAAACGCTACACAGCCACACGAATACCCCTTGAGAAATGTTCGATGAAACGCAAACTTCGGGCAAAATACTGTACGCTTCACGAAAATTTCGAAGCACTTTTGGTGGTCAGTCCGGAGAATCAGTCGAATACTGTAAGCTACATACTACAGCTGAAGTTAACATTTTACAGGTAGATTTGCAAGCTTGAGCACACTTGATAAAATACGGACAACCTGCGTTCTGTATTTCATTGAATCAGGTTTTACCGTACTTCAAAATCACACACTGTATATCCACTTCAAATAGGATCAGGTGTAATATCTCCGCAGCAAAATTCAAGGAACCAGAAAAAAACTCCGTCGTAGAAACCCCCCAAGGCCCTATAACATCATACTTATTTTTAAAAAGAATAGGTATGTAGACAAGATATTTGCGGAGTCCACTTTTAGTCATAGAAGTTACAATGAACGCAGGAAACTACTACTGAGGAACTTCGATAAAAAGCATACACGCTTGATTTCATTCATTGTAATGATATCTCATGAAAACAATTCTAAACTGGAAAAAATATTTAAATAAGTGACAAAAGCGCGCCCGTCGTCCCCTGAGGGACTTTCGGACTCGCTTTTCAAGGAACCTTATTTAAAAATATTTAAATAAGTGACAAAAGCGCGCCCGTCGTCCCCTGAGGGACTTCCGGACTCGCTTTTGCTTTGGGGGCTCGTGCGAATGGCGTGAGGTGTCTGGAACCTCCACGCCCGTGCATGTACGCGTCAACCCCGGTGAGAGATTCGAACCGGGGTGTTTAGCGCCTGAGTCCGCCACCGTGCCGGTTACGCCGCGCAGGTGGCGGCGAATACAAGACCCTGAGGGACGGGGTTATATACAATACCCCAGTCACCCACTGCACATGCCTTCTGCCGCGATTTTCGCCTCCATCATCAACCCGTTATCGTGGTTTACAGCGTTCAACTGCAGTCACAGAAAAGGTTTTCCTTTCAAAGTCGGTTGAATTTATAACTGGGAAGCTCCTCAATTCATAAGTAATGTACAGTACTTCCGACGAGACTTTCAAGCAATTAAAGCCATTTAACAGAGGCTTTTTTTTATTCCGCATCGAACATTAGTTGGCAAGATTTCGATTCTGAAAGTGAATACAGCAATACTGTATTTCACACATAATTCAATTCTCGGTGCTCTACATGCCCGCAAAAGACTGTTGAAGCATCAAATGAACTCAGCCTGCTTTCATATTATTTCGATCGATGACTGAATGGTCGATGATCATTAACCAATTATATGCTGTACCATAAATACTGTAATCCATCTTAATCCAATACCGCACTACAATAGATTGTATAAAATAAAATAAATACTGTATCTCGACCCTCTTCATCACGCAATTATGAGGATACTCAGGCTTGAACCTGCATTCAACATATACAGTACACAATTACGCACGCATTATGCAAATCTCATTGAACATCGGAGGCTCTCTTCGAATCTCCAGCAGAGGTACGTTCTAAAGATTTCAATTCTCAGAATTGAAAGGTAAAAAAACATCGAAAACATGAAACAATACATACAGTTCTGTATTCATCATTATACAACCGGAAGACTACCTTCGGCGTGAACATTTTTCAGAGAACTTTTGAAACCCCTAATGAAACTTGTTCAGGTATGTTTTTTTCTGAAAAAAATTAGGGGGAAAAGCGTACGGTAAAAGAGCGAAGTCGGCGCGGTCTCACATATTTTCAAAGTTAATTTTTCACGATGATTACGACGTTTCTCCCGTTTTTTTTAAATGATTTAAAACTTTTTCCAGCACATTGCACGCTTGATCAATTCTACTTTTCGTGCATCTGCATGTTTATACAGACATGCTGTTTTTGTCCCTCAGTCTCAACCACTATGAATGAATGAAAATATACGGTCTAGTCATCACTGCCCCTTTCTCCGTTGCAGGGCAACATTTCCATCTCGGAATTTTGTTATACACATACTTCAGAAAGAAAGTAATATTAGTGTCCCCGAATATTTCGAGAGGCTGTTAAAAACAGATAATGAAACGAATCATCACTAACGAGGAACTTCGATAAAAAGCATAAACGCTTGATTTCATTTATTGTAATGATATCTTATGAAAACAATTCTAAACTGGAAAAAATATTTAAATAAGTGACAAAAGCGCGCCCGTCGTCCCCTGAGGGACTTTCGGACTCGCTTTTGCTTTGGGGGCTCGTGCGAATGGCGTGAGGTGTCTGGAACCTCCACGCCCGTGCGTGTACGCGTCAACCCCGGTGAAGAGATTCGAACCGGGGTGTGTAGCGCCTGAGTCCGCCACCGTGCCGGGTACGCCGCGCAGGTGGCGGCGAATACTATACCCTGAGGGACGGGGTTATATACAATACCCCAGTATGCCTTCTGCCGCGATCTTCGCCTCCATCATCAACCCGTTATCGTGGTTTACAGCGTTCAACTGCAGTCACAGAAAAGGTTTCCCTCTCAAAGTTGGTTGATTCACCGACTAAAGGGTTCCTCAACTCAGAACTAATGCACAGTACTTCGGACGAGACTTTCAAGCGATTATAGCCATATATAACAGAGGCTTTTGTTTATTCCCCATCGAACATCAGTTCGCAAGATTTCTGTTCTGAAAGTGAATATTGTACAGCAATACCGTCTTTAACAGAGATGTCAATTCTCGGTGCTGTACATTCCCGGGAAAAACTGTTGAAGAATCGAATGAACTCAGCCTGCGGGACCCTCATGCACTTCCTGAGGGTCCCGGGAAGTGCATCAAGACTGCGCGGCAAATTTTCAAAAGTTGAGGACTCAATTGAAGATTAACGCTTACAAACATTCGGCATGGAACTTCGACTGAGAACTTACTTGTAGGAGAGACGATGTTTGCGGATTCCAACGTTCCTCTGGACGTCCGTGCCATGTGTTGAGTACTGACAAACACACACGACCCTCGTTATACAAGTTGGGATTGAATCGGACGGTGTGATTTCCCGTTGTTTGCAAGTGAACTTTCATCGGTGAGTTCGGGTAGTCCATGGGAAAGAACACGTCGAATTCGAAAATTCCGTTTGCGTACGGAGTATCGTCAGGTCCCGTTATTAAAACCTTTGGGGAAACTTAATTTTAGTCATAAGTAAAGAATGACACGCATCGAAAATGTTACTGTACAGTATATGAACGGGTTTCGCAATCACTTCACTACAGAAACCTAACCAGGACATTGAAGTCACGTGTGCGGCAGATTAGTCATCTAAATTATTTTTTTTACATATACCCACCGCATTCGCAAATTTTATCCCTAATTTACCTGAAGAAATTGAGAGATTCTTGGACCAGTTCACGTCAACAATTTCTTCATTTTGTTTCTATAAGTGATTTTTGGGCATACTCGAAGCTGATCTTATTAACAGAAATACGAAGTTGTTCGATATTATAATGGTGTTTTAAAACGAAAAGAAAACATTAAAACTGACACTCAGCGAACAAGGCAGAATATGAAGTCCCAATTCGGAGAATGCAACCAGATCCCCGATAAAATTTATGATTCTCTTTTTTAATTTTTTTTCAGAATGCTGACGATACCTTTTGTAATCACCCATTTTATGAATACAGTACTACACTTTAATAGTTTAATATATAGTTACTGCATTTCAAAAAGTATGACAGAGCTAAAATTATTCCGATCATTCCATTCAAGGGATGTATCCAAAGTTTTTATTTTATTTAGAAAATGTCATTTAGGCAGTTTTTTCCGAGAAATATCGTTAACTCTCCAAGCGTGCAACGATATCTCGCCATTTTTCTTGAATTTTGCTCAATCTCTTCAGCATTTACTCTTAGCAGAATTGGCACCAAAATGCAAGTAAGTTGTGTCTCTGATTTATAACCCATGATTCCCTCACAAGACGCGTCAACTCGGATATTCTTGGTAAAAATAGAATGAAAGCTTGCAGTTTTTTTCAAGCGAAGAAAGAACATGCATTTTATCAAGAACATAAAAATATCTCATAGAAAATCTACGCTGATTTTTTGAATCATGGCTGACCCAGAATGACGCATCCTGTGAAAAATTCGTGGATTCGGAGGATTAAACTTTGAAATCACAGTTTCACGAGTCAATCCTATTGGGAACTTTTTTCCTAATGAGGAATAGAAAAGGAAACTTTTAAAGGGAAGCTTAAGAGGAACTTATAAAATACTGGCGGACTCTCACAACAAAGAAATTCAGGGGACCAAAACAATATTTTTTACAGAGAAACCCCAAAACATAGGCAGAGAACCCTGTGAGACCCGAAACAAATTTTTCACACAGATAAATTCGTTGCAGAGAGTCTACCTGTATCACCACCACACGTGGAGAACTCACAGAGACATAGAGAACCGCCAAAATGAAATTTTTCCAATATCACGCCACGTTTGTGCACGTTATGAAATTGAACGTGATGCAAAGCATTGGCCTGAAGAATTTAGTCGTTGATTTTCATCATTGCCCCGCAAAACTAACCTTCATGACATCCAAGCGATCTGAATCCGTGCGCACAAACACCGAGCTTGAATACGACAATGGCAGAGCGGACGAAAGTGAGACCATCTCTTGAGCAAGTCGCTTGAGTCGCCCACTGTTCACTTGCCCGGCGGCTCCAGTGGCCATCGATGAAGTGGCGTCTCGCTCAAAGTGAAACGGAACACTGAACCGCATTTTCCCGGGTTCGTCTTCATTTTCCTTCATGATTTCAAAATCCCGAAACTGCAGTGGCCGCATCGCGTTGACGTAGAGTTGAGGGGTCAAACGTAGCGTATCGCCGAGATGAGGGGAAGAATCCATTGACATTGTTCCATCCAAGAAGTCCATGACCGGAACTTCGATTGCGTCATCAAAATACGTCACACACTGAAAAATGTAAATTCCAATCATTTTATTCATCGTTAAACTTGAAGAGCGTTTATGGAATAATTAGACCACGTATCATAGTTCTCCAAAAATACGATCCAGTAACTTCAGAGTGAGCCCCCACATAACTGAAAATCCGCAGGACGAAATTTTCCAATTGGAAAAACAGATTAAAAAAATTTCAAAGCCAAAAAACGTCCAGATTTCAGCAATCTTCGTCCTGACTTTGGGGACACTTATTTTCATTTAATCGAGGAAAATTCGAAAAAAAAGGCATGTAGCTTAACCTCTATTCGTCTTGAAATCTCGTGAGAATTAAAAAGGTAAGTGCGCAAGCTGGACAGGATTACTTAAATTTCGTGTTAATCAATTCTAGGTTCACAATTCTATGCTGCAAACTCGAAAAAAAAAAATTGTGCATGTTTATCACAGTATTTGCATGACTGCGCGGGACGAATTGAATAATTTATTATGTATCCTTCAGAGAAAACGCATTCCGCATAACGACACGCATCCATGAACGGATTATTTTCGTTATAGGGGGAACTCTCCACCGAAGTAACGCGCAACAAATTTAATTTTGCAGCAGTTTTTTTTTTTCTTACGGAACAAATTTCAACGCTCTTTATTCACTTGATAATGGGAATACAATATATCACCTTGACGAGTTCGGCGGTCTTCAAAATTTTTGGAATGAGGAATGCCAAGCCTTGATCGTCAGCGTCAAGAATCAACCCTTCAACAGTAGACGCATGATCGAAAACACCTTCCCTCGGTCCAACTCCAACTGAGCACGTATTTTTTGACGTCGCAGTCTGGGATGCTCTGCGCAGGACGAACACAATTCATTATTTCACAGATGAGCATGCGTCGATCAAGTGGCGGGTAAAAAATGAATACTAACCTCAACGTCTTAACATATGTATCCACGCATTTATGCATATTCTCCAGCAATGCAGCGATGGAATTATGAGACCCAGAGTTTGTAACATCATATGGGTCAGGAAGTAGGAGATGAACGAGTGAATCCGTAGCGGCGATGGCTTCCAAGAGGTCAAGAACGCTCATAAACAATGGAACGTGTCTTGCCATATCCAGGACTAGTAAATAAAACAGTGAGATGAATGCATTCCGACTGAGCATCTGAATTTCTCGATACAGTACGAGGGTTCTAACAAAAGTTCTCGGAAAGAAAATGAAGTATAATCGAGCTGAAAAAAATTATTCACAGCCGCCAATGTGGCGGCTGTGGAGGCGGCTGTCGATGAAAATGGCGGTAATAACTTGGAAGACCTGGAGGCAACCCTTGGAATTAATGCCACGTTGATTTCAAGGATTCTGAGGGAAAAGCTGGGCTACAAAAAAAAAAAAAAAAAAAAAAAAAAAAAAAGAAAGCTCGATTAGACGCCATTTTCATTTTCATTCCGAGAACTTTCGTTAGAAGTTAGAACCCTCGTATTTCTCCGATTCCGAAGATGAACTACATCCCCTAATTTTAATTTTAACGCTTTCTACTGCAATAAATATATTGTAGTGAAAAGCAATTAGCGCATCTGAAGAAAACAATTCAGAAAACTTGGAACACCCACGAGAAAATTAGTTTCTGAATTAAACTGTTGTTCACGAAAATCACAGTAGCTGCGCATTGAAGTCAACATTTCCGCATTTTGGACAGAAATTCATCATTACTGGCGTTGAACGCGTAAGAACGTATTAAAAAAATTAAGGAGAAAAAAGTGTAGAAATAGGTTTTGGTTACTTTGAAAATAGTTCCTCTTGGAATCCGATCAACCCACGTTTTGCTATCGCAGTTTTCCATAAGAGAAATTCGATGTAGACGGATTTTAGATGACCAGGCATTGAATGAAAAATAAAACTTCACTCGCACAAGATATCTACCCACAGTGAAAAAATGTGTCCTTGCAACGGACCAAGAAGGAACCTTCAACACATGACCGATCAATTTCTCACACCACAGCGAACATTTTAAACACCCAATCACTCCTATGAAGAAAGTGAAGAAAAAAGAAGACAAACCTGAGTCATTTCGCATGTACGCTTTGATAGCTTCACTAAGGCAAGATTGCTCCAACATTCGACTCAACTCTTCGGGTAACCTTCCTTTCCGTTCCTCGCCAAATTCCTCTCCCCAATCATCCTTTTTAACGCTAGGTTTCAAGAAGGCGGCAAGGCAGGAAAACAAAACCGCCAAATGCCTTTCCCGCGATTCCAGCCGTTTAAATGCCCGGTCCGCATCCCAAGATTGCATCATGCTCCCGGTTCCGAATCCAGTACCCTTGGCCCAATACAACCCAGCGTCAGCGGGTTTCTTTGGAGCAGATGGCATCACGAAAATTGGCGTCGACGGCGCATCAGAGGCCTCCGTCTTGCTGAGGCTTTTGTAGCCAGTTTCCTTGATCATTTTCAGGGAATTCGCCAGGAAAGGTGAAATTTTCTTGTGAAGTCCAGATAGTTTCTTAGCTGTTTGTACCGCATTCGACATGGAGACTTGGAGGGATTGGTAAGGGTCCTGGTTTGTCGATGGAGATGGAGGCACGTATACTGAAGGTACATAGTACACCATGTTTTGCGACGACGAACTCGCAGTTGATCGCGTTGCTTGCGATTTTTCTCCGGACGACGCGATTGACGCCTTGAGTGCGCCCAAGATAAGCTGAAAATACACATATTCCGTGTCAGTAATATGAAGAAAAAACTTTTCCTATTACATTATCGAAGTTGAATAGGCAAGAAGACCTTGAAAGAGGGACATGTTGAATTTTTTCTTCAATCGGAACATTTAAAAATAAGTATAATAGAAAAAGTATCTGCAACTAAATGGTACTACTCTTCTCTCTTGAACACATGTCCAGATAATTTACAAATTTCAATTTATATAAATTGAAATTTGTAAATTATCTGTACTATGCTTTTTATAAAAAGAATAAATAAAACTTCGAGCAATGAGAAAACACTGGTGGAGTTTTGAATATTAGAGTCTAAAAATTGTGAAATTTAGAAAGCTAAAATCAAGAAGGTATCAGGATTACTTCAATTTCATACTAATCAAATTAAATTCACTATTTACCGCTGAATACACATATTTTATGGTTCATCGTGGTGTTTTAGTGGATGTCTGGAGCGAATTACAACGTAACCGTATGAAAAACGGGGTTTCGAATTAGAAAAACTCCACATAACGAAACTAATCCAGAAACGAATTACGGTAGTTTCGTTATGCGAGGACCAACTGTATGGCATATCCGCATTTAAACGCAGAACAAGAGGGTTCATTCTGACGGAGTTGAAAAAAAAGGCTACAAACACTACATAAAACATCCCGAAACTCTTCGGCATCTCTTCGATAAAACACAATACAGCATGCAAAAATTAGGCTTACCTCGTCGAGCTTTCCAGAAACAACAATGCCAGAGTCATTGGAATGTGACAGCACAGCCATGCAGCTAAGAATCATGTTCAGCGCTCCGGTTTCCATCAGCGCCTTTCGAGTCAATGTTCCGTCGTCGGTATGCAAAGGGAGGCTCAGCAAAAATTCTTTCATCATCTGGAATGGGTAAAATGCCACTCCTGTGCTTTCTCCGTCGAAGGTGAATTGCTCGCACGTGGATTCGAGCGTGGGGATGATGACGTCTACAAAAAAAAAAAAAAAAAAGAACGTATCAAAACCAACGAAGCACTAAAAAAATCGATACGATCATTCTTCTTTGGTTGAATGCACGACATTTAAAATTCTGAAGCAGCGATTAAAAGCCATGCATCCGTACTTCCTGCAAAAGAAAATGAAATAAATTCTGTTCGAAACGATTTCACGAAGAATATTCCTAAATACGAAGTAACCATATTCGATAATCATGAAAAAAATCCGTTCGCAATCTTGGCCGAACAGAACAACTCACTTCCAGCGGCATCCTCAGTTGCACCCAGAGCGAGTCGTAGTAAACAATGGGCCTTCGTTTTGTTCCTCGTAAAGAATTCGGCATATCCCTGTAGTTTGAGGAATGTAGCCATAAGGGACAAGATATGCGGAGGGAACGCCACGGGATCCCAGCTGAAGCCCATTCCCCGTTCCGCGAGTACAGCAGGTTTCGATTTGAAGAAGTCACCAGGACCGGTCTTCCCGCCAGCTTGGGCCACCGACATCGGGAGGAAAATAACGTTTTGCTGCATATCCTCCATGCAATTTTCAAGCATCAACTCCTTCGAGAAAAAAAAAATTAACTTAATTCACACATTTCATTGCAATCTGATACACAGTGCATAAATTCTACCCCGAAAAAAATCCTCTTACTTCCAAATAAGTGTCTCTATCTACGGTTATTGTCAGTCCAACGCCCACACCTAGGGATTTTTTCGTCGTCGTATACGAGCCTTACGTTTATTACCACAGATCTAAAATTGGTTATACCGTATCTCAAGTTTACAAGTTAAGCTACAGGAAACTGCTGAAGGTAAGGTTAGTCACTTTAATTCACCAGAGCTATAATAAAGTAGAATCTCGTCAAAACGTAGAACGTAATAACGAATGATCGCTTGAAACGAATTCCTTTTTTCGGTATATGTTAGATAGCCACGATGTTATTCCAGTTTCTATATAAAGAACTTTTCGTGATACCGAAGCTGTTCTACCGGTCCCGATGACTTCGTTGTAAAGAGATTTTACTGTATTTTGATCACGTTAGCATGTCAGGGGGCTACACATAACTGACATGTTTACAAGCAAGCTCGGGCATTAACGTGAGAAGATGCAACTGAGAAGTTGGGACAATACTATTTGAAGTACAAACAAATATCAACACTCGAAAAATCGACGATTACGAATACAAGCACTCGAACAACAAAAACACAGAATAAAATGCAAAAAAAAAGGCGGAAAAGAAGGCAGCTTCCAACAGAGATTACTGAATTCAAAAATGAGCTTTTAATATCGCTGGCTGCACGCCACTTCATCGGCATAAATTTCGTGAAGGTAATTTTTACCTCGTCATAAGTCTCTTCAAAGGTGGCCTTCATATGAGCCGCCTGATCAGGATTGCTGACGACGCTGACACCGTGAGCTACTGTTGGCACCGCTGTCGCGCTTAATCCCTGCAGAGTGATGAGTGACGGTACAGAATTAATGTCCATTTGAACAGACGACGTTACCTTCGACAAAAGTGTGTTCATGAGAGGAAGTTGTTTCGCGAGCACACCGAGTCCCCCACACTTTGTGAAGCACTCGAACAGGTCGGGAATCGACTTCAGTTCGAGGAGATTTTGAGCGGAATCCTCCTCTTCGCCACCTAAACGGAGATTTCAACAAGATTTGATGAAATCCGATCTCTCCGCACAAAAAATGTTTGTATAGAGGACGTCGGAAACAATTGAAGGTTTTCTTCGCAGCATTGAAGCTGTCATTTGCAGCAAGTTGAAAAAAAAACACTTCTCCATGTGCCAAAATCAAAATAAAACAAAAGCTCGAAGTAACCTTCGGGTGAGGCGAGGACGTCAGCGGAAACACGGCTATCAGTTCGGTTCTCCCGACTGAAAACTCGAACATGAATCGTTAAATATCGATTGTACTGGCAGCCGTCTCGGATTTCCAAAGCAGCCAACAACTGGCCAAAAGTCAGTAGCTCAGGAAGATTTCTTTTGCCAAGAGAATCCTGTCGGTACGTCATCAAGGCTTCGCCTGATTTCTCGGCTACAAAGCGAACAGAAAAAACATTTTTCCCAACTATCAGTTTCAATTCAACAGCACACAAATTGCCATGTCTGTGCTATGATAAAAGGTAGAATGGAAACTCATGCTAATTAATACTGCATAGCTACGAAAATCGTCTCGAACAGATTTTTGAAGATCTTCTGCAATTATTTTTTTATACAGTATCCTGTAGCAAAGGTGCGAAACTTCGAAAATCGTTAAACCCCTCACGACGTCAGAACAATCATTCAAAGCTTTCTTCGACTAAACTATTGCATACAGATCGATCATCCAGAGAATTTAAATTTCGTAAAAATCTTTAATTATTGCTAATTCAAAAAATCACGAGAAAATATAGTACTTTATTTTATTGCTCGTCTTGTATTCTATTTATTTATTATCCAAGATACAAATTTTAAAATAATGCTATAAAAATTACCAAACGAAGAAACGTATTATTCTCTAGCTCCAAAAAATGTACAGTACTATAAACTAATTTTTAAAATCACTCATCATTGGAAAAGCAGCTCCATTGAACTCAAATAAAGTGACGAAGCGTAGCTCACTTGGACCACAGAGGACATCCCGACTTTTAATTTTATGATCGATGAATCCTTGACGACTTTCCCGCCATAATTTTTCGCATTGATCTTGCTCAGGGCACATGTTGATTGCTGGTGTTTTCGGCTGCTCGTAACTCCATAACCCACTTGACACATTCTCAAAAGCCCACCACACAGGTTTGTCATAGTAGTCTGGATATAAGAGGGAAAAGCGCATAAAATAAAAGCAAAGTTATTCGCATTGAAATACTGTACAGTAAACACCAGGAACAAGAACCTTTTTGGAACATCGTCTTTCAACGAGAGAAAAAATCTTCAGCATTCAGATCAACGAAGAAAAAATATTCGTCTATGAACGACCTAACATAAATTGAAATTTTTAGGCACAGAAAAAGCTACACAATATATAAGGTATGCCGCAAGATTTGAATGAAAAGTCGAACACAAAATACGACTTGAAACTCATTCGGATTCCGCTTGCACGGAATCTAAAGTTCCGAACGGAACATATAAGTTACGAGCGAAGATTTAAATGTTACAATATACAAACCACGGCAGTTCAAAAAATGTAATACTTGGACGATTAATTAAATTTCGATCTTAAGCTTCAGAACTGGTTACTTTAAAAGTCCAAAGCTGTAAAAAATCCAAGCCTCCTCACCAGGAACGATGAATTGGAGTTCAGCACAAGTGCTATCCAATCTCACACGCGCTAAAACGTTGTACTTTCCGGTGCCAAACCGAGGATGTGAAATCGGTTTCGACAAATTCGAAGTGATAATGGGAGGACGCTCAACATCCCAACAGTCTTCCTTTTGTATGTAGCCGAGGCTGTCATCATGAATCCAGGAATCCTTGACGCGTAGATGGATTAAGAAAGTATTACGAAGCAGAACGACCTCCAGCAATAGGCGTCTCATAAAGCCGGATATTCCGAAAGCAAGCAACGTAGTCTCTGGAAATAGAATATAAATAAAAAATGGTAATCATGATGGATATTGGGATATAAGTCACATTACCTGGTGGGTTTTTGAAATTAAACTCCAAGGAATCCACAATCGCAGCTGCTGTTACTTCACAGTTCTTCACGCTCCCCCAAGTAGAATTTTGAATCAGTTCCAGAGATAATGACTCCATCTTCTCCAACGAAGTGCCGTTTCTAGGGTTGGGACGAAAAGACAATACTTATTATCAAAATCCTCTTCTTTCGGCGAGAACTGTCCTATTCCTAAAATACGAACTCAATACGGGTGCTTATTCCAATTTTATTTTTTCAACTTCCAAAAATTAAATAAATCAATATGTATTTATTGCTACCTAAATCAAAAATTTGACCAATGGTAACCTTCTCTGACTCAAGTTGAATCAATCTCACCTACCACGACCTAATCTAGCATATTTTGGAGTCAAAACATATGTGAGAACCAGAAGTTGTCTACAAAGAAGTCGAGGAAGTCAAACAGCTTGGGACGTCAGGGAAACGATTGAAACCAATATAAGTATAACAAGAAACACAAAAAATGAAAAAACATTCTTTGCATAAAAAATGAAACATGTGTTTTAGCATATAGAATTAAACTTCTTCCGAAAAAACTTACTCTTCCCGCACGGCAGCAGTGGCACTCCGCACTTCACTTCTGCTATCCGACATCGACATTCGAAGTAGAAAAATGATTAAAATATGCCAAAAGGCTGAACCATTTTCACTGGCGAGCCAATTATTCGCAGTGCCATCGGCTCCTGTTGAGGTTAACGCTTTCAGCAGCTCCAAGCATGCAATGACCACTGTTCCCGAGCATTTTCCTCCTTCCAACTCTTCTTCTGACGGGAGTTCATAGTAATTTTTAGAATGAAGTTGCTCGAGCTCTCCGAGTGACAAAAGCCCGCGACAGAACGATTGCTCGCAAAACACTGTCGAAAGAAGTGTTCGTCGATTATAATTCTACGATCGACATTCAAGAATAAATCAGAGATTCTGAACGGGAACGCCTATTGCACCCCGAAATTTCTTGGAATGAAAATTTAATGGGAGCAAAAGCATTGAAATTCGTCGCATCATTAATACGAATAATCAAAAAGTGCATAATGCTGCAGTATTATTCAAGCCTCACTTTTGATGGTTTTTTTATTAGTTTTACTCGCACATCCGACATCCTTGACTTTATGATTTTCGGCGCAGTAGCATGGGGATTGCCGAAATTTTGCTGAGCTTCCTTCTGTTCAGAAGGTCTCCGATAGTTGAATTATAACATGATAATTACCTCACGTGAGGTAAGTGCGTGAAGTCCGTTAATAGCCTCAAGCGACACCTGTGCACCCGGACGATGCATCATCGAGTAACGTCCGGAGCTCGTGCGCGGAATACTTGTGGTTATTTTTTCAAAACGCGACAAGTTAATTAAAGCCATATAATTAGAACGCAGCGACAACGATACTTTATGATTTCAGGGACATCATGTCATTCCCACAGAACACTATAAGACTCACGTATAATGTAGTCGAGAATTTGTTGAAGAAGTCCGATTCCATCCAGAAACTCGGCACCCACTTTCGAGCAGCATATTAGGCCAATCGACATCATTTGAGTTACACTCGTTTTACTGCTGAATGGTTCAAGCAAAACTGTTTCGATCAACGGCACTACTTCTTCGGCGATCGACTTGACATCATCAGTCAACGGGTCTTCCATTTGGACTGCAATACCTTTGCTGTCAATCGTAAAATACCAAGATCATCTTTCAGTGCAGGAACATCGAATTCGATCCATTAGAAAATGTGAAAAGGACCAGATAAAAATAAATACTGTACTGTGAAAGTTCAATATCAAATACGGTTCCAAAGATTTGAAACCGTTCGATTGAAATAATTATTTCAGCGGAATCAGCATTAATGGCAACAAATGCTTCCATTAAAATTAAGTAGCTTTTTATTGCTTTACTTTCATAGATGGATGCACTTCCAGCAAACGAAAATAAACAATAAATAAAATAAATGGTGCACTTTAACGTTTAAAAAAAGTTCAATGAGGGAAAAATGGTAAAATCCCATCAACACTAAAAAAAACCAACCTATCGTCGCTCGAAGCCACGTTTGGGTCATGAATTCGGACGGAATTCACCAATTGTGCCCTGATCAAAATCTTGGTTAAGCAACTCGGTTCCACAGCGACCGCTGCACAGAGCAAGAATAAAAGCGCTTGCTTCAACTCTCCTTCCACGATCACGCTCCAATCGTAAACGCATCTGGATGAGAAGAAAAAATATGAAAATATCCATTCGCAGAAACTTCAATTTGAGGTAGGCTCAGCTCACCTGACAAAATTCTCTGTAATCCTATCTCTGACAACCTCTTCAGGGCAGTCCACGTAATGCCACAGTATACAAGAGAGACAATGAACATAACTTGCAGGAACTTGTTGACCAGAACTGTGCCCAACACCGTGCGTCTTGTTTGCAAATACCTGCAAAATCCACACAATAATCACGTGATACAAAAAAATAGTCACCGACGAGATTCTGGTCAAATGGGACAAATTATAAAAAATTCCAGAGCATTTTTACAAACCTTCATGTGAAATATTTTTCTATACTTCATAAAATTACCTCGCATTCTGACTTCGAACAACTGGCCACCCAGTCCATCATCACTTTCAAAACACACAGCCTCGCTTCTTCTTCAGAGATAATCGCTCCTGAACATCTGCTCAGTCTCTCCAAAAATTGAACGACCATTAAATCTGGTTTCCAGCGCACTGAAACAAAGCAAAAATAATAACAGTCCATATAAATCATCCAAACAATCTATTCTAATTAGCAGAGCGTCTTACGCGATGCAGAAATACCGAAGAAAAGCTCAATTTAGTAATCAAATACTGCCAGCCAGGATTTACGAAGCCTCAAGTTATACAGCATTATATCTTCATTAATAAATAGGACTGCTCAATTTTGAAACTATACATTTGACTCGAAAATCTTCCCATGAAATAGCTCGAGTCTATCCGCGTTTGATATCCGAAGTATAAAAATACTGCATAATAAACGGTAACCGTTGAACAGTACATACAATATCCAGTTCACGATGAATTCTAATTGTTCTTTGAAAATTTTCACAATTGGCCGATTACACACAGCACCTTCATTTTTCGAAGAAAAGGTCGAAAAAAATCGCAAATGCAATCTAGAACCATTACTGCGTAAACGAGGTTAAAAAAAAACTTCACTGCAATTGCTCAACATAAACAAGTCTAACTTTACTTGAATTGACCAGAATGAGCTAAAGAATAAAATTGGCAACATACTGTATTTACTCGAGCACCCAGGGAACCATTTTTTTCCAAAAACAAGGGTAAAATAAATTAGGCGTGTTCCATAGTCGGGTACAAATTTCGTTGTCAATTTTTTAAACTTCGAACTTTTCCACACATGATATTTTTTTTATTCTCTTTCAATCATTCTTTGTTTAGCATAAAAAATCAACTTTGAAGTAAACTTTTAATTAGCCTTGTACTGTATTTAGATTAATACAGCATTTAATTTTTAAAATACCGTATGCATTTCGGGAACTGAAAATTGAAGTGTGCGTATACTTGAGGGCGCGTGGTGCTCAAGTAAATAGGGTTATGCGTTCCACGTCTATTTAGTCAGTAAATTAAAATATTTGCAGCAACAAACCACTTTCAGCAGCAGTGGAGACGGTTGGGAGTTTGGCGTCCAGCAATATGCCCACGACTTGCTTCACCACACTCACGTCAGTGAACGAGCATATGCTATACATCACGTTAGGCACAAGAAGGCACGGTACGTTATGCATGAACAGGCGCCGGTCGGTCGCCGGATGTGACGTAGCGATCAACACTGATCCCAACGTTTTCAAGAAGCTCGGAATTCGTGTCAATTGCCAGGCAACGGATTCCGATAAACGGGCAGCTTGTTCAAAATCACCAAGTTCCTCGTCTTCGGAGAGGGAATTTTGCAGTTCTTGCATCACGTGAGCAATGAACGTAAAATATCCCATTCTGAAAATAACAATAAACGAAATTTCTTCCACTAAGATGCATCAATTAACGGTTATTAATTTGTCGGCAATCATTCAACATTTTTTGAACTAAGACCCCTAAAGAGAAGATCCAATTTTCGTAAGATTACTTCGTCCACCCTTCTCGCATATGTTTTCTCGGAGCGATGCATCACTTTGCACCGAGAATATCCAAACGAATCTGCAAGTTACCTATTTTTAATCATCAATAAATACATTTTAAGAAGCGCATGATGATCGTGAAGAACAGTGCTGTATAGTGATATCAATATAATGTTTGCAACGTTTCCATCTTTAAAGGAAACCTTCAAGGATGGAAACGTTACTCTCTTACCACTTAGCAATTCGAGCGAAATATTCAAGTTTTTCCACTTTAAATCCGTACTTGTTGAAATAGAAAAAGCGATTACCGTATAAAAATGTATTCCAAATTTCAGTCATGCATCAAATAATACATAATGCACATCCCTTCAGAAAATTAAAGGCACCACACTTGAATAAATACAGGAAATTAAAAAATAAATGATGTGGCATCTTTCTCGCTACAACATAAAATGAAACAATTTTTGGGGGGAAAACCAGAAAAACCCCGTCCCCGACTCTTACCTTGCTATTTCGAATTATATCCCAGCTGTGCGCGACCAATGAATAAAGCGAATTTTAATTTTACGACGCAGAAGCGAAACTTCGCTTCGATTGAATCAAGAACAAATGCAGTCATGAATCGACGTAACAACGCTGTCAATTTCCGTACCTCAAAAGTCAAGACAGCAATAACCATGTTCATTAATGCGACCAACTACATGTAACAAAACGTTCGTTGAAAGGCAATAGAAATCCAACTGCTCAGTGGCATCAATTCGGGTTGCCCAGAAAATTGAAACATACGGCTGAAAATCGGGGAAGACAACAGCAAAATAACGTACCCGCAGTTTCTATCGATGTCAGATATAGTGTCGTTGGTCATCGCGTATCCTGGGGACGCCATGATCTTGAGCTGCGTTAGTCCGACGACGTTTCCGTCGATGGGCTTATACACGCGAATGCAAACGACAGAGGCTACTCGCGCCGGTTGCACGTCAAGACGAAGGGCCATCGACCCTGATTTGTTGAACGCCGTTCCGACAGGAACCCAGCCATTCCCAACAGACGACGAAACCGCCAATAAATCAACCTCCACTTTAGATGGACAAGCTGCAGTACAGAAAAAAATTCCTTATGAACACATTGATCCCACCCCTTAAGATTTAATTTTTAAAAAACGAATGCTATTTTAAACGTACAGTTCTGTGTGAAGCAGTATTACTGCACTGAGTATCTCGATTTTTATCACTTTTTAAAGATGTGTAATACAGTTGAACCTCGATAACTCGAACCTCCCTAATTCTAATAACTTCCAATTCCAAGTTTCTTTTTTAAGTCCCTGTCCGATTTCCCATAACAATGCATTAAAAATCTCACTAACTCAAAGACTTTCCATTGAAACCTTCATCATTCGAATTTTCTGGAGGTATTTTGGCTATTCAGCCGGTATGAAACACATTTCTCAGCTCGATTGATTCAAGAACCAAAGCGTTCTACAAACTAAGATTTCATCTTTTCTTCCAACTCTGAATTCAAGGATGAATGGCGAAGCACGGTTGGCCGATTATTATTTCTTTCATCATGCATCAGCGAGTGAGTGGAACATTAATTCAAGTGTGGAAGATATAAAATCATCCAGACAATCCTTTGAAATGATCCGATAATATGATATGATCTTCGCTTACTAGAAACACTGTCACGCGAAAAAGAGAAAAACCTGACTGAATGCGTGATGCAAGATAACCTCCAGCAGGTGTATAATGTAAACTTTGACAAGAGAAACTACTATACTCACTGCTGAAGGTGGAAGCTTGAGGGGTAACGATAACTTGGTAAATCATCACAGGATTCGGAAGCGTCACCACAATGTCGACACAGTTGTTCTTGCTATCCGAAAACGTATAACTCCAGTTCGCGGTTCGAGAGCGACGATGCGCCGCGACACTACGAACAAGCAGGCTCGGAGACTGACCATCGCCTCTATCACATTTCACACTTGTTGCTGAAAAAAAAAATATATACATATTTCGTGAATTTTTTGACCTGTCATCGAGGCCGCTTCATCGTCTCACCTAATGGGGCTATGTTGACGAGGCCATGATTAGACCTAGAATCCATTTCGACCTCCAGGTCACATCCAAGAGACTCTTGCATTTTTCTTACGTTCCTGTTACTGACCCATTGCTGCAGCATTATTGAGGGCTGTGTAGCACACGTCACTGAACTTTCATCCCAAGCAGCTATCAAGCTCTTTCCAAGAATCTGTAAAATAAATTTTATTCATTAAAAAACTGCCGAAAACTCTGACAATATTTGAAAATAGTAACGGACTTCGCTTTAAATTGTTTCAATTATTTTTAAATAAACAAACCTCAAAGCCACCAGTCTCGTAGAATTTCTTGGAAACCTCCAAGCCACATATTGAGGCGGTGAAGACTTCGACTAAAGCCTCAGACATCACAGGCAGAGATTTTGGAAGTCCCGGGCCACAAGATCCTTGAAAAAAAAAAATATACATATTGAGCAATAAAAGATCAGAAAAGGTTGCGCTGCTATTTATTTCGCGGACATAGAAATATAATTAGAGATACGGAAGCCTTCAGGAAAGAAATGCACGGCAACAATAAAAACATGATAAACACGGCAAAAATGAAACAGAGAAACTCACCCTCAAGGTACCGCTGAATAGCCTGCAAACCTTCCGGTACTTTCCTCGAAAATATATGAATCATGAACCGTTTCAACTTTTCTATGAATGTTTCTTGATCTTCCGGGAATGGTCTGGATCTGAGTTCAGGTGCTTCGAAAACACGTGCCAAAATCCCGCACAACTTGAGCACGGTTGGCCAGCGAAACAAGACCACGTGGCAAACCTCCACGGAACAATTTTCCCGCGGATCTGCGCCAGCTGCAGCTTTGCTTTCGTCGGTCAAGGCTTCGTCACTCGCATCCAACTGCTCCATTTTCGAAGCATCGGTGAGCGAGGAATCTGGCTGCGGCTTTTCGTTAGAACATACATCACGTTTAAAATCGCACGTACTTGAAATAATATTCGAACAGGAGTACAATACATTACTGTACAGTACAATATTTACTCAAGTACCACGCGCTCAAGAGTTTTTTGCGTGTGTGTGTGTGTGTGTGTGTGTGAAATTTGCCCCCATAAGACGCGCACCCTCGTTTTTCCGGGTTTAAAATATTTTTTTAATACTGTACTGTAATAATAATCGACAAAATAATCCCTTGAATGAAAATTATACTGTAATTTGGAGCAATTCAAAAATACTGGCAACATATAAAAGTTCTCCTTTATCATTTCCACCCAAAGAGGCTCGCTTACAATTTGCACCAACGGATTCATGATTTTTTAAACTTCAAAATGATGTACCACACGCACCCCACTTTTCCGACTTGATTTTGCAGAAAAAATGTACGCGTGGTAAATATGGTAATTCAAAATTCTTTCAATTTTCACAGTGATTATCTCATTACTTTCAAGACATCTAACCGACGGAAACTCGCTAAAGTGTTCCTCTAAGCAAAATTTCTTAGGAAAGCAGATGATGGACCATGTACAACGTCGACACGCAGTTTTAAGTTGCTCTACCATGCAAAAAATATTATCTTTCACTCAAGATTTGAATCGCTTTTCGGCATTTGACAATGAAAATTTTCTCTTACATGTGACTGGTGCTGAGAGGAAAACTCATCAGAGGAAGACTTCGTGACGAACAGAAAGTTGCTGCAGATTGAGACCAGCAAAACCAGCAATTCGGTCAAAGACGCAGCGTAACCAGATCGGTTTATCTTGGCTTGTTTCGCATGATTCGAAGTCACTATTTGAGTAAATGAGGAGGAATAAGCCAAGAATTAGATTGAATATCATAATTCCAATAGCCGCAAAAATTGAAATTTTACATTCCTCTTGTTCTACACAAAACACCATTTTTTTCGAAAGTCATTACCTTCAGAGCCATAAGAGGAAACTGGCAAAAACCCATGAGTGGACCCCACTCGCTTAACCTCCGAAGTTTGAACGAAACGCATTCCGGGACGCAATAGACAGAGCATAGAGTCCGAGTCCTTTTGCAACAATTTGTCGGCCAACGTCGCTGCGGAACAGAAGGGAGGTTCAAAAAAATCATCGGATATATATATATATAGAAACTCACAAATTTTGCGCAAAAAATTAAGAAATTAAAGGGCATGAACACGCAGATTCAATTTACCAAATGCTTCAATAATCGAAACCATGATATCGAAGTCGTGTCCATCGTAATTCTGCTTCTTCACCAGCCTGAAGAATTCAAATTGAGCATCCAAGGGTCCTTGGCCCAGCTGCAGAATCGAATTTCGAACAACGAATATCACCACGGGCGAACATCAGTCGAAATAAGTAGAAAGAATAAATTTTTCGATATGACTGACCTGCATCGGACCTTCAATCAACTCCAATGTAAGCTGAAGTAAGGCCCTCCTTAGTGACTGGCGACCATCTCGTCGATCTTCAAAGATTTTCACCGACAAAAGGCAATTCATCAATCGCATGAATGCATCCAAAACACATTTCCCCATCTCCTGAAAATGTTACAAGCATCAATGGAAGCACTTACGCATCCAGTACAATATCATCCATCCTTCAGGTTGAAATATTTTTCTGTCAGCCACTGAGTAGAAATTGATTGGCTTCATCCTTCTTATTTAGAAGTAATTTTTTCAGGGGTCCAGAATAGAGTCCTTCTAAAAAGCCATTGCTTGAGTTTCATGCGATTTACGTTAATCGAATTAACTCTAATCGATTTCATGTAGAAAATGCGGCTTATCTCCACAAAAACTTTGTTTAAAAAGCAACTTCCAAAAATCTTCCAACAGCACAACGCTCTCCTTGGATTCCTGGACAAATACTCGGCATTTGGTTGAATCACGAAGTACTGCGACAAATTATTTTTAATTTGATACGGGTCGTCTTGAAAAAGATGTAAATACAGTAATAACATGACACGAATTTATCCTGAAAATATACATGGGAAATAGGTTTTGTACTCGCATTATCAGGGCATAATGTAAGCTCGAAGTTCAAGGGTTTCGAAACATACCATTTTTCCACGGTCCATTCCAGCATTCATTTCCCAAGTGAACGGTACGTAGGACAAAAACTTGAACATGAATGAGAAGAACTTTTTGTCTCGAACAAAAGAGCCCCAAGAAGCACTTTCGCCGTGAATAGTTTCATCTTCAGGCGCTTCTTGAACTGCGGTCATCGAAAGGACTTGAAACAGAAGTGACCACAGACGATTCGACACAGTTTGCTTCCTGAAATTAAAGAATTTTCATTATCATCAGGAAGAGCGAAGATCTGTTTTTCAACTTACATAGAAAGAAACTTCAGAGAGAGAAAAAATGCGACAATTTTTTTGCGTTGCCTCGATTACTACTGCAGGTGGAAGTTCCAGTTCATTCGTCAAAAATGCGAAACTTTCGGTGATCGAAAATTTTAGCTCGAGACACAACACTAACTTCCTATTGCATACTAATTTCGAGCTTCGTTTACGTGAACATGTTACTTTTGCGGTATTTCTTTCGTTTCGCACCTTTCATTCTGATCTCTACACATCACGCCTCCTACATAAAAAAACTACTTCGTTTTGCTATTTTACTTCGTAATTATTGTACGTCCAATGCAAATGTCACGCACACTTCTTCAGAATCTAGATCATTTGAGAAGCTACAATCATGAATCTGCTCAACGAAGAAGACTCAGAAATGAACTCATCTTGTAGTCCTAATTCACGCCAATGTCACAGGGAGTCATCACAGACATTTATAAAATTTCTTCATGAGCTGAAAATACCTTCAGATATTTTCATCGAAGCACTGAATCCCTTTTCTTCATTCAACAAGAACTCTTCGTTTTTAAATTTACTGTGTCCTTCAACGAACGACATCCCCAAAAAATCAATAAGGTTAAGGTACGAATGATGCTCACAGTTCCAAAGACTGGTCAACTCACCTTATCACAAAAGACAGGAGCGCCGACAGAGCGCTGTTTGTCATCAAGATCACGGGTCGCACGATGGAACCAGTTGACGCGCCAGTGCTCCGCTTCTGCTCCCCAGCAAATTCAGCAAGATTCAGATTAACCGAAAGCCACGTGAGCAAAAGTTTTTCCGCAGAAATCCCAGCATTGTCCACGTGGGCGAAGAGCTTCTTGAAAGACGTATCCAGCATATGGACACTGTTTAATTTCGAAGGCCTTCGGGGTTCAGGCGCCCGTGAAGTAGGTACGGAATCTACTTTTAATTGCACCGGAGGAACTTTCAGGAGAGAAAAGGGGGATCCGTGGGTAATCTGAGTTCCGAACCCAGAAACGGACATATTCAGAAGATGCATGTCCGTGCTGCGAAGAAGATGGGGCTCGGGCCGGGTAATGGATGAAGAAACGGTGGATATGCCATTTAAGCCTGCTCGCCCAACCATACCACTGCTGCAAAACTTGGCAGTTGCAGTGGATTGATCATCAGCTGCAACAATGGTGGATAGAATACCAATTACCTGTACCACATTCAGTTGAACACTGCGTATAGTTAATTTTAAGAATGTTCTAGCATTCGTTTTCAGAACTTGGCATTTTCTGAGTCTGCTCCCAATACACATTTCCATCTCTTCATGCAAGAAGACCTGATTCTTCTCTCACTCCCTCAAAATACATAAACTCAAGACGAAACCAAAGGTATGTAAAGCTTTTCATGAATCAAACTACAGTAAAACCAAGACGCAACTACAGTACTGTACAAATAATTAACGACAGAGGTACGTACCTCACTGGGATATAACGAGGAGGGAGGAGGAATTTGAAAATTGTGCCCAATGTACAACTGATGCTGAGCACGATATCTGCATTAGCTTTTAATAATACAACATATCGAAATAGAAAGCATAAATGAAAAGCTTGGAAAGTGTTCAGAACCCAAAGTAAATGTTTTGCTACTCTGGAAGTATTTCAACTATTTCTCCGAAAATGCGTGTGGAAAAGTATTCTTCCCTTGTCAAACCCCCTATTTCTACACGACATTTCGCTAGAAATAAAAAATAAACACAATTTTAAAAATTTGAAGAAGAAACAGTAGCAAAATACTTGACAAAAAAATGACTTACCTGTAAGCGGAGAAACTCCTTCAACGCTATCAGAGGTGGTATTTCTCTGATCTTCTTTCAAATGCCACTGAACAAAGGCTTTGACAAGTTTCCTGGCGAAATATAAAACATGATAATTAATTCAAATAACTCGAACATAAAAATTTTCTTTGAATATTAAACTCACTCCTGGCAGGCCAAAGAGGCGCTTTTTGCATTATCTTCGAGCATTTTCTCCACCGTTTCAACGGCTTGACTGTGAGCGTCGAGAATGTCATTTTCAATCGCGTAACTATCAGGAACGATCCCGTGAAACGACGTCATTCCATCTATTCCAGGAAACTGCTCGTCCGTGGAATCCCATGACTCGTGATCCGCTAAAATCATAAAAATATTCTGCTGTAATTGCGCTAACGGACTTCGTACGAGAAAGTATCGAAATGCAACCTATTTTTCAGATTGAAAAATATAGCAGGTGTAACTCGACAGTTTAACTCGGCAGGACAATAGAACAGCGAGTGACAAAAATAACTCATGCACAGAACAGAACAAATTCAGATCAGTTTTTCGGTGTAAGACGAAGATTGGTTAGGTTAGGATAGTCCAAAGCTTCTCTCAAGTGATCTTCACGAATTATTTGAAAAAAAAATATTACAGTACAAATTTCCCCTGATCGCTAACAAATTTAAGCCGTTTTCTGCACTTGCATTGTTTATCGATCGCATTAGGAATTTTTTTCAGGCTTCTCTTTTTTCAAGAAACGTCAGATTCGGCAGCGCCGCCCCGGTACACGTTCAACTGTGTCAGCACTAAAAATACGCGTCTTACCACCATCGTCATCATCATCGTCTTCATCGTCTTCGTCCATTGCTTCGACATCGTCATCAAAACGCGCAACAACGGAAGCGCTCGCGTCGACTTGTGCAGCATCCGAACCAGTTTCTGCCGCTCTCACAGGTTCACTGTCCTCAGCTCCTTCCTCAACAATGCGCGCTTCTCCTAAATAAAAAATAATACTGGTATTTAATCGAGTACCACGCGGCCTCGAGTAAGGCACGCACCCGTATTTTTCAATGTGAAAATCGCCCAAAAACGTATCCCCGTGCATAACGCGGACCCCAGTTTTTGCTGGGTAAAAATAGATTTTTGAAACCACCTTCAACTTTTGACTAGCAGTGAAAGAACCTGTGCTCGCATGTATCCATGACAAATTCTGGCAGTGAACTGATTTGGTGAGAAATAAATATTGTGAAATCTTATGGCTATTGTGCGTGGATTCATTTTTCATCATTATTATTTTTTTCTTACCTGCTTTTTATTGTCTACTGGAGCAGCTAAAATATGCTTGGCAGCTTCCTTTAGTGAATAACTATTTTCTACATCCTTTACTTCCTGTTGCATCTCAAGATAGGATAAAAAAATGTTGCAGCTCAAAAGTAATATTCCTAAAATCATTAATGCTTCAACCATTATTTCCCATGGACAAGGAAACTTGGCGCCACGCATTTCCTCTTCATTTTCCCTTGAAACTATTCGCATACGACGGGCACTGATTTTGAAAAAGTTCCCTCAAAAATTTTATTCCCTGGTAAATACTCAAGTAAATACGGTAATTTGGTTAATCTAAGTCTCACGACAGTTTCTTCGAGGATAAGAACCAATTGCTGATTTTTTTAAAGCCTCAAACACTTGCGAATGGCTCAGTTTGGGGGGGAACATAGAAATTTCTCAGCTTAAATGCAATAAACAACAGCTCTGTTAGGTGGGTTACGTACCTTCTAGAATGTCGACCAGGAGAGTGACGACGGTGTAGGACATCCATGTAGAAAGATGCTCACCAGCCGGAGGTTTCGGCAGGAAAAGTCCAGGGGGGAAACTGGTACCAGGTTTTTGAGTCACAGTTCCAACGCTGGCCACAGCCAGTCCCAATAGTTCATCCAACTGATTCTGCGTAATGATTTCCTCCAGACGCAGCTTGGGACTTGAACATTTCGCCAAATATGCCAAAACCTGAGAAGTAGGAGAAATTCTTTCTACAGACGCTCAGAAAAAATTATCAGAAGATAATTATGGTCAAAAAATTGAATCAAGTTGCTACAATAAGAATCATCCAATGGTGAACGAACAAAAAGAGTAAAAAGGAAATGTCAAGATTCTTACCTGGCATCCGAGCATGAATAAATCCATCCCAACAGCGGGGTTCAAAGGAATAAGATTGTTGATCAAAATGCGACAAGCTGCAACGCATTTCTCTTTCGGTAAATTTAAATCGGGCTGGTCTTTCACCGATGAAAATAATTCTTCTGGTATACGTGGCACGCTCTCGCCATTTTCGAGGGAGTCTCCACAACACTGCAGATATCTCTGTGGAGGACACGAAACGAAAACTGATTTTCAAAGCACGTGACATTAACTCATCGCTAATTCGATGATCTTGTTAGAGTCTCAATAACTGTTTATTCATACTATGTGGCTTCACATTGTATGGATGCACGTGGTGCGTCCGGAAAAATTTGACGACACTCCGAATCAAGATTCAGATTTATAACTAAATTGGGTAAACAATTTCTACTTTTACTGATGCACGAATGAAAAATCCGCAGATAGGATACCAAAGTGAAGTCTCACTGGTTTTTGCACACCCATGCAGGAAATTGTGCAGATAACTCTGCGAAGAATTCGTTTAAAGCAGTGCAGAGGTTGAAGCCAAAATGTATGGATATGTATCTTTCCTTTTGGCATAACTTGTCGACAATTCGAGCGAATAAAAATGGAAATCATCAATATCTTTAATTTTTCTCGTGCGTACTGTACTTCCAATTCTCCTGATATGTTGAATAAAATGGAACTCGATATAATTCCGATGCAACTGAAGTTGAAATTCCTTTGAAATTAAATTCATCGGTTTGGGATACCGTACACGCTTTCCGACATATCATGGTCTGAAATAAAAAAATTTTAAAGTTTCGGAAATTTTTCAACAGAGACGTTATTCATGCGATGTCTACTGCAAACTTTCCGTGGGAGATGAGAATATGAAAAAATATTCGTTAAAAAAATTGAACGTTCATTTATCTAATTGATTTATTTTAATTTAATCTAATTGAAATTTAAGATGTGTTTATTTTTAAATATTGACATTTGAAAATGGTTTGAAGATGTCCCGGTCCCCAATCGTCGTGAGGCATTGTATTTGTCACTATAATACAGTATACAGTATTGTAATTATAGTTGGGAATAAGGTAAAATATATGCATTTTACCAATTAACACTGAGTGAAACGTTTCTAAATATTGTACAGTCACACGTCATTAAATAAACTCCCAAGAGACCAGCAAACGAATTCGAGTCAGAGAGGTTTCGAGTCAGGGAAACAAGCACTTTGTTGGGGGAAAGAAGGAATAATTACAGGCCATTTTAGTGATGATTTTCTGAGCATTGAATTGTTTGCCCGATTAGCATTTCACTTCTAAGTTACATTTTTATTGCTTTTCTCTTTCTGGTATCAAAAAAATAATAGCAAGAAGGCCTTCAGGAAATTCGAGTTATGGAGGTTTGACGGGGAAAGCCTTCGAGTTAGGGAGATTTTTAATGCATTGTCTAATCTAAGGGAATTCAGACAGGGACTTGAAAAAAAATCGATACGGAGATTTATTCCACTTAGGGAGGTTCGAGTTGTCGTGGTTAAACTGTAAGTACAGTACTGCATTTTACGGCGCTTTGATCGTGCCGAAGTCTTCGTTGTCCAGCGAGAAAAAAAAGTACCTTGTGAGCAGTGGAATATGACTTCTTCATGAAGGCATCGTTGAATTTTCCTTTCGGCAACTGCGGTGGCCCGCGAATCGCATGTCTACGCTTCAAACCACGGCCTTGCCAAGCAGCTGCACAGGCACTCACAGCCTCACTACCTGACACGCCGTCTCCAAAAAGAAAGGACCACCGACTGCTTCGACGGACTGTGAAAAAGGATGGAAAATTCCGAAATTTGTCTTAACACTAAGCAGGATTTCGATTCCTACCAAGCCCAGGAACTTCAAAAACTCACTAAAATTAGAGCGCTCCAAGTTGAGGAATCGTTTTTTGGAATCATACCGAAGTATTTCAAGTAAAATACAGATACAGTATTACTCATACAGATTGCTTCTTATCCAAGCTGGAAGCAATTACTGTACAGTACAGTACTATAAAATTAACTTTTCCTCGAACAGTTTTTCCCCTTTTGAATAGTATAATTATCAATAAAGCTAATTTTTTTTACTAATTTTCCATTAAAATATTGTCTTTTCTTTTGTGGAGGTCTTAGATACTCACAATTGAATCCTGACTTCCGCTGAATCTTCCCTTCATTACAAAAATTTTCGTGTCGGTCATCCGAGCCTGAGTCCCAACAATCGCAGTCCGTCGCGGTCGATACAAAATTCATGCATACTGACAAATACAAAAGCACCCATCCTCTGATTTCTCCATCTTGGCTCAAAATATTGCCCAGCTTGCTCAATAACCGCAAAATCACTCCCGAATTCCCGCTGCGAACTGATTGCTGTCCCATCATGGCCAGCAGCGCAAAAACTCTAAAATAAGAGTTGAACGTTAATCGTAAGATCCCCATGGGATCGAAATCACGATTCAAATATTACTCCAGCTCTTCCGAAATACTTCGCAATTCGGAAAAACTAGCAACTTAAATAGAAATACAGTATAAAATTATTTCGAATTGACTAAATGTCCTGAAAATAGTTGTGCACGAGTTAACTTCAAATAGTTTTATTTTTAATCAAACGCGAACTTTCCACGCTGCCATTTCGTTTTACCTTTCCTGAGGGAACGGCTTCGGATAGTTCGAGAAGTAGTGGCAGAGGGCATCCGAGAGGAAATCTCCCCACCACGCTTCACGCTCAAACAAAGTGATAAGAAGCGTAACAACGCCAACTTGCTCTTTTCCACTCCATCCCAACACGCATAATCGGTCGAACAAAAGTGAACACACTTTCCTCCTTTCTACGGATGGCTTCAAATTAATGGCATTCATCTGCAACGTCAAGGTGCGCAATGATTATTCCTTCAAGTTATTCAATGCACGGCAAATCGCATAAATATGGACCGGAGGTTTTAAAATTTGTAGTAATCACCGAGGAGGGGAATCGATCATCAACGGATTGATGTAACAAACTCAAAATTCGAAGAATTCTATCAACACTTGCCGTATTTCGCGAATATAAGCGCCTCTTTTTGAATTTTAGAAGCTAAAAATAGAGGGGTACTTATACATATTCGCATACAGTATTTATGCAATTCGCGTAAATGGGCATTCATATAAGAAAATCTTTCTGTTCGCGGCCCATAAAACAATCGAGCACCTCTTTTCTTCAGTTCTTCTTAAATTACCGTTAAGAATAATCAAGAATTGGCCAGCTTTTAGCAGATCAAGATGCATGAGTCGTTGACTGAATGGGAAAAGCAAGGGTTGTGTGACAATGTTTTGCCTTTTATAGGGAAAACCTGAATCTAGTCAGCTATGCCACTGGAAATTCATAACACCAGGAAAGTAGGTGGGTACTCATACTCCCTGATTAATGGAGGCTTTATTTTTTGCATGACAAATCTAGGGGGGTGCTAATATTCGCGTATATGCGGTCTTCGATTTGTAGTTCAAGGGAAAACTTTACCTGTTTCAAGTGCCCAGCAGTTGAACACGCACAGATTATCAGATGATGTAGAATAGCTTTCAGATGATCCGTTCGAGGACTACATTCTGCACCACTGGATATTGCTCGAGCTCGCATCAAGGATGGCTTTCCAGCACCAAGCCTGACGGACAGGCGATGCTCAATCCCCCTCAAAATACTCATTTTTTGTCGTAATTGTGCACAGTCCTAAAAAAAATGCCAGTTTCATCATGAAACCAAATCCTACGAAAATCAAGTAAAGTAATTCTTCCTAATGCTACTGCAAAAGGTATTTTCAACCATGATTATTCTGTTTTGTATATATGAAAGTATCATGTTAATTCACTTGCTCTTACATGCGAACAATTTGGGATATTTGGAGTACCGTATTCATGATCGAATAATTAAGGCAGCCTTTCTACGACAAAAAAGGAAAAGAAAGTAGGCGGAGTGTTCAAATGCCGAAGTGACAGAAAATATCCGCTTTCACAGAACACTTGGGGTTCTTCGGATGGTGCCAGAGACTATGTGACACACGGTAGTTAACACTGTCTCAAATTTTTTCCCCTTTTCACTTCAAAGTTTTCAAAATAAAAGTTTAAAATTCTTTGAAAAATTCAACTTATTTTTGGCAGTAGCGTGTGAATTGCACCATCTGTCACCAATATCATCGGAACGTACGCAGTAAGCAGACATGACAAGCTGATCTTCATCTGCACAAGCCGCACTTAGAGGATGCGGGTGCGCGGCAATCTGGTTGCTATGGCGGGTTAAGAAGTGCAGCAAGTGGTCACGATTTCCCGTACTTTTCGGTACTTTTTCCATTACCGCGTTCTCCAGCCGTTTACAAGACATCTGATAGTGGCAATACACTTCAGCCGATGCAGCACGCACAAGATCGAGCTTCGATTTCTGATATTGAAAAGTGAAATGAATATAAAACCAGTTTCGGTAGACAGGCAGGAAAAAAATACGAACCAAACGAGCCATTTCGTCCTGAGGAATGACTTCCAGAGGATCCATTAGAAACGAAGTGCCGAAGTATATTCCGATCGGGATTCTGAACTTCGATGCAGCACTAACGGATACCTGTCGCGGAGAACAGCACATTTCAACATCATAAGAAAGGTCATAGATTTGCATTCGCGCAAAAATTCAACATTTGAGAAAAGTTTGTTTGTTCAATCGCTGGATTCAAGTTAAGTATCCATGAAAATTTCGCTGAAAAAATTCTTAGATCTCCGAAAAAAATTCAAATTGTTTTTATACGGTAAGCCCACTCAACACACACCTTTATATACCGATACGGAATCCTCGTCAAGATGTCAGCAAGTACTATCGCATTCGACTTCATGTCGTTAGCCTTGACAATCGGAGTTCCGGACGTCCGCGAAGGAGAAGCAAGACCTTCAATGGAAAAGCAAATGGCATCTGCGTACGGCGGGACGAAAATGTCCGTCAAGTAGACTGGCTGGCCGAAATCGAGGACTACATAGCGATTCCCGCCCGGCTGCAAACGGTCCACAACCATCACGTATTTGTTGAAGCTTGCATCTCGCAGTAATCGCTCCCATGTCCAGAGCGCTTCATGAGGACTCATTCCTTCGTCCTGTGGTTCAGCGTTCTTCGGAACTCCGCTCGTGGGCATCTGAAAGAAGATCAAGAGCATTTAAACTGGTATCCAAACGTCGCTTAATTTAAATTGTTCGCACAATGGATTCAGCTACCACCTATGTTTGCTTCAGGATATGGGAAAACGGTAAGTTCTTTGAAAATACAGTAATCGAAGTTTCCGTGGGAAAAGTGGGCTGCCAGCAAACCTTTCTTTTCAAATACTGTACTTGACTTCGAAGAGTATCTCTTCCTATTTTCAGATTGTTTTTCAAACTATTTCAGATGTAATTTTCACCATACAATAAATTCATTCAGTCATTCATTTACAAATTTATGATGAAAATGTACGAGGAATTGAAAAAAAATGAGCCTATTTTTCCTTTCTCACCTCCGGCTTCGACGTTAATTTCTGATTGTGGTAGATATGTTCCACTTCAGTCGATGGAACGGGAATCAGGCCTGAAAAATCCGTTCAGAGTTAATTGAAGGAAATCGGATCCAAGAATTTTTTTCATTTCAGGTAAGCTCAACGTACCAATAGGTTCACCGTTTTTTTCCAACCGAGTTCCCTCGCTACAGCCAACAAGATTGAAGGACAGGGGCTCAACTTCCATCAAGCCTGCGAACAAGTCAAATGAACTCCTTTGCAACACAGACGTCATCAGCTTGCCGCATGAACTCTTGCTTGGGCTGTCGTCCTTCCAAAGATCAAAAATGTCTCCGAGTTCGTAATCCCTCATTCTGATCATTTCTGGAGACTTGACTGCAGATTTTAGTTCTCCGCAGATTGGTCGCGGAAATTCTGCTCCTTTGGAATATTTGCTGGAGTGGTGGCCGTTGTCAACAGGGTTAAAACTTGGCAGAGTTAAACCGACAGTTTCGAAAGAAAAAGCAGGAATTTTGGCGAGTTGTAAGTCATACAATTCTCCGCTTTCCGGCTGCTCATAGACCCCATATCTGAACGAAAAAAAAGATCGCAAAATTGAACAAATTTTAAATTTCTTCATCTCTAATGGCTGAATTCTACGCTATTACTGTATACGGCTTATATTATGCGAACAGTGGTGATTCCGCTTGAAAATATGTGCCCATTTCCTATGTTGAAAAAATATTAAGATCTAACCTCTTTTGCGAGGCGAGAATTAACTTACGAGAACACGATTACTATTATCGTAATCGATATGCAGAATACAATCACCCAGTGAGACAGAAAAGGAACAAGAAAGTTCACAGAGTCAACTTTCCTTTTTCATTCGTTTAAAAGGTTTCGATGCATTCACACCAGAAATACAGAATAATTTGTCAAGATCTCAATATTTCAATACTGTAAATGAGTAGTCACTCAATCACCTGGTTCGAAGAATTTGTGAAACGTAGTCATCCTTGGCAGACTTTTGTCCGGAGAAGTGCACCAGGGCATTGATGCACGAATCCATTGTCTTCGCTAAATCAGTCGGTTTCACGTGATTCAGCAGAACAAAGAACCAGTTTAGACTTCCAGCACTCGGGCTCATTCCCAGGTTCAACAGTCGATCGGCCCAGGCATTGCACACGGCACTGCCGAAAGCGTCAAATTTACTTTGGTCTCCAGCTGACTTGAGATACCTGAGAAATAATTGAAGCTATTTAAATAAAAAAACGCGTTTTTGAACATAGTCGCGGGTAAAAAGCGAGGCTTCGCGCACAAAAGGTTGCCTGTTCAAGTTCGTGAGCACGCGCGACTAATTTCCAGAAATTTTCAATTATTGAAATTGAAAATGAACAAATATCACACAGAAGGAAGACCAACATAAGAGCTGATGCGACGATCCTGGCTGCGTAGTGGCTCACAGATCGTGAAGCCAACAGAACACAGTGTTCTACAAAGCTTGACAAATTCTGTGTGAGGTTCTGCAATAGATCATTGCACGCCGTGACGTCTGAAGCACTACAGAACTTCGGTGAGATCCAGGTTGTGCCGCAAATCCATGAAAGCATTTCGATTGCCCACTGAATGACGGACAGGTTTCCTTCCGAGAAGAGAATCACGAAGAGCCGATCGTGGAATCCCTTCGAACGTAGCAACGCTGCCCGCAGGATTCTGAAAAATCCAGCAAAATTAGGTTGAAAGTTCGGGAATTCCTCCGAGGAACATCAACGAATAAAAGCCCGATTTATTCAAGATTCCATGTTAGAACAGTAAGATTTCTCAGGCAAGACGAATTAGAAGACGTGACTTCCCTCATATTTTCACTTCCTGTAACATTTTATTTTCTTGAGGAACACAGAGGTTTGTTAAAAATACAGTAATTCCAAACAATGAAATAAATAAATATAAAATCACGACATACTTGGAAGATTAAAATTGCACCGAAGATATCGTCATAATTTAACTGCAATTCAATCTGAGGAAAATCTTGGAATTCATCAATCTTGATAATGGAGATATGGAAATTGCTTCGAAGCATTTGTGATTTTCTGCACGCAGTACGCATACAGCACATTCGACATACTCGTATTTTCCGGAAGCATCGCATTTAGGAAGCGCTGTAAAATCTGAGCACATCTTTAAATGCCGATTTCTGTATAAATTATTGAGCAAATTTTCCAAGATCCTGCAAGCTACTGTAATTGAAAAATAACTAATGCCACGAATTCCAACAATAGCCATACAGTAAGTTCATACGATACGCGCTTTTTTTTTCTTTACTCACGCCTGCTCTGGCCGCAGTGTAATATAAATGTCGTGAATCGAAATCGAAACCTGGTTCACCCATGAAAGAGCGAAAGAATTGGTTTTCGAGTCGTTCGTAATCTTGGTCTTGAGGGTATTAAACTTGTTATAAATCTTCTGAAAAGCATGAACTATTTCTTCATGTCTGACTCGAATAAGGTCAGCGGGAAATTTTTCTGCTGCTTCGGAGGAATCTTCTTTTCCTTCCCCGTCTGCAGCATCGTTGGTCTGCAATATCAAAGAATACAATTGGAATCAAAAATTTCATTTTCGCTGAAAAAAATGCAAAAGCAAATAAAATAATTTCACCTAAAACGTTCCAAAACGAAAGATAAATTTTTCTATAAGCACACGCTAATTTAAAATGTAAATACTTGGATCTAAAAGCTTGCAGTTCCACATCGAAACAGTGAATCCGGGCTTTTGTGCGAGGAAATTGAAGTTGTACTGATGTTTTACACGTACTGAAAATAAAATTAACAGTAAATATTACTTCCATCAGATCAGCGTACACCACGAGTCCATAATTTTGCTTTTAATAACCTACTAAATTTACAACAAAATGTTCAGTCATTTTTGAAAAGCGCGAAGTTGATTGCTTTAGATTAGAAAAATTTCGAACAGGATAATTTTTCCTGGTTCCACATTCAAGCTAAAAGATTCGAATAGTGATGAAACAGGTGAGAAACTTGAATATTTACCACCGGATGCTTCGCTCTCAAAACGATGCAAAGATGTCTAAGCTTGTTCGCAACCAACTGCGGACTAGCAAACGTAATAACCCCTCCCATGAATTTGACGTCCAAGAACTCATTGACATCCACGGGACCGCAAACTATATCGTCAGAATTATCTTCCAAGAAAGACGGTTTTGACACGGTATCCAGAGTTTGTTCCAGTTGCTTCTTTGAAGAAAGACTTCCAGTCTTTGGCGAATTTCTCAGCAGGTACGCCTGCACAACCGGCATGGGATCAAGTTTGTTCATCTGGAACCCAACTTCGACAAAGCCTATCGAACGGCACTGAGGCATCGTAATCTCGAACACGGTGTGCTCGATTGCTCTGCAAATCGTAATACGCGTGAATCGTACACGAAGGGAATACAGATAGGATCGAACATCGAAGTTACTCACGACAGTCTGGGACTTTGATTGTAGAATTCTCTCTTCTGGTATTTTTCAGCCAACGACCGTCTCAATGGCTGACCGTATCTCTGAGTCGTGGGATTGAAGGAGACATATTCTGGAACTGAAAAAGAGCAAAATGGTAAAAATCATCAGATTCACTAAAAAGTCTTCTCTGTCAGAATTTTAACTCTTCCCGTAAAATTTGTAGAAAAAATCGCCAGCTGTAATGTAATTTTTTTTTTCTGCGAAGCACAAAGAAATTTTACGCATTACATAGGGATTAACACACTGTCTTAAATTCAATAAAAAGCGTTTCAAATGGATTTACCGGTTGAAAAAGTCCCACTAATTTCAGAAACATATTTCCGGAGCTCTCGAAACATCATCTCGGAAAAATCGTCAACGAAATACTGTAATCTGACTATCCAAAGCTCTAAATGGCTAAAACGGCATTGCTTCATTAGGTTGGTATCAAAACCATGTCAATTTGAAAAAAATTACCTTCGCAAGAGGAATTCTCAACCCATCAGAAAAATACAGTTAATGTCAAACGGAGATCGTTATAAACGAAGAAAACTGGCCACCTGGGTAAATTTGCATATTCATTCTGGCAGTTGACTGATTTTTCATTCAACTAGATTAAGTTTCAATCCATTTCCACCATATTCAAAGACAGCCGTCCGTTTTAAACTTCACAGCTTCAAGTTGCTGGAAATGAGAGAAGTCTCAGAGCTCCGAAATCCGATGTCATTGTTACAAGAAGGCAATCGAAGTACTGTACTCAGTACTCTCTCGTCCAACAAACGATGTTCAGTTCTTAGTGAAACAAAAATTTTACAGAAAATCTGAATGCAGCAACTCGTGAATTGATAAGAGGTGAATGTGGTTACGAAGAAAAATTGTTGCGGAGAAATTATTTTCGAATAAAATCGTCGCAGAGAGAGTCTACCCGGACCACGTACAAATACAATCTGGTTTCACAAGTGTAAATTATGCAATAATCGTTTTCAAATAAACTTTCTCACCAATAATATACTGGGTTCTTGCCGCAGAATCGGTGACCTGTCCCTTCTCATTATCGCGGCGAATCGAACAAGGAGCATCCGATTCTGTCCAACCGGTCGGCAAAACGACGCTCATTCCAGGCAAAGTTCTTTCACAGTTCATGGCTTCCGCCACTTCCGGGATTACCTTGGTCACCAAGTCCTCCTTCACCAACATTTCCCGAATGGCGGCGGCGGCAGCGGTTCTTTCCCCGTTTTCCAGCGTGGCGCCGTCGTCTTGCTGCCAGGTGCGGGAGGAAAGATAGAGCAGAGATCCGCCTTTCGTGGCGCAACACAACCGGTTTGTGGAATGGCAAAAGAACATCGACATGATGTCCGGTTTCGACAGTTGAATAGTTTTCAAGGCGACGAGATCCGAAGTACGCAGAATGTTAACGGCGCCACCTTTGGCACCCACAACAACGCCCCTGTGAGATTTTTTGCAAGAGGAATTTTCAAACATCAGAAAACTACAATAGTTAACGTCAAACCAAGATCGGCATAAAAGAACGCGCAAAAATGAGAAAAACCCCTAATTTTCTTAAATAAGCGTTGAGACATCACTACTCAAGTACTCAGTCACACTTATGGAAAACAGAAGGAAAATATAATACAGTAAAAAAGCAATCGAGTAAACCTACGTTCTCGGGGTGTACAGCGAAATTTTCCAATTCTTCGAAGAGGAAGTAGAGTACTGTATTTTGATAGTAGGATATTACGGGAAATTAGGCAACAAAAATAATTGTGAGCATTATTTTCGGTTTCTCAACATTGCTCAAAAAATTTTACTCATTGACTTCACATTTTTCGTGAAGGGGATTACTACAAATTTTTAGGAGCCTCCATGGCTTCATACAAAATACACCCTTGTTGATCACTGATTACATACATAAATGACCTAAACGAATTCAGCGAAAAATGATAAATTCCAGTACACTCATCATGTCCTATTTGATGGATGCCTCACTTCAGATGAATGATCGTTTCTTAGTTTTCGATCCGAGTGTAACGGAGTGCTTCAAAAATGGGCAAAAAAGTCGAAGCGATTTTCGACATGAAGGTTCGAAAAATATTTTTATTCTTTATACTGCATCTCAGCATGACGTCGGAAAAAAAATATTAAAATTTCTACAGAACTTAAGAAAACACACGTTCGTGCGAGTCAAGACAACTAGACAAGTCTTCTTTTCCGGTGCGTTGGAAAGTTGTGGATTCCAGTACATATTTATTCGGGTTTTTTTTTCTCAATATTATTCCACATACGTGCTTCCACTCCCAGTAAAAATTTCAGAGTTTAAACTCCACGTGTTTTTACAGGTAAATCGGCCAGTGAATTTCCCCAAGCTCCAGACAACTGATGAATTCACTCACCCGCCTTCGATGTTAGACCAACTTTCTCCAATGGAAGCCTCAAATGCGCTTGGAATGTGAATCGACGAAACAACACCATCTGGAGTTCCGAAATATCTTTCGGCAACAGGAACTTCGTTGAACAGCTTCCCGTCGTACAATCCGCAAGACAATGTTAGCAACAAGGAAGACTTCGGAGAACCCAAAGTGGTTTCCATTTCCCACCATGGCTCATCCGCTGATTGCACTACTTCGTCGTACCCAACAAGATTCAACAACAGAATTGACGCAGAGACGATATGCATGACATCTTGTATCACAAAAACCAGACCCTGTAGGGGAAGAATATTTCATTCAACAACCAACCTCTGAAGCAGAAACATACGATGGGTCAAATACAGGAAACTATTAGAGTATTTAGATGCAAGGTCGTGTTTGCACCGTCAGTGATCAACAAGGATGTATTTTGTATGAAGCCATGGAGGCTCCTAAAAGTTTACAGTATTCCCCTTCACGAAAAATGTTCCAAGAAAAAATATACAGTACTGTACAGTACTTCATATTTTCAAGAATTCCTCACACTAACAAAATCAAAGGAAACAATTATCAGCTTCTACGACCGCAATTTTACGCCTGATTTCCTAGAGCTTCTCTAGCTAAAACTCTTCCATGCCATCAAAACGTACTAGCCAAAAAATTACTCATTACATCAATTATGTTCACGTTTATTGAGAAATCTCTCACAAGATGATACGATATTTCGTCGTAAACAGGCTTCATAAGCAATATGTGTTTCCGATTATTGCTAAAAATAATGCTCTAATAGGTTTTTTAGAGAGAGAGAGGGTGACCGGTTAACCAGAGGTGCCCAAGGTAGGGCCCGCGGGCCAGATCTGGCCCGAGGAGGTCTTTCATCTGGCCCTCAGAGCCAGCATGGAAAATGACCACCCAAAAATGAAACCTCCAGACATGAAGATTTGAAGATTTTCAATATGTCTTCAGACAGCAATTTTTCTACTAGGAATTCACAAAATTGACCAATAGAACAATATTCGTTTATTCGTGATGTCAGTGGTTTTGCTTTTCAGATTATAGGGCAAGGTTTTTAATCATGAAATTTAAATCTTACCCCATATTTTTCTCTTGTGTTTTTAACTTATTATAATTACATCACCTAATACCAGAAAGAGGTAAAATAACTAAATTTTTGAAATGGCATGAAAAAATAGAACATTATGTATCAACTGCTCTCTGTGGGGAACAGAAACTTCATCAAAAATCCCCATTACTGTAATTGACTTTGATGCAAGACTCAAATCATGGTTTTGACCATCCCAAGAAGACCATAAAAATTTTATGTGTTAAAATATAACAAGCAATAGCTACTGCTTCAATGTGGCCCTCAGCAATTTCCGAGTTGGGCATCAGAGGGTTAAGGCGATCAAATATTAACTTCGACACGCTCTTCAAAAGTAAGTTTCTTCGACAGATCCAAATTAAGGGCGCGGTCATACAACGCTTCAAACTTTTCTGGGAATTTCAGATGGGAGATGTCTCTAAAGCTTCCCATTTTCCATCGAGGGTTTTCTTGTTTGTCAAGACAGCTATTTTTCATTCATGAATACGTCCAAATTCCATCTCCAAGACAAATAATTCCCAATTTCACTTCTCGAGAGTTTTCATCGCTCACCTCAGTCTCACAACGTAAGCTCAATGGGACTTTCACCAAACCGCATTGAATATACTGTCTCTGCGCTTTGATTGGTTCACTGGCTGCAGGCACATCCATCGATTCCGAATCAACCTCTTCCTCCGACTCCTCAACAGTCTCCACTGGAATGATGAACTTGGCATCATCTGATTCATTCGAGGATCCTTCAACTTCTATTTCTATGCAGTCGACGTCAGATAATTTATCCGTTCCAAGAATGGCAGCTAAAGTGTTGACGTCTGAAACTGAACGTGAAAATTGATCTGATTAATCAACGGACCAGCAGCGGAAACGTGCTAAGCGTTCTAAATTTCCAAAAACGAATCAACTGAATATTCAAATTTTTGAAGGATCTGAAATAATGCAGTCACAATCGGAAATCAAACCGAACTGAGTGTCTCGTGTCTCCCACTTTAAAATGAAGATAAAAATACAGAAATGAACCATTTAAAAATTTTAAAAAAAATAATGAGAAATAACTGTTCCAAGGCTCGACATCAACAAAATACCTAAATTAGAAGCGACTGGAAAACGAGACAAATATACGATAAAAATGGCCTTTTAATACATGTATACCTACAGCAGTTCTTTTTATCTTACCCAGTACACGCCGACAGCAAAAAGTCAAGATCCCGCGTGACATTCTTAAAAGCAGTAAAATATCTGGAGTGTCTTCGCGTTATTTTATTGATGATGATTCTTTCAACTACAAGAAGCGAACGTTTCCTAGTAACGAATTTATTGAGTAAAATCAGTTCATTCACCCCAGCGATAAGGTGCGTCTGATTACTGCACCCGTCATTACAACCATGTTAACCTCAAACTGCGATTTCTTCTTCTCATTTCCTGTCTTCGTTCAAGTTTGCTCCTCAGCACGTACAACAAACAAGTTTTTCATTTACATTTCTTAAAATGAAATGAAAATCTTTATGAGCAGAAAATCGAATTACTGTACCTGGTTCCGATATCTCAGACTTCCGTTCTCGACCAAACCCTTTTTCGGCACTCAGGTCATGTGCGAGTAAATAGGCATAGCGTCCGCATCGCATATTATATGTCAAACCGGACTCCTCGTTTCGCTCAGTTTCTTGACTAAACGTCGGCAATGAGACGCCAGCAAAAAGAACAGGGCCAACGATTTCCGTCGAATTTCCTGCATTCGGAAGCGCCGACACAGCCAGGGCTGTTAGCTCAAGAGTATCCATATTCTTCACCATCGTCGAAAATAAGCCTGTGAAAAATTGGTGTGGACTGTTTCATAAACAGGAAACAGAGAATAGAGCGGAAAACAGTGGTGATTCACACACTGTAACAAAACTTCGTCCATAACAAACCTTAATCATGGATGAAAAATTTTAATGTGCGAATCAATACTTGTATGTATTCTATTGTAAAAAAAAGCCCTGTGTTGAAGCATTCATCACAAAAAACCGTTGACTATATGTATATTTTGTAACTCAAACGGAAATCCACTTCCTGGAAATAACCTCGGAATGAAATTCTCAAAAAAGCAGAAAGACCATTGCACAGAGAAAAATTGGAGAAAATGTGAGATTGACAGGGGGAATAGCATAAATGCGATGATGCATTGATTGTATACTTTAACAAAAATAAAGTAGATGGAAAGTGTGGGGCTCAAATGCCCCATGGCTGAAAGAACCTTCGTGAAAGCAAAATTTACGGTTCAGTTTCCTGGCTGAACAGTTTATGGAACACATTGTCAGCAACCGTTATTTTCTGGCGCGTTAGTCGGTCATTTTGTGGCACGTTATTCTGTCACGTGTGTGTTTAAAACTTAAAAGCCACGTTTTTTCGAAGTAAAACCATTTCGGTTCTAGCTGTTGAACAGGAAAGTTAGAAAATAAAGAATCTCAACTTTTACTATTGTCAACAATTTTTGCCTTCCTTTGATTGGCTTAAATCACAAGCCAAATGTTTTAATGTGTCCGAAAACCGGCCGGAGTCAAGCTTGAAAAACTCTTCGAAAATAAGGGGAAAATCTCCCAAACCAAATTCCCCAGAAAAATAATTTCATATTTTCAAGGATGCAGTTGGTTTTTAGAAGGGCCTCATTCGCACTGCTCTTAATTCTGGGCAGTTTAAAAGTTCATGAAAATTAATACTCACACTGAATAAAAATCATTCAATGCACTTTATTTTTTTGGCAGTTGTCATAGTTCATTTGTAATACATTCATTCAATGTCAATATATTTAATTGGGACTACGCATCCCGTTAAGGAATACTATACACAGTACATCGAGGCCCACGCTAAAATGAATAGGGAAAATAGCGAATACTGTAAATGTCAAGATACGTTTCATGACGGGCGATGAAAAGTGAAATTTACCGTCCGCTCGCGGAACAAACAATATTTCTTCATATTCCCATCAACTTTTACTTTGAAATTCGGTGGGCATCGATTCATTATAGCTTTCACTTACCACCAGAAACCGAAGCAAGCTCCAGTTCATTCGACAACGACGGGCTTTCAAGCTGAAATCCGCGACGACTGTCGGAAAAATATACAGCATCTTCTACCCCACGAGTCGTTGCCTCAATAAAATTCTTCGGATCTATGGGGTACTCCAACAAAGGCTGCAATGCACAAACGAGTTCCGTCTTGAGAACTAAAATCCTTACTCGTCATCGCGCAACACCAAATCATTACCACAACACCAGAATGATTTACATGAAAGGGGTATTTCAAGAGTCTTGAAAGGAGTACGATTCGATTAGTCAGCCTTACTTTCTTCACTAAATCTGCCATTTCTCACCTCGAGCGAATCACGTGTGTTCCAAACAACGATGTTACCTGACCGCGTGCCGGTCGCGACATAGTGTGCAACCGACGCGTCAAGGTCGACAGTCGGTTCAGACACCAGGGTGATGACAGAACGATCAGCATCGGATGCTTCAGACTTATCTCTCCAATGCCATGAAATCCTGGCAGGTCCAGCTGACTCCAGCAACGTTGCCGGCACATTTGGTGTCACAGATCCTTTTACAAACGCGCACGGCGGAGAGTGTCGCTCGTGCTCTGACCTACATACCAAAATAAAAAAGGTTCACATCAGCATAACGTAGTCAAAATCGTTTGGATTATATGGTATGTTAGTGAAATAATGCTTTAAATTCCAGATATGAGATTCTCCAAATCTGTAAAAGAGGATTCCGAATCCAGCCATCGAATTCTGATACTTGTGATAATCCTTTTAGGTAGAGGTAGTATCACTGAGTTTTAAGTCTCACGAATGCTGAAGAGACGCTGCCCATAACGTTAGATACAGAGTGTGAAATAAACGTAGTCCAAGACGTAATACAGTTTTTCATGCTCTTCTAACGCTTTTGGTTGACAAACTGCTTGCTTTTGGCGAAGAAATGACCCAGATAGGGGTTTCTCATCCCCCTTTCATGGCTTTTCCCAAATACTCATTGAGTAAGCTAACTAGCTTGCTCATAACAGGCTTGCTCATTCTTCAGCAGGTAAACCAATTAATTTTTCAATCGACCTGTTACATTGTAGATGCAATTGCGCTTTACATAGAACTGTTTCTTTTCTGAAAAAATTCAAAAGTATTTAAACAGATACCTTCTTGTAAAATGATGAGAAAAAGAAAATGCATCTCATATTTGCGCAGGAGTCTAGCAAGAACCCGTTGAAGTACTCACCACGGGTCGTCACTGGGATCCCAGGCCAGCAAACACACGTCGCAGTAAAAACACATGACCTTGTCAAGCGCCGTCGGCATGGGAACGTGGAAAAACCCAGCCTGGGCCATATTCTCTGGAATCGCCCACTTATAGTCCATGTGAGGCCAGGTAGAAAACGTCTCTCTTCGCGCGATTTCGCTCCACATTCGTGGCTCATCCAGATCGTCGTCGGTGGGACAAATCCATTCCACACGCTCCGTCATTGCTGTTAGTATGCTGAGCGAGGAAGAATCATGCTTGTTATTTTTCCAGCTGTCCATGCAGCTCTTGCAGAGGGATCGGACATCGTCCGCGTTCAGGTCTAAACATATGGTTGTCCACTTGTTGAACATTTCTGGACGCCGCGCGACGGCCTTTCGGAGAGCCTCTAGACGTCGTTGGAGCTCGCTGAAAACGTGTAACCGCATCGACGTCGTCGGCAAAGTCGCCACAAAATTCGTCAGTTCCATTGCCTGGAAAAGATTACGTTTAACTATTCATGTGATAAATTACACCAAGTACTTCTCAACTTTAAAATTTCGATGCACACAGGAATATTATATTGAGAAAAAAAAACGGGAATTGAAAACTTATTTTCTCGTAGGATGTCCCTCGTCCGGTTTTCACTCTAAGTCCAAGAAAAATGCGCGCACCATTTTATGAAAGAATTTTTAATCTGCAATTTTAAAAGTGCACATATTTCGACGTGATGGGCACTACTGCGGAAGAAGTACCTATTTTTTTATATACCCTCCGTAATACCGAACCTCGCAGAATAACATAAAAATGAAAACTCTTAGAGCGAAGTCCGAAGGTACAGGAGTGCCAAACGTTCTTTTTTTTTTGGTTTTTTCCCCAAGATTTTTAGAAAAAGTTGAAGATGCAATTTTTTCAAGCGAAAGATAAGGTAAAACGATCCTTCAACCCGATTGCAAGGTAAAAAAAAGTGATGTAGTTTCTCATTCAATGCTTTATTTCGTCTAGTTATGGGCACACTGTGGCATGTTTCGCTCACTTTCTGAACTCAAGACCAATAAGCTTTGGTTGATTTTCATCGCAACCCATCACGTCTTTGAATCTAAATTTGTTTGGTGACACCTAACGAAGACTTCGATCAATATTTTTCATCATCATGAAAATCTTTCGGAACATTCCAGCTTCCTTCACGCGGAATACAGCGCATTCCGGTCAAGCTTCGAAAAATGATTTTAATTCTGAATTCAATTCAGGCTCAAGGAGAGTTTTATAAATCACGGATCTTCTAAGAGATGACTTCAGTATCTGAGGAACACGCTTTCGGTTCCTAAGTAAACCAATACCTCCTGATGCGCCAGTAACTCAATCCGAACTTGTCTGTGCTTCGAACTGCCTTCGCCCGTCTTCTTATGCGCTGCTTGCAAAATAGTATCAAGCAAAATTGCGCCTTTGTGCGGCGACCGCACGCCAATAGTTCTGCCTTCCGCAACAAGTAATTTGTTCACCGCAGGTATATATTGTAGCGCCATAGGCTTCTTTCCCCTGCCAGTCCCATCATCTGTGGAAAGCGCGCGAACAACGGTCGTCACTTTCATGAATGCAGAAAATTTACGCATTCACTCGAGCACCGCGCGCACCTTTCTTCTCAAATTTGCGAAAAAATTAGGGTAGTGCGTGCCATATGCGGGTATACAGTGCATTATTCCAAGTTTTAGAAACTTAGATGTGCAGGATACTTGATTCTGCAGGAACTTTTTGCACGAAGTTCAACAGAAAAAGGTACAGTACAGTAAGTAATGGAAAATTAGTTGAAATCAGGTTCAAACCATGCCTAAATCCAAATTTGGAAGTTATTATTTTTTAAATATCATGATTCTAGAGTCACTAAAAATTGGGTGAGCGTCTTCCTCAGGTATACAATTCCATCAAAATTTTCAACTGAAAAAACCCCGTGCGCGTAAACTTGAGGGCACATGGTAACCCAATTGAATACCAAAATTTTTTTCAACTTTTTCAAAGCGGAGGAAAGAACTAAGCGTTGATCGATTTTTGCAAGATTACGGTAAAACTCACTATTACGATGAGGAACCACGGAGTGCAGAATAAGGTCTGAGTTCGCATCAATCACGTGCAGCTTTCTGTCCTCTCCAGCTACAATGATCACATTCAAGGCTGCGTGGTAAGTCGCTGCTTCCAGCGTCGTACCAATATCACAACCAATCTCCTCCTCCATCGCCCACGGTTCCTCCCCCGCCATAATCCTTGATGAAGTAGGGATATATTTATAATAGAATCAGTGTGACAAACATGTTTTTAAATAAATTTCCGAGAAGAATTTTAATTCACGTGTATAATCGCAGTCACTAAAAATGTCGACCGTAATAAGCTTTAATCATGAACTCACCCACAACGGTAGTGCAGGAATGAGAGACCGAATAAAGATCACGCTAACTCAAGTCACATCTATAGAAAGAAAGAAACACGTTCAACGGCTGACGTATTGAAATCGATCAATGGAAAGAACTCTCGAACAACGTTTCACTTCCATACAATATCCCAAGTTTCTATTAATCAATTCGAGATGAACAATGCAAGTGGTAAGTCTTCCAAACAACTGCGCGTTACAAAAATATAACATCTTTGAAGTAGAGGACGTTCACAGGTGCTGCTCCAAGAAATGCAGCATGGAGACTTCGTAGTGCTCATTGCTGCGGAAATGTCGAAGACTGTGACGTTCACTGGGGTAAACCTGCAAGAATTAAAATAATATTGATCGGAAAGTGCAAGGAACACATTTATTTTTCAAAATAAATAACTGTTGCACGGAAATTTACTTTTCACAGGAAACCATCCTACAAAGCTCACGTACAATTGCTCACACAGAGGAGATACATACGAGCAGATGGAACTTGGAATGACTCGGCGTTGAATGAACTTGACACCTAGAGAGTGACATCTACCCACAACAACAAAAGTTCTCCATAATTGAAAAGCACATTCGAAAAATTCTAGAAAAATGGCAAGCCCGTTCATACTTGGAGTTTCAGTTAACTATTGTTGTTGAAACAGATTATTTACTGTATATTTAAAATATCATTCCCATTCCAAGTCCAACATCCGTCAACATTTTAGAACACATTTCGCGAGTAACAACCCGATATCTGAACGCAAGCTACAGTAGTACAGTGAAGATTTATTTCAAAGCTCCTTAGTGCGGGCACATTACAATACTTCCACGGAAGCAGAATCACCGGCCTACCTGAAGTTGATATGGCTTCCCTGCCTTGACTAAGGCATCGATCAACTGCGTTGTGTGCGAGAAATGCACATTGTCATCCATCAAACCGTGAATTATAAGCAGTCGATTCGCCCTGAAAAAATCAAGACGTCGATGAGCGACATTCAGTTATAACAATGAACACAACGATGAACAATAATTTTCATAGTCGACTCTTCTGTAGCAGCTTTGAGCGTTCTCAACAACGCTATCAAAAGCAAGCTAACGAAGAAAGAGAAATACCAAATGCATGATTACATACAGTTACGTGCGTATTACCACGATCATCGGAATTCACTCACTCATCAGGAAGCTTGTGCGCCATGCTTAATATGGAGCCTTCTTTGTAACCGGCTGGATTAACGGTGGGCAAATCCATGTAACGTTCCGTATAGGCAGTGTCATACAAATGCCAGCAGGTAACTGGAGCGGCTGCAATTGCCACCTGGTAAGAATTTAAAGAAAAAATAGTTGATTTTTCTAAAAGCAATTCCAACACGCGTATTGCAAGAAATATGTCTCGCTTCTCGAGCGAGACATATTTCATAATTCTTTAATTCAACTTGAAACAAGCCTGACTCGGACTTACTCTGATTTGACTCGCCATTAATGCAACTGATTAACACAAATTTGATGTGAGGTCGTCAGTATTAAAAAATAATAAATATGAAAATATAAAATAATTACGAATATTCACATAAATATGCTTCCGAACCTACCTTGAAAATTTCGGGATAACGAATGAGAGCACACAACGACAGATATCCTCCATACGACCATCCGTGCACACCTATTCTAGTAGTGTCAATGTAGGATCGAGTTGATGCAAGCCACGTCATCACTTCAACTTGGTCTTTCATCTCCACAGTTCCCTGAAAAAACATACTCATTTGTATTCGAAACATCAATTCATCTACTGTACTAAGAAAAATACGAAAAATTTAGAAAAATGTACGATTCACAATGGAAAGAAAATCGTTCTCTTCTTTGAAATCTGAACGAGAAATATGTACAACTCAAAAGATAATATTCGCTGCAATTGGAAATTTAATGAACACCTCTGAAACATTCGAAACATAGCTTTGAAACAAAGAAACACCATTTTGAATAAAATTATGCATGTAGAACGAGAAGGGTAATTACCATCCGACGGTACAGATGCGTTTCGAACTCTCTTCCCCGATGTTCAGATCCTCGACTGTCGACGCATATGACGCAGTAACCCATGGCAGCCAAAATGTAATTCCGCGATTGTTTCGAGCTCTTAAGAAGAGAATTTGACTTCATTAAAAAGCCAGACGGATTGAAGGATTATATGCATCACAGCTTTGAAAGTACGGTACTGTAAACACTTGTATTGTATTGTACTTGTCAATAAGCACATCACAAAATTGTAACGGTAAGAAATTTCACTGTTGATCATTTTCTTCTATCCCAAAAATGATGATACGATCAGATAATACAGTATTTTGCACAATGAAGTCAAGACGTGTTCAACGCTAAAAAAAAAAAAAAAAGAGTCCGGTGACCCACAAAAATTGAAAAGCGATTGGAAAATAAGACTAAATTTGACACAGAAAATTCAATTCTATCCGTTCCTGTTTCGATATTTAAAAAAATGCATTAGGCGAGCGGCCATGCAACAAAAATCAGAAAAAATTATCAGGATCAAACAATAAGTTAACTTCAGCACACAGTAGGAGAACAAATACAATTTTGAATGTTATACGGATATACTGTAATAACACGCATATTAAGCGGAAAGCAAAAACATGTCTCACTTTGAAGCTATTGGTGACAAGCTGAGCTTTCGGGCCTCCATATACAGCAAGCAACGTCGGGTACTTACGAGTTGGCACCATTCCTGGTGGTTTGAACATCATTCCATACAATACTTCGCCACTCCTTATTCTGAAAAAAACAAAAACAAAGAAACAATCACCATGGGAACAGAACCAAATGATGAAGGAAATCCCATATATAATGCGGTGACAGAATCCGAACAATATTTACGAGCACAATTTGCGCTTATCGGAAAACCCCGAAAAAAAATTTTTTTCGCAACGACATGTGAAAAATGTTCTCATGAATCGGAGATTTGCAGAATCGTGGCACCAAATGGCAACAGAAACAGCGAGCACTCAGCATTCGCATTTTACACGTCTACGCATGTGCTAGCAGGGAAATAATACAAACACGATGTAATGACTGGGAAATTGGATAAATACAAATTAAATTCGGAAATTCGCAGAATTTAGTCCAGTCAACACTACTCCAACTTTTTCCAGGAAATTTTAAAAGCGAATAAAAAACAGTAGAAAATTCATGAGCGAAAGAAAGCTGCCAAAAACGTGGATTTCCATAGAATCCAAAATTCATTGCTTTGTAAGGAATTTTATTTTCAAGCTGAAAGTCAAGAAAGGCATTTCAATAAACAATGTATTGTAGAGCATAATATGCCAGCTTGATTATATGTTGAAATGAAAACAAGTCACCTGTGAGAGAATATTTCCGGCGGCTCGTAACTCGGATCAACAAATTGCGCGACGGATTCATGTCCTTGGATGTAGCCACGGAGGGCAAGCACAAGCCCGTCGACCTTCTGCGATTTTCCCCCAAACGAGGTATTTGCGTCCCACGCAACACTCGCCACTTGGCACATGGGAGGAGTCGCAGTGTTCGAGAACAGGTCCACAACGACGGTTGCAGTCGGGGAAATGTGCACGGCCACGCAGTGAGAAAACCCAGCTGCTGTTAACCGCTTCACTCGCCCAGGGTCATCAATTGCAACAACGTATAAATGACGCTCTAATGGCGAATCCTTGAAACCAGTGAAGTAGACAAGGCTGTTCAACACGTCAACCCAAATCTCACCTACGAAGAAGACAAAAAAAGTTTTCCATTTATGAGCTGATCCTGGCATTTTGCGACTGGTGCATAATTTCTTAATCAAATCAAGTTCTCAAAAGCAAAAACTCAACTTTCTATGAACTTCCAAAAAAATACCAGTTTTCTCGCAGTGCCATCAAGGCTTTTCAAATTCAATTTGAATGAAGGTTAAACAAAGGAAAATTCTATCAATGTTCGATGGACTCGTTCTGCAATGCTCATCAAACCACGAAATAATTCGTTTTTCAGAGAGTATTAAGTTAATTGGAGAGCTTACGCATTAATGGAGTGTCTAAAAGAACCATAAAATCGATATAGTTGAATTTTGATAATTCAAACCTCCCTACGTTGAATACCGCCCCAACTTTACCTATCAAACCTCCATATTCCAATTTTCTGGAGGACATTGTTGGAGGACACAGGTTATTGTTTCATTGACACAGGATAAGAGAAAAGCTTTAAAAATGTAACTTGATGTGTTTTGACTTCTGAATGGAAGTTGAAAGACCAACAGGGAAATGGACCTTCGTCTCCCAAGTTCAGCATTTTGTCAAATCATTCAAGAAGCAAACTAAGGCTGTCAATTTGTTTACAAACTCGGTCGCTGAAATTACAGTGAAACCTTGTTAAACCGCCAACGTTTGTGCAGCAGAATTTTGGCGGTTTATCCAGGGAGGGTGCCCCTGTTGAAAAAAAAGTTCCAATGCCCACCCTTCTCCACCTGCCAGGTCATTCTTTGTTTCTTGGGAGCTCTCCCATTGTATACATATTAAGACACAGCAAACCAAAAATTGAATTGCGTTTAAAGATAAATTTGTTCAAAGTTAGTTAGGATGCGGTACTTAAATTTGGATTATTTGTGGGCAGGTTAATTTGAATTGATTTAATTAATATAGGGAGGGGTGGATGACTTTTCCATTTTTCCAATTTCTCTTAATTGAAACTCAGTACACAAATGTTGAGGTGGAGGGGAGTATGGGGAAATGAAAGGCTGGAAGGAATTGTTTTTGGCAGAAAACTTGATCACAAAGTCAATCTGTTCTGTCTAACCAGACAATTCACAAAATGGAAGCAATTCTATTTAAATTTTTCAACCAGCACAATGTCACTTCTATTCTAAAATTTACAACTTTATTATCTACAAATTTGTTTAATGAGTGCTCATTTCTGAATAATGAAATGTGCTTTTTTTTGGCCATGCCACCTTGGATAAGAATTTGAAATTCAATTGCCTTGGATGGAGGAAAAAACATTGGCGGTTTATCGGGGTAAAAAACAATGCAAATATCCAGTTTGTTCTTCAAAAAGTTGGCAGGAACAGAGGGTGGCGGTTTATCAGAAGGCGGTTTAACGGGGGTTGACTGTATATATTTCTATAAGTAAATTCAGACAATTTTCTCCCACTTCTGATCGTGGATTTCATAATACCCTGAAAAATTCGACAGTTTAATCAAATACTGGACTTACTTTCTGCGACCTCCCAGCTTCCCCACGTCAAGGCGTACGATGGAGTACTGCTTGATTGCCGCCAGACTTCCTCATTTGGGTTCTCCTCACCGGAAGGAGGCGTCGCACGACAGACACAAGTACGTCTCGTGATTTTGTTCTCTAAAACCTTCCTCTTCCGACACCTGGACGGCGTGGGCACGTCGTCACAACAGGGCATCTCATCATCACAGTCTTCTTCGCTTGGTGTTACAGACTCCTCACTCAACTTTCCCTCCGCAGTTGATAAGTACAAGTGCCTGTATCCAGATTCTTCTGACGCATAAATGAAACTGAAAAAATGAAGGAAATGGCTCCAATAGAGGATTTCTCGAAATATCATCCTAAAATAAAAGCATTTAAAATTTTTACAAATTCTTCCGCGAGGAATAGGGTGCTAGGCTGATAACGGAGTCCGATGCTACAAACAATTCAGGTTTTCACCATAAATTTAGTTCCTTATTATCGTCAATACAATTTTAAAAATTAACAAAGAAGACGTTATCCCTTAAAAGACCGAAATTGGAAAATCCCGTAATTTAATTTTCGACAAATAAATGAACCAAATTTTCTCCCTTGACAACAGAAAAAACTTTGAGAAGAACCGTTATTTATTTTTCGGATAAAAAAATGATCCAACAATTTTGTTAATGCAAAACAAAACAACAACGTAAAACCGTTTGCTTATATCGTTACCATAAATCCGTGGAATCTTTCTCTCGTGGAAACCAGAACATGATATCGTCCACATTGAGCCAGTGAGGTGCAGTCAAATTCATAAGCTCCATGACTCCGTTTTCCTTCGAACACCCGGATGATGATGACACTTGACAATGCACTGGAGGAATTGCATTGGTATCGGATTCGTGGAAACCGGTCTCGGCGCAGTCCGTGAAGGCGCGCAGGGATATTAACACAGTTGTTTGCGTTCGTTGCGGTCGGTCCAGCAACTTCGCCCAAATGCTGGAAAACCAAGGAACATAGATATGAAAAAAAATTTAGAATAAAAAATTAAACAGAAAGCGACGATCAAAAAACAACTCACAAATCGCCCTCTGGAAGCCAACCGACCCTGACTAGATACTCGAAGCCCGGGAAGTCCTCTTCGAGACTTCGGCTGAGACATTTTACCTTCACACCAGTGATGTGATCAACGTCGAGGCGGAACTCGACTAACTTCAACTCGCTCTTTGCATTCGCTGTTCCCGCCCGCGGAAATTTATAATCGTCTCCAGCGTCATCGACATTCATTGCACATCCAAACGTATACGTCTCCACCTGTGTTTCGTCCACCTCTTCGAAAAGAATACGATATTTCCCATCTGAAAAAATTAAAAATTGGTAGTTAAAATAGAAAAAAAGTACAGTACCGCCGATTCGACGAAGATCCTGGATTTGAAAATGTACAGTATACTGTACATGCCGTATTTCAGAATTTCTTTAATATTTATGCGATCGGGTAATTGGAAAAATTACTGTACCTTTAAAACTGAAGAACTTGAGATCATACAAGACACTATTCCAGAACTGTACCGTGAATACTGAACTTCATTTTTTCAATAAATTACGAATCACAATTAGACTAATTTTCAGTGGTAACGGCCGGATTCCTTCACCTTATAAACATGCACCATCGAATCGTAAATAATCGAATACCTATAATTCATAAGAAGGGTGAAAAAAATACTTGAAGTCTGAAAATTCGAACATAAAGAGATGGGCCAACCCAAGTTTGAGTTGAAGGTTTTATACAGGTTGCTTTATTCGATTCAAACGAATCCAATGGGACGCACTTCATCGAAGTAGAATCCCAGTTCTACAAATCAATCGTTTCAATTGACATTTTCAAAGTACGAAGGATCTTAGAATACCTAGGAGTTTCTAACAGCTTCCCGTTGGTCATGATTCAGGCTATAATCGAAATACAAAGAAAACAACAAAAAACCGACATCAGGACTAACCATGAGAGATCGGCTGCCACCAAAACCCACGATAACGATCGAATTCCTCTTGCATAACAAACGACGGATATCCAGCAAGACGATCCTGTCTTGAGCTATGCGTAACGAGACGAGGAACCGCGTCGGGCTTGTTGAGATTCTTCACCCAAATATCTCCACCGAACACATACGCAACAAGATTCGGGTTGCTCGGGCACATCTCGGCATTTGTCGCAGTTTGACCATTAATATCGATCTCACTTGGTGTAATCCCTACCTAAAATTTAAAAAAGAGTTAGGTTCCTTACTCTCTGACCCCCGCAAGTGTAGAGACCATAAGTTTACAATAGATCGCATGAAATTAGCTGAAGGAAAAAACGTTTCCATTCCATGAAGTTCCATTTCAGGTTAGGTCAAAATTCGTTGATTACTTCTTCATTTCATTACGCAGCTTGACTATTAATATCGATCTCACTTGGCGTAATCCCAACCTACACACAAAAGAGATTTTAGGCTCCTTTTCTCTCAAACAAGCGCATGTGCAACGACCGTGATTTTAATTTGGATGACATTAGAAGATTAGGAGAAGTTGATACTGTATATTTTCCATTCCATGAAATTCACTTTCAAGTTAGGTCAAAATTACTTCATCATGCTCGGTCATAGAGATACCTTCATGACTCAGCAAGCTGGAAAAGGAAAGTTACAAGAGTGACCGAAATAATTCGCCGAAAAATACACTCACTCTGTCATCTCTAGAGGGACAGTGGAAAATGCGAGCACTGGCAGGAAAAAGAATTCTACCCGACGGATGCAATTCATACGAAGATATGCCCCAGGAAATTATTTTCTTCCGATCGGATAAGTTCATCTCTTGCTTGCTACATTTCGCAGCTGACGCTTGGAATGACGGATCCAGCAGCGGAAGCCACTTTTAAAAAAATCAGGAATCAAATTAATATGTACATGCACTGAAATAGATTTTCGGCTATTAATCCACATACCTGGAGGTTGGCACAGTCACCCGTTCCGCCGACGTCGACATCAGTGGAAACAATAGTGTTACCCTTGCCAGGGTACGCGGAACTTATGAAGTATATACGAACGCGCGAACCGGAAAGATTTCGAAATTGAAAATCGGTAATGGAGCGAGGAGCTATGGCAGCACTCAGGCGAATGTCCTTCAACGCCTGCTTCACCTCAGACCAAGAGCGCCGAGTGCACTCCATCGACCAACGGACTCCTGCGGGTTGAAACACATTCATGCTTTACCGCACTCTTCCTCCTTATGGTATTGAGGAAAAATGAAAAGAAAAGTACGACTTTCTCCAAACAAAATCCCCACTCCTCCTCTGGCATTCCATTTAAAACCAAGAAACTTTAAAAAATGAAGTCCTCATAAATGTCCTTTTCAATCTATTCGGAATAATGGACTGCATACAATATCACTTGCATATACGAGATGCTTTTCTACAAATAACAAATGGATTGGAAACACACACAAATCTGTAGTGGTATTAATGTTTCAGTGAAAATAACTCCCGACTCTTATTGATTTCATTGAACAAACCGCATAAATGAGTCGAAGTGAATTCGTTCAAAACTAGTGTAACTAGTACAGTAGTTGAGGTCTTGCTCTGCTTCCAACGCTTTTCAAGGATGATAGGGATGCCAAAGCAGTGGGGAATTGCTCCGATCGAAAGCCTTTAAAAAAAGGATAACGCGAAAATTTTGTAAGAGAGCTTGATTTTGCACTACATCATCGCTTCAATTCACGATGACTCGCTCCGCGCAACCGCAACACTGACTTCAAACGTATTCAGAATGTGTCCGAACAATTGATGCAAGTCCTCTAAGCCACGCTTCAGCACTTTTTCTGCTGGCACCCCGGTCGTTTGAATGCTCAGCTGGATTTTCTGCTCGGTAGGATGAGGAATATTATAGCCGCAAAATTTGACATCAGGATTTTTCAAAATCATCCATCGCAAAGCGTTCCCAAGCGTGTGCGTCTCTCCGTGGAGTATAAACGTTTTCGAAGAAACACTGCTCTCAACGCCAGCAATGTTGACTTGCTCCAAACGCTTAGTCGATTGAAACATCTCAATACCCTCGGCGACCTCTAAATCGTACACGATTATCCAACTGGAACACACGCAAAACATAAGTGTCACCTCATCCGCTGTGGATCAAAATAACAGGGCAAACCAGAAAAATAGAATACTGACTTTTGTCATTTTACAGCAGTGACTACTCATGAATTACTGGTGGTAAAAACGGTTTTAAAAGTGATACATTTACAGACGTCACATTCAATTTAAGAAATTGTTATGGTCTGCTCGTAATACACGGAAACACTCACCAGAGATCTCTTACACTCGAAGAAGGCTCGTCTAAGCACGTGGCACTCTTCTGAGACACTTTGGTCGCAGCTTTTCAAACACTCCAACGGAGTTTTCTTTTGCTGAACAGAAAAAAAAAATCAAATACCGTTAAATGAAAACAGAAATGACACCGTCACCTTTAAGACGCAATCACTTTCCGCAAGACACCGCTTCAAATCTGCTCTCAATCCTGCACACGGCCTGCCGTCAGTCTGAGTTTGCTCTGCTTCATAATACTTCATTGACACGAGATAATTTTTATCTGGATGTTTGAACGAAAAAAAATCCCAAGCAAATTTGAAGAGGTGCAACAGGAAATTAATCGAATGAATATTCGTTTAAACATTCCTCACATTTTTAATTACTGCTGGTCTAGTGTTTCTGGTACATCAAAAACGGCGGCGCGATAATCTCGGCACCCAATGCTGTTTTCGTTGTAAGTTTAAATAAAAAAACACAAAAAGAATTACACAGTGGTCACGAACAAACGACTAGCTCAAGGAATCGAGGTGACTGGGATGAGTACGGCGGCAGCTTCCCGGTCCAACATTGGAAATTCGGCTCTCAAGAAAATTTTCAGGCTTTCTGAGACTCGAACGCCACGTGGAATCGTGCTCTGAAACAGGGTTCCGTTCGCAGCTTCGACGGAATTCCGGTGGAAAAGTAACCGCAACATCAGCTGCATCATCCCCGAAGATCCGACGACCGGATCCATCCTCATCCCATATCCTCGACTTCAGTGTGACCAATTCATAACGGACCGAGACATCGTCCGAAACAGACGATATTCCCTGCTTAACGGTAGGATTCCTGATGATGGTAGACACCTGAGTCCATCAGAAAGTGTGAAAGATCAATCAAAAGGTTCAACAAAAACGTCAGTCATCATCGTTTCACGTGAAAACAGAAGGAACTGTTCGTCACACAAGACTTCAATAAGAAAGGTAGCAAAGTTACACAACACCATGTCCTACTTATAGCCCAAATTCTGCTCCAAGCGCTTAATAACTCAAGTCTTAGCGGAGGCATGAGTAGGATTAAGAGACTAGACGGATTCTTGAGAAACTAAACTTAAAAAAGAGACGACTTGAATTCAAGGAAATACATGAGTTGAGCGATGAGAATGGTAATCCATGCACAACAAAATTAACATATCACGACGCAAGCGCTCATTTATTAGCGAATAATTATGCGATTAATAGTTCCTGCTGAGACTTCAAGCATACATTATCGGAGATAGATTAGTTTTTCGAAATTCTCAATGTCGACTATCCAACAAACCTACTTGATCATTTCAACAAGTCAACTTGATCAACTCGACTAAATTTACGCAACAATTCGTCTCCAGTCGAGGTAAATCGTATCACGAAATTTGCACCTTATCCTTCCTTCATTCCAGGTCAGATATAACAGTAACTTCAGAAAAATTATTACTGTATATTGAGGTACCTACATGTATGCAGGCAGGAACTTCCAAACCATCGGGTTCATGAAGTTTCCTGACGGAGTCGTAATGTTCTCCATTATGATAAGCGACATGCAACTCTTTCAGTGAACGGCTGTCATCAAATCCTTGGGTAGCAATATGGTACAAGGGCGTATTCAGCTGATGGACAACAACAACAGCCTTGTGAAACCCGGCAAAGGCCACAATCGCATCATTCCCTGCGTGTGTTCCCGGCTCTCCAAGCAATGAGACTACCAGAACAGGACGTTCGTTGAGACGAAATGTGATCATGCCAAAATCTCAGATCTCACCGTGCCGCTCAAATGAAATTGAATCATCAATGAAAGGCTCGAACAATTCTCGATTTTCTCTCATATGTTCAACGGCTTGTCTTCGGTAATCAAGATGCTTCCTTGTATTCCCATCCAGCTGATCTCCAAGAGCACGGAACAGGCAGTTCCTGAAAAATACGTCTGTACATGACGAGAAAGGTAACACGGTACGCAATCACTCACCCATCCCCGAGAACCATCCTCAATTTGAGTCCCATGTTGGCCAGTTGATCAGACAAAGTGGCAAACTTGGCATTTTTAGGAGTAGGTGACTGAGACGATCTCGTACTTTTCTTCAATGAGCCATGAGCAGATGATCTGTTCGGGCTCACAGTTTCTTGAGTCTGAGACGACTCTTCTGCGAGAGACTCGTGCTTATCTTTACGAGCCATTCTGGCAATAGTTTCGAACGCAAGATTTTAGAATCTGCCGATGCAATCCTGCAAACTACAAGAGGTTAATCGAGTGACTAAGTTGCAACCTGTTCGAAAAATGCATAGAATATTTCGCACGAGTTGAAATCACGGGCACTTCAGATCAATCACTTCGCTTTCTTTTTGCTTGCAAGCACATGTAACAGACCCAACAGATGAAAGGGCTTCCTTGCATCTCCCAGCTACGAACACCTGCAGCAATACAATTTCCGATTTTCTCTAACGCAATTACTCGCTGGACTGACGCAACTGCACAATTCCTAAAGGACGCTATAGCGTCATCTAGAATCCTTCGGTTAAAGTACTCGACTCCGCTCACGATCGTATGATGAAGGTCGCTAAAGTACTTCAAGTTATTTAAGATAGATGGCAGGATTTCAAAGTGGGTTGTCCGCAAGTCTTCTAGGACAGTTCTTGCGTCCTGCCGAACAGTCGCCATTTTACCACGGTTGCCTTCGAGATATCGTGTGCCAGGAATTGCAAGTCATAATCTGAAACGCGAGTGCTATGTGCGGCGTATTCTTCGAATATTGTGGTACAGTGAACAATTAAGATCTAAGTTGGGCCCAAGTTTCACTCTGTTAAGCCGAGGAAAGCATGAACTTTCACCAGAATTTAATTTCGGCTCCTCGGTTATGTCGTCCACGTTTTCGTTAGATGTAGCGGATTGATTAATCCACTTCGCGCGCTAGAAAAGCACATTTCCCTAGAAATTTGCCCTTACTCGAAGTGTGTACTCGCGGCAGTTTGCGTTAAGAACTCGGTTGTAATCTGAAGTGTTTCGCAGGTGTCGGAAGGTTCATCTTACGATTGCGCTGGTGATAGCTACAGGAATTCGCTTTGAATTTTCATCATGAATCGTCCACCTCGAATTGAGGGTATGGTTAGTCTGAAAGTGGACAACTTGACGTATAGGACCACGCCAGAAGAACTTCGCCGGGTGTTCCAGAAGTATGGAGACGTTGGTGATGTGTATATTCCTCGTGATCGGGGATCCAAATCCAGCCGTGGCTTCGCGTTTGTTCGGTTCGTTGCTTTGAGAAAGGTCGGGTGGATTGTTACTAAATGCATTTTATCTGTTAAGATTCTATGAACGGCGTGATGCTGAAGATGCCATGGATGCTCTCGATGGACGTCGGTTGGACGGTAGGGAGCTGCGCGTCCAGATGGCGAAATATGGACGCCCATCTCCCCCGAGGCGCCGAAGCGGACGGGGAAGGTAATGTGTTTCTTGTCCTGTGAATCGTGACTCAGCTGCCTAAGGTTCTGTTCCTGTTCTGGTTGCCTTGCCGTACGAGGATATTGAAGCTGTTGTTCGAGCTCTTGATCAGCGTATCCAGTGCCGCGGTGTTCCCGTTGATCGTAACTCGTGTTGGTTTGGTGTTGCCTGTTCAGGTCTCGATCAAGGTCCAGGACACGTTCAAGGTCTAGGTCTCGTGACAGACATCGCAGCTCGAAGCGTAGGGGAGGAGGAGGACGGCGTTCTCGTTCAAGATCTCGCTCCCGTTCAAGGTCGAAATCAGCTACGCCTAGGTCTAGGTCTGCGCATTCGCGATCACACTCCCGCAGTCCTGGCAGAAAGCATGGGAGTGACGACGATGTGAGGAAGAAGCCCCGCGATGATGTGAACGACGTCAAAGATGAGCCAGTTGAAGATGTGGCAAGGGATCCTTCGCCTGAGCGAATGTCTCGCGACTCCCGTTCCAGATCTCGCTCTGCCAGTCGTTCTCGATCCAGGTCTCGATCCCGATCCAGGTATTTGACAATTTCATTGAAAACTTCAGTCCTTTTGGCGAACGTCTTAAATGATACATCGAATACCTATGGAATTTGCTGATCTATACACTTGTTTGTTCTTAGGTCGTGAATGTACCTTTGAGTCGACATAGACCGACGAATGAAGCGCGACGAGCTAAAAATTGGGAGACGACCTGGCTGTTGCAAGGTACATCTTTTTGTTAAGGGGGGCTTTTGTGTTTGACTTCGAAGACTTCTGCCGACATTTATTGGTCTTTATTTCTTCCCGTTTACATTCAAGCGAGTGTCGAATAAAGGTTATGTATGAATGATGCGCGTGTTCATCAGTAGTTGGGCGAAAGGATCCCGTTTTTCTCGAATGACGGTGGTGTTTGTGTGTTGTGCAGCCGGTGGCGCGGAGTCGGTGTTCTGGCCCTGTTGGCGCTGAGCTGATGCTGTTGCCTGAGAAAAGCTGATTAAGATTCGTGAGCAGGCTGGTGTAGGGTGACTCGAACGCGGCTGATGCTGATAGCGGGGTTCCTGGTTGGGGTGAATTTGTCCAGTTGCGGTCAGGAAAAAAAGCTGCAGTCGAATGCTGGGGGTTCTTTGATTAAGCTGCTTTGGGATGAAAGTTGTTCTTGCATCACTGTTCCCGTGGGAGGTTTCTTTTCGTGTTAGGAACGTTTTCTTTATTCCATGATCACCTGCCGTACGTGCGAATGATTGAATACAGGTCGTTTCATTTCAGAATAGAACCTCTCGCTTTATTTCACGTGCACTCGTGGTGGGATCTGATGCTGCGTTCAAGATTTGGAAAATGCCAAATATCGCAATGTCCGAAGGTTTCCAGAAGTTTTAAATCGGTCACTGCAGCCTGATCCAGTTGAGTTCTGCGGAACTGCGCAGCAGAGAAAATGTCAATACCCGTCCCAGATTGACAATTGGTCTGCGTAATAGCCAGCATTGCTCAATTTCAGGAGTTCTACGTCACATCCAAATGTGTTATCATTCTGTCAGATTCTCAGAATTTGAATCCTCATGATCTACTTAGCTAAATACTATTAATGCATACAGAAAGGCGAATTTTTAACAATGAACTTTACTCTTCGTAACCACTGAACTAGTTCATCTACATGCACACCTTCTTGCAAGACTTCACAAGGTATTCCATGAAGCTGTCATATCTTTTAAACCAAGTCCATAAAAACTCGGTAAATTTAACAAAAAATCAAATATGAATTACTACTGTTAAACCATATTACCGTAAGATCGAATGAACCAAATTTAGCGATGAACTTCCCGAAATTTCTTCAATACTGCAGTAGTAACTTCCCAACTTACAAACCCATTCACGAGAAATTAACAGGATTTCGCTGCATAAACTTTTTCACGAGAAGGATGAAAATGTCTACCCCACACTACAATGATCATTCCAGGTGCTGCAGGGAGAGCTTTTGAAATCGAACAAGGTCGATATGAATCATCAAGCAGTTTTGGTGCTGGTTGTGAAATTGCATGGAACGTTCGGAAATCCTTTCATTCCCAACCCGGAGACCTGTAACACAGAAACGCGTCATGACGTGTCGCATTCAAGATTCTCTATTTCAAATTCCTCACTTTGAACAGCGATCCTCCCATTGGGTATTCCTTCAAATCTGTGCAAAGTGCACTGGTTGTCACGTACAGTTCATCGTAATGGCTTCCGCCCCATGTGCAAGAAGTCACGTTTTTAGCCGGTATTTCAACTGTGTCGATCAACTTCCCGACTTGCGGATCAATGCGTAAAATCTTACTTCCAAAAAAGGTTGCGACCCAGAGGTTACCCATCACGTCAACTGTCAAGCCGTCCGGTATGGATTCGAACCCATTCGATGGCAAGTCGAAAATGGTCCTCCGATTATCTTCAAGATAAGTGAAGCTCATTCTAATACACTTACACGCTGGACGAACACTTGAAAAAATAACCAATCCTTGCTGGGTGATAACTGAAATGGCCCACCTATGGTTCCTTCTTTAATGTTGAAGTCGAAAGCGTCAACCCTCATTTCAACGGAGTCGACGTAATAAAACACTGAGTCATCAGGAGACCATCCAAGCCCATTCGATAAAGACACATCCTTGAGTTTCTTCTCGAGCGAGCCGCTGGAGTTCAATGAGTAAAGAGCTGCCGTGTGTTTTTTGACTTCACCTGGAGATTCTTCTGAACCCATTGTTCCTGTATGAGAGGATCAGGCGCGTCTAGTGTGATTCAAAATGTATATCACACACCAAGCTATTGTTCTCGGAAAAAAAATTTCGAGTCAAATTATGGGAGGCACGGTGGGTGAGCAAGCATACGATTCACTCCGGGTTACACTGATATTGTTTCTGGCTTCAATGGGCATGAGCTGGGCAATTACAGTACATTCTTCTGAAAGTACCAGGTTAACGCATTCCGTGATTTGCGCAGAAAATATTCGTATTACTCAATCGGATCGTTCTTGAGAAAAAAGTTTTTGAAAATTAATTCATTTCATTATCCGGAAAATTTCAATTGCTGATGGTCGCCATTCCCAGATAATTTTTAATTTATTTCATTTATTTTTCAAGTAAAGTACTCGAAAAAATGGACGCTTTCCAAACGCAGTATAATACTGTATTTGGATATGTTGCAGAACCTGAACAGTTCAATAAGCTGATCAAGCTGTTCACCTGACGTACAACATCAAGCTGTTCACCTCGTTCATCATCCTTGAATGTTGACGAAGTCTTTTCGATCGAATTTCTAGCTTGTGCCACTCTTCAAACCTTAAATTCTTAGAATTTTAAATTTGAGATCCCAAATTGTCATCAATTATTAGTCATAGCTGACAAGAAATCGAATATACTGTAATCTCAATACAAAATATTTCAGATTTTCTGTCATACAGAAGCACAAGTTACTTCGGTCTCACCCAGCCAAAGTCGCCCGGAACGATCGCATTTGGCATCATTAAATCGATTCCCCTTGAGTTCGTCAACGGAGTCTACCACCTTCACAGTGAGATTGTCCGCATCTTTTCCATCCCACTCCAAAATCGCAACAGTTTGATCCGCACCAATCAGGAACTTGTTCCTTTCTTCACGTACAGGAATGATGAAACCGATTTCCTTCACATCCGCTGAAATCACGTTCTTTATTTCACTCGTTTCTTCAATACTGTATTGTGCTTCGAATTAAGGTCAGGGCGGAGAGACAATGTTGAAGGGAACATTCGAGTAATTCTCAATTGAGTCTTCCCTTTAGGACTATTCACAAATATATAATCAACAATTTAACGCTAATTCCAACAATATTGTTGAGTGTTGACGAATAAAAGCAATTCGCTCATCAGACACGGAGAACATTTTTTAAAATCTCGGTTTCCAAATTTCCTTTGAAATTTACGTATTCCGGGGTATACTGCATTGCACTTCGATTTTTTCACTTGACATTCCCTCATGCATGATTTCCCCTCTGCTATGTTCTGTCCGTCAGAATTATAACTTCCACAGATACAGTTAACGCTGAAAGGTGAACCAACTTGAATGAACATCGGCACTCACGAATAACTCCCTTCGTGACAGATCCCGTGTTGCAGTCATAGCGGAATACGGTGTGAGCTGGAATGTCAACGAACACCAAAGCGTTTTCTTCTTCAATATAATGCGGACCTTCGCCAACAGTCAGATTATCTTTAAACACGACTTCAACTTTCCCAATAACCATCTCGACGGAGGAAGTTCGGGTCAAATTTAAAAACGACTCTCCTGGAAGGAAAACTCTTTGTATTCGTTTTCGTTAGCATCCATCACAACCAGTGATTCTGGAATTTTCCACGAACTTCAAGAAGTTTCGACAATATAGATCTTTTTACCCGTCGTCATCCTCAGAATTTACTTTCGCAGAAAAGCCGAAACATATTTCTTCAAAATGTGGTTGGGAAACCTGATGTACTGCGATTTTCCCGTAATAAATGAGCGATACTGTTCGTGAAACTTATATTTTCTTGAATACGTTACACAGGCATAAAATCATCGAAAGCAGTTTACGATTAACCATGCTGTAGGAGAATAAAAAAATTATGCGTTATACATTACTCTGATTTGTGAACAATGCACCAAACATAGTGCGTGGAAATTTTGAAATTTGAGACCATACTTGCAATTTATTGGTGAAGTACTGTACTGTATTCCTCTGCCTATGTTATCACGTCATCTTTGATTTTTGTCAATCATCTTCACCCGTTTACCCCGCATCGTTTGATAATAAAGTACTGTACAGTACATGATTTTAACAAGAACAAATCGAGAAAATATCCATTGGAACAAATCGAAACTCGCGCATTTATTTTCAAGGAAAGGGGCGTCTGTTTTCCTCTGCGGTTTTCGCGGAAAAAGGTAAATGCGCCGTGTCAAAAGAAATAATAACTTCATCCGCCAGTAGTTGAGTACTACAGTAACGTCGTGTTCTTGATAATGTATGGATTCTGTTTATCCTCATCATGAAGGCATTATTCCAGATAACAAAAAGTTTCACGGCGAATTCACTTGCAACATCCTCCCAAGAAGGAAATTTCCTGAACAAATTACACTGGACAAAAGCAAGAACTCAAATGTGTACAAGCTCGTAAGCTAATACAAATTTAAGGAAGAAAATCAACAAAAAAATTCCGAAACAAAATGATAACATCAGTTTTCGACCAGATATCCGCCTTCCAAAAAAACAAAACAAAAAGACAATATCCTTTATCCAACACTCTTTTGTCGGAAACGGCCAGACATTCAATATAAAAAAATAATAACCCAGAAAAACCCGCAGATTCTCCTAAAACTCGTTTTTATTGCCGTCATATCTGAACATTCCTCCCTAATCAATCCAACTCTGAACAACATACGCGAAGATCGATGTACGAAAACGAAAAACAAAACAGGGGTTGCATGTCAGCGACTATCATTGAAAGAGATCCCACGTAAAACTCTTCGCGCACGAAGGAATGAACAGATCGTTTGCAAATCGACCCGCTAAAGAATGCCAATCCCCCTTTCCCCGAAAAATACGCGAACTGCTTAGAACACAACCCGAATTCTACACAGCTAAAAACAAACTCGCACACGACCCCCGGATTCCCTGGCACTTGGAGAATACATCGTTACTACATGCCTGATATGGATACGTGGCACTGATTGGTACGCATCAGTTTTACTGGTGCTTCAACGAAAAAAAAAACACACACTTCATCAAGAATTTGACTTTGATAAGGTGAATACAACCGTTAAACTAAGTAGTTCACGACCGAAGTAAAGCTCACGACGACGATGTTGCCATTAACGATAATCACAAGATTTTGTGCCGTTTACCGACAGATCATATTCATGACGATAGGAAAATTGAATCAAACCCAACCAACTTGCTCACCTCATATGTAAAGCGCATTCGAGATTCCAAAACTCTAAAATTTGATAATGAAACTACGATTCAGCTAACAAACACCACATGGCTAATTTCAAAATCTGATGGAACAGAACTCGCGGAAAAAAAAAACGAAGCTTTCTTAGAATTCAATTTCCCACGGATTCTGATTTGCGCCAAATGAGAAATTCGCCGATGAAAGCCCTGAAAAACTGGGAGCTTTGACTCGGACGGAAAATAAGAGCGAGTCTAGCCATTCTTTGGAACAGCGCGGCAGACTTGCGAGATGAAAGACTGATTGGGAATATCATGAACAATCAAGGCCACAGTTGCCTACTCAAATTAACCACCACTTTTCTGTAAAACTTTTCCCTAGAAAACCATAAACCAACAAAAATTCTACCGTGTTTTCCCGGAAGTATGCCCTGACTAAAAAGCAAGTCTTAACAAAAATTTCAGACAAAACCAATGAAATAAGCCCTATCCCAATATAGTAGGCCCTGTCAAAATGTCAGTGAATTATGAACGCAGAATGAATCTTTATATTATATATCGTGCTTCTACAAAAAAAATACGTTACTATTGAATGCATAGCTTTCCAGTGTTTTTCTTTAAATACACTCGGACTCTAACTCGAAACTTCCCAAACTCGAATTTGTTTCCCACTCCAAAATACCTTTGTAACAATGTAATCTGAATCCCCTCAACTCAAAATGCTACAACTGTAGACCTACCTAATATTTTTGAAGACACGGAAGGACAAGAAATTTAAGTATTCACGCTTTGCAGAGAAAAATGGCTCATAAAATTCTGGCTTGAGGATTTGCGTCCAATAGACATTAATAATTGAGTTTCCTGTGGTTAGCTTTTTTTTTTAATAATTACGGAATGCTCTTGGAAACATTACACACAAATTGCATAAACAATTTATGTCCCAATTGCTTCTTTAAAAATGTATAGCAACCTTTTTCAGACATAGTTTCCCTAACTTCCCTTGCTCAAAACTTCTAAGTGAATTTTTTGTGTGGGGTTCCTTTTAAATTCGACCTCGAGAGGTTCGACTTCGAGTACTGCACTTTCAATTCGGAGTGTACGAAACTTTGAAGCCGATTTGAAAGCTGAAGAATTGTGAGGAATAATGAAAAAGCCGATTCTAGACTAGACGAAAAATTCAAGTTCAGTTCTTGAAATTTTAATTTTTCAAGATCAAACGAAACAGTTTGCATCAGGATCAATCAGAACCTGAAAGTATGTCCTACGACCTTATTCTCGAGAAAAGTTTACAATAGCTAACGTTCGTTTTACCTTCGGGAAAACACGGGGAAAATAGACGTTACGATTCTTTCTTCATTGACCTTACTGTATGATTCAGAACATTAAACCACGAAGTCACTGACAGTAACATAGTCAATCGATATGACAGCAAAATGACGAACTTGAAAGCAAAGCAGAAACAAGCATCCAAAATAGGTTTGAAACAATTACACAAAATTACCCGCTTCACTCTTTACTTCAAATATACCGCTTGTATAGAGAATAGCATGGGCACTTCCAACTGTTCCAACCGGCTATTTCAAAAAGCGTGGAAAGATATGGAATGTAGAATACCGGGTTCGAAAACGCGTTCGTCAAAAAAGCATCTGTCTGAACTCCGAAGATCTCGTCAACTGAGAACAGAAAAAAATTGCGGTATCGAGAGAAACTAATAGAAGATACACTCCTGCACGGACAGGAAACCATGAATAAAAATAACAGACTGCTTATCCCAACGCAGACTATGATTCGTTGCAGATGGTGAAACCAGACTCCCGACATAGTTTTTTATAACATGAAAGACAAAACCAAACATATTCAAGAATATATTACTTGCTCAAGCAGACGGTCACTGAGGGGAGCTCAAGTCCTTCGAAAAGTTCTGCAAGTCGGTTTCTAAATCGCTCGGAACAAACACGAGCAACTTTGCATCGAGCAAATACCTTCTGTTACAGTAATAAGTATAGGTCTGAATATTCACTAATTCAACACGAACGGATTCGATTTAAACTGCGTAAACGTCAGAAAATGATTCTACCGCGAGAATAAACAGAGAAATATTTCCTTTGCGTGAGGAAGATTTACAATAACCAAACATTACCCCAGAATTTCTGTAGTACCGTATGTAACCAGACTTAATCTTTACTGGTCGGAAACATTTTGAAACAAAAACGCATTTTGTCACCATGAGTTCTCAGTCAAGACGGTGACGCATCAAAGACTCAACAGACGACTGATCAGCCAAGGTAGAAACATCCCCCAGATTTGTTTCTCCAGCTGCGATTTTGCGTAGAACGCGTCGCATGATTTTTCCAGATCGCGTCTTTGGTAGCACAGGAGCGTATTGTATAAAATCCGGACAGGCGAACGGTCCAATCTTCTCACGAACTGCACAAGGAAAAAATTGATCAAAATTATCATCTTTTAATTTAAAAAATACAAATGAACGAAGGATAGAGCAACTTTGATGCTTTAAACTTTTTTGAGTTTAGACATTATCAGAAACGTGGCTAGTAGACCGCATTTACTCGAGTAACACGCACACCCTTTTGCTCGAATTCAAGAGGAAAAATAGGGGGTTCACATCATAGGCGCGTATACATTAAAAAAAAAGTATTAGCAGTTTAAGTGAACATTATAGATGATACTGTGCTCGATTTTAATGAGAAATTTTGAGCCAAGTTCAACAAGAACCTTATTTCAATAGCAAAAATTGAAAATTACTCGAATTCAGGTTCAATTCATGTCTGAACTCAAATTTGGGTGTTCTTATCTTAGAAATCTCGCAGTTTTTGAGTCACTTGAATGGGGTGCGCGTCTTACCCGAGGCCGCATGGTACACAAGTAAATAAGGTATATGTGCAACAAAAAATAGTAAATAAATTTACGGGGCTCCACCTATACACTTTTCCAATCGTTTCACGAGAAGTATCGAAACTTTACTCACTCCTCTCTTTCAATGCTGCCACAAGAGCATCCGTAAACGCAACCCCATCCATTGGCGTAACGAAGCAATAAAGACATTCGCCTTTCACTGGATGCGGTCTCGAAACAACGGCTGATTCGGCAACAGATTGCTCTTCAACGAGGCATGATTCAACTTCGGCCGTGGACAATAGATGACCAGAGACATTCAGCATGTCGTCAATGCGTCCAGTTACCCAAATGTAACCATCCGTGTCCCGACGTGCCCCTGGTTTTAATCACAAAATCCGCTATTCATCACACAAAGTCATATAAACAAAAATTTCATTCATTTATTCAATTAAGTGCCACAGTTTAGCCGTGATCGAACGACTCACAGGAAAACCTCCGATCTTGGATTTTTTCAACAATGCATTCCATTAATAGTCACAAATTTATTTATGCGAACAGATAAATGTGAAGAAATTATATTTTCAAGTTTTTCAAAACTTCCCGCAGCATGATGAGAGGCTTGTCTCATGACCCTCTCCACGGATTAAAAATGAGTGCAGAGAAATATGGAAATGCATAACTTTAAAATATTTTAGAAGAATATTTCAATTACTGCACCTATGAGACGTTCCACTAGGACTGAATTACGGAACTTCGCCTTCAATCAACGATGCAAGTTATTTACAATTCCTTAAGATAAAATTGAAGAAACAATTTAATCGAAGATGGTCGAATGCACCTAAATTAATTTTTAAAAAAACCCCGACATATTTTCTCTCAGCAATCACTTATTTTCAAGTTCCCGAGGAGCATGAAAAAAAAAACGTAGACGTCAGCAACAATCGCAAGAAATAATGCATTCCTGCCAATAATCACGGGATGACTTTTCAAAAGGAGTCATTAAAAAAAAGTTTGCTCGACGTTCGCATCGCAATACCATGAATTTAAAATGAAGGCAATTCAGGCATTTGAATACTTACTGTCATCAGATTCCTTACGAAAAGGGGTCAAAAATTTGTCTCACCATCGCCGGTCGTATAATAACCGGGAAATTTCTTGAAATACGTTGTTTCAAACCGTTCGTGGTCCCCGAAAACAGTCCGCATGATTCCTGGCCAAGGTTGGGAAAAACACAAGTAACCTTCGCATTCGCCATTCAGTTCCCGTCCATTTTCATCCAAGATAACGGGTACGACACCGAAGAACGGAAAGGTCTGCGGAATACAATCGTATCACATTCTCAGCTACGTATAACATTCCACTCTTCGAACAGATGCTTTCAACTTGGAAATGAAACGTGGTGCGATTTCAATTATTTCATTTGTCGACAGGAACTGAAAGATTGAGGAATATGATCTTGTAAAAATTATTTATTAACTCCGTGGAAGAAAACCTAGTTTATCCGGACTATGATACTTCGGTTTCTCACGGATAATCGTACGAAATATCAAGGATAAGCAAGAATGAAAGCAATACCAAAGGATGAGAAATTCATAATCAATAATGAAATGACGCCATGTTCCTGGAAATTTAAAAGTCAAACATTCTCCAGATGCCATGAATAATATCGGCGATCCGTGACCTGCAGTTTATTCGCTTCTCATGAAATGACTCACTGTATACATTTCTTCTTGAACATTTTCAAAAGCTGCCTCATGCTTACAATACTATGATGTAACAAAAGATCATCCCACACAGATAAAATCAATACGGGAGAATCACGCGGACTGACATGAATTTGTACAGTTCTCTTCATTGTCTCTGTTTAAGGTCACTTGAATACTGTATATTCAGGTGACCTGAAACGTTGCCAAGGTTAATTGTAGTCCGGGTAATTCAGAATACAGTACATCGAACAAGAAAAAGGTTGTGCAAAAAAAAAACATCACAAATTAAGCTGCATGTTTTGAAGTAGAAGCACGACGACGTTCATCATGTGGGATAATAAAATAAAATCCAACGAGGCGTAAAATGAAATTACTGTACTTACAGCTGATCCTGGCTTAGCGACGGTAGCCCCAGGCAAAGGTGTAATGACATGTCCTCCAGTTTCAGTTTGCCAAAAGGTGTCCACAATAGGACATCCGCTGTCTCCAACGACATGATGATACCACATCCAAGCTTCGGGATTTATAGGTTCTCCCACAGTTCCCAGTACTTTCAGACTTTTTCTCGAATACCTTCATTTCAAAGGAGAAACAAAATTTAGTTCGCCTCACATTTTCAATAAAAGTAAACCAAAACTAACGTCAAAGCTGAACTTGTTTACTTTCAACAACGAAGGACCAACTTTAATTCAACATGCTATTTCTTTAAAAAATTATCATCGCAAACTGATTCATTAAATGATGAAATCGTACCTTTTGACAATTGAATCGCCCATCTTCATCAGTAGGCGGATTGCAGTTGGTGCAGTGTACAACTGCGTTACTTTGTATTTATCCACCACCGCCCAAAAACGACCACCATCCGGATAAGTAGGTACTCCTTCAAACTAGAAAAAATATTCAATTGCGGTCTTCTCAATTGATTGAAAACAAAATTGCCACCATCATTCATTTTAGAGGAACCATTGCTAAAAAAAATGGAGAAACCTCAGAAACTGATAATCACGGAATTTTAAAAGTAATACGTGCGTATGCACTCACAAAAAGTTTGCCCCAATGCCACGGATAGTTGAACATTCCTAGCATAAGTAGAAATTAAAAAAAAAGTCTGCTTTTTCAAACTCATGGAACTTCTTCTTGATAACTTTCCTCAGTACACCGCATGATAAAAAGTAAAAACTTTCCCATCATGGCCAGCGTTTTATACTCATTTCACAATGTGCTGAAATTTTGTCAAGACAGTGACATTTTTCGCGTTCCATATCACCATCCTCACATCTTTTAACATATTCAAAATTTTAGGATCCCCCGTTTTTTCAATAAATGAAAAATCCATAACTCTTCCCAGTTGCAATCGATAGGGGCTCATGCCTGATTCTTCAGTTTTTTTCTCAGAAATATTTGTCAAGGCAAAATCTTTTCAAAGACGATCAGGTACAACAGGATTGTCTGGTTGTTGAAATAATATTCAGAAAATCAGCGGGAATACTGTACTGTACTTGATAATCATTATTTTAACTGAAAGGATCATTCCGGTTCATTGCCCACATTACTTTGTATTTATCCACCACCGCCCAAAAACGACCACCATCCGGATAAGTAGGTACTCCTTCAAACTAGAAAAAATATTCAATTGCGGTCTTCTCAATTGATTGAAAACAAAATTGCCACCATCACTAAAAAAAATGGAGAAACCTCAGAAACTGATAATCACGGAATTTTAAAAGTAATACGTGCGTATCCACTCACAAAAAGTTTGCCCCAATGCCACGGATAGTTGAACATTCCTAGTATAAGTAGAAATTTTAAAAAAAGTCTGCTTTTTCAAACTCATGGAACTTCTTGATAACTTTCCTCAGTACACCGCATGATAAAAAGTAAAAACTTTCCCATCATGGCCAGCGTTTTATACTCATTTCACAGTGTGCTGAAATTTTGTCAAGACAGTGACATTTTTCGCGTTCCATATCACCATCCTCACATCATTTAACATATTCAAAATTTTAGGATCCCCCGTTTTTTTAATAAATGAAAAATCCATAACTCTTCCCAGTTGCAATCGATAGGGGCTCATGCCTGATTCTTCAGTTTTTTTCTCAGAAATATTTGTCAAGGCAAAATCTTTCCAAAGACGATCAGGTACAACAGGATTGTCTGGTTGTTGAAATAATATTCAGAAAATCAGCGGGAATACTGTACTGTACTTGATAATCATTATTTTAACTGAAAGGATCATTCCGGTTCATTGCCCACACAAAGACGATCAGGTACAACAGGATTGTCTGGTTGTTGAAATAATATTCAGAAAATCAGCGGGAATACTGTACTGTACTTGATAATCATTATTTTAACTGAAAGGATCATTCCGGTTCATTGCCCACGCTCCAAAAAATGTCATACAGATATTCCTGACAATTAATAGCAAGAACAAAATCAAACTCGATGCATTTCCTTTTCCAGCACCATTCTAACGCAAATTCAGGGCAATGATTTCCACCTGGTTCGAAAAATTGAAACAGTGGTACCCACACACATTTAATACTTCAAAAGATTCTTATTTTTTTCTCATAATGATCAGAGTTTTCCACATTTTTTTTTACAACTTCAAGCAGAAACTAAACAATTCTAGCATGAGAATGTTCTAATAATGATTTCTCGCAATGCTCACCAGAACGGATGTGGCTCCGTTCAACAACGGTCCATAGGTAACATAAGTGTGTCCAGTGATCCAACCGATATCAGCTGTGCACCAATAAATATCGCCCGGATGGTAGTCAAAAACATATTTGAAAGTTGAATAAGCTGTCATCATGTAGCCGCCAGTGGTATGCAAAACACCCTTGGGTTTCCCCGTCGAGCCACTCGTGTACAACAAGAACAAAGTGTCCTCACAGTCGACCCATTCTGGCTCACACACCTCGTCAACTGAATTCATTTCTTCGTCCCACCAGTAGTCTCGGTTCTTTTCCCAGCTGAACTGTGTCACGATAAATTTCCTTCTCAACTGCATCAGATCATCCAAGGGTATCATGACAAACCTTTATTTCGTAATCGTCACATGATCGCGGTGCTCCCGTGGGATGCTTCCAAGATTTCAACATCCTCAAATGCGGCAAAACTATCACAGTTTCTATGGTATGGCCACTTTCAGCACACAGCTCAAGCGCTACAGGGGCAAAAATGGTACATTTATCAACAATTTTTCGGACAGTCGGGGAGAATATGCATGTGAAATTCAGTGGACAAGAAAAAAGTCGTAGAAAAAAAAACCTCTACAAAGTAGGTACAGATCCTTATGACACAAAAAATCGTTATACAGGGAAAATTGTTGTGGAGAGAGCCAACCTACATTTTCTTCACATCACATACTTTATTTGAGGGCGGAGAAAATTCTAGCATGAAAGCCCTCAAAGAAATTAAGGAAGATTTCATTTAGAAAATAAAGGAAGTACGAAAATGTACAATCGTTCAGTAGTAAATAAATTTGGATTTCTATAACTAATTGCCAAGGAAATAACGTTTTGTGACGCTGAAAACATACCAAATGGAACCCGTCAAACTATCCAAAAACAGAAACCATGAATTTTTTTGCTCAAGTTGAAATACAGTATTGTGATGCTTAATCCATACAGGTTGAAGTTTGGTCAATGCTCATAAATTCTTCAAATTGTTTTCCTTTCATCGTAGAATCCGATCAACTTTGAATATACAGAAGACTCACCTTGATCGCAAATGTCTTTCAGAGCGACGCACTTCGTGCCTCGATAAACTCCATCAGCTGTTATCAGTATTGAACACGAAGAGTCAATTATTCGGTCCTTCAACGACCCACTGGAAAAGCCACCGAACTGAGAACATAAAGGTCGTGGAAAAACATCGAACATCTCTAGCCCAACAAACTACACAAAATGAATACTAACCACAATCGAATGAGGTGCTCCGATTCTCGTACACGCAAGCATAGCAACAACAAGGCTCGGGACCATGGGCATATAAATGGCCACGCGATCGCCCTTTTTCACCCCATGTTTCTTCAGTACATTCGCAAATTTGCAGACTTCGACGAAGAGTTGCTTGTAGGTCATGACAGAATCATCTTCTGGCTCATTCCCCTCCCTGGAATAATCAAAATTAATTTCAAAATGCTCATTTGGTTCAAAATATATTACGTTTTTTTAAACCATCACCAGTGCTTCTGCATTCACTAACGCACGTGGTCATCCTCGATTAGGATGTAGACAACAGTTGAGTTACGTCATTTTAAATTAATTGGGTAGTTTTCGTTACGCACGGATCAAGTACAGTACTAGGTCGGATCATTCGGGTGTCAGATTTTCTCAGATGTTCGATCAGGTGAATTCCCGAATTAGTAGGTTCATCAGGGGTCAAGTTCAGTCAAGCCAGTAGGCTATTAGCTGCGATTATTGAAGTAACCATTGTTGAATCAGTGGTGGATAAAAAAATTTTTTAAATGGTAGTTGAAACTTTACCAAGGAAGAACAAAACATTTTTCCTGTCGTATTCGTCGGTGAGGAGGATAATTCGCAATAAACTCACCAATAAAAAGCTACATTGTCTCCAAGCCCACGTTGTATGTTCAGGTCCAGGGCTGAATAACACATGTTGGCTTGAGCCCCTTTCAACCATTCCACGTGTATTGGGCCTTTTTGCGGATTGAAATTCCAGGATACGAAGTCCTTCTCTTCTGACGTGCTCTTGATTCCGAGGATTTCTGCAGTGGGGCGCCAAAAAGTGGCAGGCTCACGAATTGACTTCGCGTACATTTCGCTGTACTCCTCCATAGAGGAAACGAAAGCTTTCTCAGAAAATGACTTCGAAGGTGGGTACAAGTCTTCACACAATGAGCCAACGCGATGAGCCATGATGATCAGGAGCACTTCGCTCAAGTATGTATATTAGTAATTAAATCACACCCAACCTAAAACAAATTGGAAAAAATAATGACAATAAGTGCAAATACGCAGACATTTGATGAGCAATTCCACAGATCATATTCGCCAGCCTTTCTTTCCAATTTATTGAAAAAATTGTCGTCTCATGTCAAGCTTCCGAAACATTAATGAAGTCAGAATTGTTACTCAATCAACGAAACAAAATCCCACATTGCTTCAGAAAACTGCATGAAAACGCAAGGAAACATGAAAGAGCAGACGACTTGAAAATTACGAACGCCAGTTTCATATAATTCTACGGAATGCTTTGATTCACTATCACATTAGTTTCACACTTGTTTTCAGCTCCGAGAGTCTGCCTCAAAAGCTTAACCAACATAAGCTCTAATTCGGGTGACTACGAGTCTCACAGCCTCGTTCGATAGACTCATAGTTTGCTCTTCGGAGCACTGGCCATATTGCCCTCCAATGCTTCCCGGATGAGCTTAACGCAGTGACGGGCACAACCCGGGGCCAAGGTCACACCGTAGCCTCCGTGGCCGTAATTATGGACAACCTGGAAATCATCATTCAGTGAGACTCTTCGTGCAAAATGCCACAGGCTCAAATGTATAATCCATCATTTATTTTAATTTAAAAATAAATAAAAATAGAGATTGTATGCTCCATTCCTCCGCAGACGGATTTCGAAATTGTAACGTCTTCTACGGCGAAACGTGCATCCGCCCTCACGCATCTATATCACTTACTCGCAAATACTCAATCATTTATGACTCTCAAAAAATTCATAATTGTACCAAATTACTGCATACAAATATAGTTCAATTTCACAAATCACGAGCTGGTTTTCTGTTTGACCTCTCATAGATCCAGGCCCTTTTACATACTGTATACAGTATTACAGTATAAGACACTATTTTCCGAACGGAGAAGTTTTCTTTTCATGTTCATTCCTAACGAAAGATTCAAATATGCTTCTCATTCAGATTACGATCAAACAACTTCCTAATTCGAATTCATCAAGTATTTAGGGGAACATAAGAGATGCTATAAACACTTCATGAGTGTCCCAAGGATGTATAAGAAACTGATACAGCATTTTTTTTTCTTTTACGCGTTGAGTCGGAATAAGAAGTTTTCCTATGATAATCACACACTGTATTTACCTAATTATAAGCACCATTTTTTGAATTTCGGAAGCTTAAAAACTAGGGAGAAACTTATATTAGCAGATTTATGAAATTTGTGAAAATATGTACATATATCTTCCTTTTTAGCAGTCAAAAAAGAATCCAGCCCTAATTTACTTCATTTCTATCGAAATTGAAGTACAAATAATAAAGAAATAGACAGCTTTTACCATTTCTCGATGCATGATTCATGTACTGAATAAAGGAGAAGAGCAGGATTTACACCACGAAGTTCTTCATTTTTTGCGGAAAACTTGAATTTAAACAGAAATTTTAGGTACGGTACCTTGTAAATCAGCATCAGAAAGGAAATGGGTACTTATATTCGCCTATCGACGGATTTTAAATTTTTGATCATGAAGGGTATCCACCGTATATTAGCGCGAATACGGTATTCAAGTACAGTATCACATAAACGAACATGGGTGTGAACGCAGATTTCATGGTAGACGTAAAACTGCATTGTAATATTCTTCGTACAAATATGATAATCGCAAATTTAACTTCGTTGCAGAAAATAAGACTGAGAATTCCGAATAGGAAAAAGCATATGCATCGGGATCGAAAGATTTCACCTTAACTGTGACGCCGTCACTTTGGACAAGCTCCTTCTCGATCCTCACTGGAATCCTGTACGGTCTCAAGCCAACCCATTCTTCAAGGACGGTTCCATCTTTCAGGGAAGGACACAAATCTGTCGCACGCTTCCAAATTGATTCGGAGTCATGGGGATCAACTTCGGTACTCCAACTACCGAGATTACGAGTCCCGCCAACCGTTACATGATCAACACTGAATCGAAAAGTGACTGGATAACTTCATATAGATTCGCAATAAAATATTACACTTTTACTTCGGGATTATGTAGGTATCCAAGCCCAAGTAGTAACCACATTTGATCCACGGCGCTTGCACCTGAATCACACAGGAAAAAAATGTCGGGATTTTCCTCAGTTCATTCAACCTAGAACTAATTTCTAACCTTGAACACTTGACCACGAACAGGTTCCAAGAATCTATCGTTCGCCAGCTTTTTCGCACCAATGCCGGCACAATTGACGACTACATCAAAGTTTTGACCAAGTTCGTGATAATTATTCAGAATACGCTGGACGAACTTCCCACCGTTCTTCGTGAACCTGGATATCGTGGCTAAATTTAAATAATGATCAGCATAAAGTGGCTCATCATGTTTACTTCTGAAACGCCCATGGAAGGAACTTTCTCGTCTCCACCGAGATCGTCACGAAGAATGTTCCCCCGACAGCATTAATCGGGGCTAATTCCATTTCGTGATGAGTAAGCATTCGATAGCTCGGAATGACGTCAGCAAGAACCTGATTCTGCGAAGCGATTCAACATAAGGGTAGTACTGTACTATCCTCGATACATTTATTAGCCGTAATCATACCCAAGTGAATCTTTCGTCATCCGAAAACATGTAGCATGGGAATTCAGTCAATCCCGCACCTGAAGCTTCATCTGAATGAAGGACATCTTGATAGTAACTCCACGATGTTTTCAGCCATTCCCTGTAGATAAATTCGAACGTTTTATTACATGGAGCACGTAGAACTAAATGAATCAAAGCCAAAGCATTTGCAGCAGCGGTTCTACGAAGTGTGGAAAAAGAAAATGCATAACAGTACTAACACAAGAAAAATACTGTACTAACAAGGCGAGTTCATCAGTCGGCGCAACCGCAAGCGATCCACAACGAAATATGCCCCCACTTCCGATGCTCGTAGTTCCCTCCAAGTATTTTTCTGCGAATATGGTTACATTCGCGCCAATAACCTCGCGTTGGACACGAAGCGCGGTCGACAAACCGATGATTCCCGCACCGATCACAGCAACGTTCGGCATTTGTAAACCTCCTGGTTGTCCTACAACTTTTCGACCTGAACATTGCAGCGCAGTTAACAATATATTTCTTAGATGCATCAAATCCCAAGGCACAAAAAGGCGGGAAGATTCAGGGGTGTAAAGTTCACAAGCACCGATTTAGAATAATAATGATGATTACAGTACCTTATTTCCTTCACCTTACATGAATTTCACCACTCTCAGGTCCTCACGACTCCCGCGGCGCTCACCTTCATTGAGCGTTGACCTAAATAACCAACAAGAAAAAGCTAGAGGTCACTGCCTTTCGTTATTATTTATCTAATTTGTGACGATGTCGCACCTCTGCCAATGAATATACCACTTGGACAAGATGTCAAACTGTATGTACAGTATATATATTTTAAAATGGAAGGGTACCACTTTTCCCAATTTCAATACTGTATTACAGTATCATTTTCCTGGCTCAACAATAGAAGGAATTTACAAAAAATTCTGAATTACTGTCGTACCTTGTGCATTTTTCTAAATTTTAATCCGCCATGTGTCAGACGAAAAAAAAACTGCTGTCTTAACATGTAGATTTAAAAAAGTGCGCTTTTTCTATAAAAAGTCTCGTTCATACTTATATATTCACTGTACGTATCCAGTTCATTAGGAATAAAAAAATACATATGCTCTTCAATTTGTTGTAATCCTGTTTAGCGGGGGATATTTATTGTAGGATATCGATTATAATACTGTAATGAAATATTTCGAAAAATATTTTGATAGCAATTCTATTTTTGTAGCGCGAATCATTAAATGGACCCCGATAAGTTCATACAGTATTCAACATAGGACTTATCGAGACTTTGACAGACTGAGTACAATTGCATTACCTACAAATTTGATTTGCATATCAGTTGATGTGACGAAAACTTCCAGCAGGATGGACCAGCATGCAGAACCTTTAGGATTTAGGTTATTATATCTTTGTATTTATGCCCAGCATGGGATGTAATGAGTTCAAGAGATTAATGCATGAAACTTGCTGCAGAAATTTTTCACAGTATCATTTATTTCTATTTTATGGCCTTGAATGACTCTTATACTGTATTATGCGAAGGATTTCCAGTCCCGTCATATAGCCATGTATTACATATGCGACAGCGTAGGTTATAAACTCTGTGTTGTTCGTGCATACCCGCCATGTTAGTTATAGTGGAACAGTGAGAGAACCAGATCTTGTTCTGAATTCTTCGAGAAAGCACAGTGAACTAGTATTGTGCCTTGTGAAAGCTGAGGATGATTGCTAACTGCGCCCGAAATGTTTCACGTGGATTTGCCACTTCAGCACTACGCAATGGAGGTCACGGGGGAGTTCCCGGTGCGGTATGTATCCCAGATTAGCTTAGCAAAGCGATAAACTGTAATAATAAAATTATTTTTGCAGAATTTACCATTCGATATCTCCAACCGATGGAAGCTAACTGCTTTGTTCACTGCATTCTTCGGAAGTGGTTTCGCCGTTCCATTCTTGGCGGTGCGGTTCCATATGCTGAAGGCTTGATCGGTTCGTGAGGGAATAGTTTGGGAGTAACATTCTGTATTATGTCATGTGCATTTTGTTCCAGAATTCATGAAGTAGTTCGTGGAAGAGTGCAATTAGTTCTCAAGAACTTCGTCGTGCAAGTCGCATGGTTGAATTACATTTGGTGAACACCGTCGGTTTCCCAGGTTCATTCAGGTTAATAAAGCAAAGTTTTGACGAAAATGAGAAGATTTGCTTCGTTTTCTTCCCGAGTGCATGTAGTGTGTTGAATTTGTCACCGATTTCTGCGCTCGATGCGATTGCCAGTTGTAGCTACCATTCGGAGGATGTTAGTGATACGAACGGAAAATGGACCTGACAAGCCGGTTTAGTGCGTCTGGAAAGTCTGGGGCAGGGTAGATATCTTCAAGTTCTCCGTACCGTGTTTATTTTGCTGATCTTCTGTTTCGATCAATAGGAAAGTCGCTTCTCGAGATTTATCCGAAAGACAAATCATTGATGCGTCGCGAAAATTGAAAAAGGACGCATCGCCGAGGAAGGATTGCAGGAATGTGCGAAGCAAGATCAGGGAGGGAATCGCTTCGTCGAGTCAAGGTTCAAAGCGTGGTTCGTCGTGTGATGCACTGGAAGACGTAATTGATTTCCAAAGGTTGCATTTGGTCGTGGATACAAATTTTGTTCTGAATGATCCGGATTTGGAATGTCGCCTATATTTCTACAGAGGTAGGAATGGTGAAGATATCTCTTGTGCGTGAATCGGCTGAATCCCAAATTTAAACAGTGATCATGGATGAAAAAAAAAAACAAGAATCAAAAGTTTAGTGCTAAAACGTGAATGAAGCTGATTTTCAGGAAGCATTTGAGTTGTTTCTGTAAAGATGTACAGTAATTGTCCATGTACAGCAATACGTCAGTCTGTCGTGTAAAGTATCAGTAGAATTCATTATCAAAAAAATCGCTCGGAAACTGCCTTTGCTCGAAAACTATCAAAAAGCGCCGGTACCGGGGTAATGGACGGAAAGTACGGGCTGGCGTAGATGCGTTTTGCTCCATAGTCTTCAATGATTTGTTCTATGTTCTTAGGTTTCCCAGATATGTCTAAATATGCTGAAGAATCTTCTCCTAATATCCTGATACCGTATGTCGTATTTGATGAACTGGACGGATTGAGTAAGAGCGAAAATACTGACGCCAGGAAAGCAAATGCTTCTCTTCGCCGATTATTTGGGGATATCCAATCCAAACAGCTTGATCAGCTGGTGCGGTCCAGCGTCAATGGCCAAATCTTTCGGCAGCCTTTCCGCGAGCATGTCTGTCTTAAGAAAAGGCTAGATAATTGCTCGAATGATATCCTTGTTCTCGAAGCGGCTCAAAGTCTGTGTCGTAAAGTGATACGTGCTGCGAAAAAAGTCGGCAAATCTTCAGCGGATGTGGGACCTGTTCTTTTGCTTACTGATGACGTCAATCTCAAAATCCGCCCTGCGGAATTGCCAATATCACGCATATCGTTCTCCGACTTGAAAAAACATCGTCAGGCGAGTTGTATTTCTAGTATTGAATATTAACTCAATCGCGCAATTTGCTGCTCGGCGAGTTTTGCTGCATAGATTTCTAGATCTGATTGAACTTTGAAAAGTCACCTTCTGTGGTGGAAAAGTTGGAAGGCTCTTATTTCGATCCTAAAGTTCAATACTGTATAGCGAATTATCGCTTAAGAAAGTGATTGACTTAATCTGACTTTCCTTGTGCGTTTTCATTCTTGGTTATGCGAGAAGTAGTTCGGTATTTGCCATTTCACAATATCGCCATATTTCTGAAGAACTTATTTTGGGATCTCGATTAACCTTTGGCACCCGATTTCCAGTGAGTGGCGTGCAATATTGAAAAGCTGAAAATTAGTCGACCAGTTTTGTTCGAGGTAGAATCGGACGTTTTTATTCAATCACCCCCGCGTCTATGTGCTTTTTCGGAAACACGTAGTTTAGTACGATATTTTCATATTAATGCCGTAATACGCAGTACTGTACTTGACACTTCAGAAGTGCTGTGTGATACGAAATAAAATACCCCATGCATTGAATTTATGTGCCACACGCTTCCATTTTAGGTGAATACCTCGATTCGTGTACACTGTTGAAAGAGAATTTCCCCATGGATATACAGTACATTGTTGAACATTTGAGCTTAAATGAAGTCTTATGTAAGCCAATCTTTGTTTTTTTTTTCGTTTTTATCAAGTTAGACTGATGAACTAACTATGGGCCAGGTAAGGAAAATAATGTAGGGTTAGATTCCGTGCTACAGCGCTATCTTTTCCAAAGATGACTATGTAATGGAATGATTTATGAGGTTTTGCGAAATTTTCCCCATGATGTGTTTCGAAGGGGTCAGGCTGTCTTCTCGGCTTTTGAGAATAGCAATCATTCCTTCCGTCCATTCTCCAGATTCCGACTCCTTGCAACTCGCTTACATTGGATTGTGGTGGAATCAGTTCGAGTAACCAAGATCTCCGAAAATCGTTACCTGTATCGAACGAAGCAAACTATGATCCAGTGAGCGTTCCTGCTGATGTACAATTGTGTCAAGAAGTGATGGGTACTGTAGGGGTAAAACTGATTTTGGGGCTTTTGGGCCAAGTTGTCCGTGACTCGCTTCAAGACGCATATAAAGACGTCTATTCTGACGTTTGCCTTGCGAAGCGTCCTGAACCATGGAGCCCCAGAGATGTGCTGTGGCTTGTGATGAACTACGGATTTACAGTATTCGAATGCAATGGGTGGCAGCGAGGAGTCATCGATTGTGGAAAAAAGGCATTCAGCGAAATTAAAGAAATCGAAGGTAATCTCAATTGATCTGGAGTCGTATGTGCGGTTTGGATTTGAAGAGCGGCTTATGTTGAAACTGGAAACTTACCTGGAACATGAGAACGGAAACTTCGAAATAATTTATGATTGAAGCTCATTTGACTTTTCAGTGATTTCCGATTTGAGTACAGTATTCTCACCAATTTTTCCTTGGATCCGATGACCCTGAAAATGTCCTTTTGAGAACAGTTCACGTGATCTTCTGTCTTAAATGATTTCGTCTTGATGATCCTTTTCTTCGGATTCCTGAAGTTCAGATCGTGATTAAAATCTTCAAATTAAGTTTTTTTGGAAAGTATGTCACCATCTTTGAGAAAATCTTCTTTGATTTTCTTCAATCTTACAACGTCACCTAAAATTGAGGATTGCTTGAGGCGATCAATCCCGTCCAGCAAGGTGTTGTGGAGAATGGGGTTGCAAGTTGTATTTGAGATGAACTATCATTATGGACCCCATATTGTGAGGAGAAGAGCTGACGAAGTTCGGGACTGTTGTTGATATACAGTACATGATTGGGTTTGTCCAGACTTACGATTTAAAGTAACTCAATTCTTGAGATAGGAATTCTTCCATTGTGTTGTTCAAAACGGACTCTTCTGCTTTCAGCTGTGATTGATTCACGGGTCAGAAAGGATGATGTTTTAGAATTTCTACGCACTCTGCGAAATCTTGCGTCGAAAGCCATCGGGAATCGAGTGTCGAAGGAAATTCAAAAGATTATGGAGATCTTCACCGATGGATTGAAAGTAAGTGATCACATTTGTACGTGTTGATCGAAAATGTCATTATTTTATACGTAGAAGCGTGGAAAACATGTTACGATCAGGCAAAGAATCTATTCTCTTGCATTCTTCAGTTCGCTAATTTTGTAGCATGTTTCAGGAAGCGGAAATGTGCTTGGTGAGTAATGTGCAGAGATCGTCTTCAGCAAGTGCGGAACCTTGTGTCGACGTCGATATGATGGAAATTGACGTGTGAGCCGATGAACTTGGATCGACATGATTTGATGGGGACGTTCTCTAATTATAGAATCAAAGAAGGGGTGGTTTACCTTGTCGTAATTTATGTTTTCCAGAATTGGCAGCAAATCTTGAAGCGAACATCTAAACTCTTTCTTCCGCGTTACTGTTCTTCGATTTTTGAATTTTATTTTATGGAATTCAATAAAAGGTATGCTTACGTGCTTACCACTCGACTAATAGCGTTTTATTTTTAGTTCATCCCAGCTGGCAAATTGTCAACTCTCATCTTCTAAATTATTTGTAGAACGTCACACTTATATTCAACGGATGTGGACGTGGATTCTGTCAGGAACGGAGATCCCCCAACGAAAGTACAGTACAAGTACTTTCTTATGAGATTAGAAATTTTTTCTCAACACATCTCAAGTACAGTTTTTTCAAAAGCAGTTCTCTAAAATTTTACTTTATTCATGATCCAATTTTCAAGTACTGTATTTATGTTCCTCAACTTTGATTGAAACACTTCAATTCATTGAGGCTAAAATTGCAACTGCCAATTCTTAGTGCTACTGGATGTTCCTTCATACGGTAATTGGTGGATGTGAGGTGAGAAGTAAAATTCCTGCATTTCGTAGTACAGTACAGTACTATTCCCCTTTGAGAAATACATGCCCATAAGATTTTAGCTCAAATTTTGAAAGAAAAAGGCATCTCTGCAAAAGATAATATCATGCATGTGATTAAATTACCGAAGTCCATACAGTATTTTGAAGGTTAAATGGACTAGAAAAGCGTGCAAACTTTGAAATTGATATCAATACTCATGATTTTATTTGGTGAAACCATTGGAGAAGGGTACTTTGAAAAATTTGGGTGTGGGGAAAGAAGTTGAGTCACCTGAAAAGGTTTGCCAAACTCTACGACAGACATCTACTTTCCTTTTTTTCCCCTGTGTCTTGTGGAATAGAAGGTGTGCACAGTACAGTACAGCAGTACTTGCTCAGTGATTTTCAGGGTTAATAGGACGTTTGCTGTTGGTGCAGTAGCATCTTCGCCCAGCATGAATTGTGGAAGTGGTGGACCCCTTTCTGGCCTGACAAGAACTCCTGGCCATCACTGATGCACCCCCCCCCCTCCCATCCTATTGACGTATAGTAAATCGTACCAGCATGCAACCCTCTTGAAGAATGCCATGTCACTCTCAGAGAGGGTGGCATTCTGAACTCAAAGAAATTGGAAAGTATTGTGATGTGATGGAAGAAAGGAAAAAGTACCGCACCTGCTCTGGCTCTGTCCAGGAACTTCAACTGCATGATTGCATTGATTGGAATACTGTACTAACTTATGGGATCTGGATCGCTCTGCTGTCCTGTAGTGGAAAATTGTTCAACCTTCGCTGTCACACTTCAGTAGGGCTCTTACGATGGCGCTGACGTCATGTCCAAACATTGCCTACCACGTGTGAAACCCGCTGTGGCGTGAGATCGTGGGTATAGTATCAGTGGGCTATTGATCAGATTCGTGTATGAGTGTGAGTTATCGCTAGAAATGCGCGAATGAGACGCCGAATATGATGGGGTCATGATGAATACGGTATCTGTATTTTGGAGCGTGAATGGCGCGATGTCGCAGGAGAGTTACGGTGCATGTGAAAGTGACGAAGCGATCCCATGTAGCTGCGTGAGACGCGAAATGGTAAAAGCAATTTGACTTCTTGCAATTTCCAGGTGTATCAGTGGACTCGCGAATGACCTGAGATGGAGTGCGTTGGTTTCAGAGCATTCCCAATAGGGCCGTTTGGGAATGTCTTAGAATTTTCCCGATAATCAAAGATAACTTCCAAGACCTTGAGGAACCACGATGGGGTTTTTCCGAATGTTTCGGATGAGCCATGAATGGCGACAAAGTATGAAAATAGTATTGCTTTGTTTATCTTGGTATACGGTTAGCGCTGCTAATAATGTGATCGGTAAAACTATCCTGGTTGCGTTCCCGCATCCGATGAGTGTGACGATGGTTCAGCTAATTTCAATAACCTTATACTCCGGTCCATTCTTCCGTTATTGGAATGTGAGAAAATTCCCCCAAGACTTGCCGCACAAATTTTGGATCACTTGTATATTTCCGTTATCGTTCGGAAAGTTTTTCTCTTCTGTTTCGGCTCACGTTAGCCTTTGGATGGTTTCCGTATCGTACTCTCATACCGGTGAGAATTTAGACCTATTTACTCTGAAATCTCATAGATGTTGAGTTTTACTTTCCTCTCTTTTAGTGAAGGCGACTGTTCCTGTTTTTACCATTTTTCTGTCATGGTTGCTGCTTGGCGAACGTCATCCGAAGAAGGTTTACCTTTCGCTCGCTCCCATTGTTCTGGGAGTAGTGATGGCTACTGTTACCGAGGCCTCCTTCAATTATGGAGGCTTAGCCAGCGCCATATTGGCAACGATTGGGTTTTCTCTTCAAAATATTTACTCGAAAAGAGTCTTGATGACCACGCACATACATCATCTACGTTTGTTGCAAGTTCTGGGGCTGTGGTCCTTGATCATGTTCTTTCCACTCTGGCTTTACTGGGATTGGGAAGTTATCCTCGGTCGCGAAAGAGGATGGATGCTTCAGCCGGACAATTGGAATTTGTTCCTACTTTTGTTGTCAGACGGGTTGTTGAATTGGATGCAGAACATCATAGCATTTTCTGTGCTGTCGCTGCTGACTTCGCTGAGCTACGCTGTTGCCAGTGCAACGAAGAGAATCTGCGTAATATCTGTCTCATTGCTGACGTTGAAGAATCCTGTCACGTTTCCCAATGCCATGGGAATGTTGTGCGCCATCATGGGCGTTCTGCTTTATAATAAGGTGAAACATTTTTCAAAACTCCAGTTCTCCACTATGTTTCACTGTTTCAGTTTATGACATGACGACGCTTTCTTGTTTTGATAACTACCTCTGCCCATCTCCGATTTTTAGTAAGAGAAGTGTCGCTGGATATTTTGGAAATGCACGGGATGCTATTCAAATGATGCTTTATAGAAACTGAATATTTGGGACCTGGAAAATTTTTTTTTTAGGTCCGGAGTGTATTACTTGCCGAAGTATCCCCCATGCGCTCTTTTTTCTCCTGGTTGAACATTTGCAAAATAAACCCAGTTTTCGGCTATAATACAAGGAAAAGATTATTCAGACATATGAGCGTATGAGGAAAAATAAATAAAAATACTCTGTTGAATGATGTATCCTGAACCGTTTATTGTCTATAGGTTTAATATTAAGCGTAGATGCTGTTCCGTGATTTTTTCGGTGGATGACGCAGAAGGCCAGTATCATTTTCCCGAAGTTAATGTTATCTCTGTATGAACGTCATAGCAATAGAATGTCTATAAAGCGAAAGACTATTTTCTAGGAAATATTTGAAAAGACTGAATGAATGAACGCAGTTGAAAGCGCTACTACAGTTGAACCTCGATGGCTCGAAACTCCGCAAGTAGAATACCTCCCTGTGTCGACTTTTTTCGAGTCTCTGTCTGATATCCCTTACAAAAGATGCATTAAGAACCTCACTAACTCGAAGGCTTTCCCACATAAATTTCTTTGATTTGAATTTACTGGAGGCCTTTTGGTCATTATTATTTTTTTGACACAGGAAAGAGAAAAGCAGTAAAAATGTAACTCGTGTTTAAAAGGAAGTGAAAGATTAATTGAGAAAATTAACCCTTGCCCCCTCAAAGTTCAGCATCCTCTCAACTTATTCAAGAATCCATTTTAAGGCACATAATATCACCAATTGGATTTTTCTGTAATTCTGCTTTCTTCCCCCCCCCCCTCCCACAACACAAATGGTTCTTTCCCCAACTCAAATCTTTTCTTGGTCCCTTGAAATTCGACTCAAAGAGGTCCAACTGTAGTTTCTTGGACTCATTCTGAACGTTTCGTTCTTTTTCTCAGGTGAAGTACGAAACTTCGAGAGAAACGAAGTCCAAGCCTCTCCTCCCGCTGGTGGAAAATGATCTTCTGCGGACAAGACTGTTAGATAATTATACCCGCAACAGCGAGTTGCCAATGCCCATGCTTCATGATGCGACGACAATAGTCATTCCGAACGGATATGGCAACCATTTTGATAAACACTGACGACGGACCCATTGTTTCTAGTGTTGTAACTGACTTCCATGGATAGCAGTCTTTTCAAACTTCGATCAATTGTGACAATGTTCGGTTTACGAGGCTGTTCTCTTTTTTTTTCTATTTGCGTTGAAGCCGGTGATAATCGGAACAGTGTTGGGAGGTGGTGGAAATGATTGAAGTTACCGTCGGAGATTTTCAACTGGACTCGCGAATTTTCTATATGGATTTGAAGAAAGCACAATTATTTTCTTTTTCTGCGAAAATGAAACCGTTGGTATCTATTATGAAGTTTTAAATTTGTTTCCAACTGCATTTCTTGACGCTCCGATTCTTCTTCATTTGCAGGTTATTTGCGCCGAAATCATCCGGCAGAATTGAAATATGTTTCCGTCGTGGTCGGTTAATTTTAATCGCGTTTTTGAGATGACATTCTCTGCATTGCCCTTCGTACCTGAATCTGAACTTCGTATTCGTGCTCTTGAGATACCCGGAGTGCTCGTCGGTGTTTTATCAGTTCACGCGTGTAGAGAAATCTGAGGAAAGTGGAAAAGATCTGTAGTCTTTGATTTGAATGCGATAACAATTTTGTACGACTCTTCGAGTTTAGGACTGCAAATTCAAGTTGGCATGTTTGTGTTCCCCGTTTAGAAGTTTTTCGGAATGTAATTTTGCTTCAACCGCACTTTTATCATCTTTTATTTACGAAGAGAAAGGATTTTTCGAGAATGTTCGCTTACGAACGGTCATCGATCGATTCTTTTTGCATTACCCGAAGTTCTCACCTCTCAGGCTTCGGTGAAATCGGAAAATGATGTGCTGATGGTCATTCGATTAATGTGGCCTGCGTGTATAATACTGTATTTTAATTTTTCTCTGTCTGTGCAATAATGGAATCTTTTTAAACAAACATGACCGTTTCCCCTAAGCATCGATAAACGTTCCTCATCCTGATAGTTCAAATGAATTTCTGTCTGTAAGTTTTGAGAAAAAATGGAAATTAAATTGATATATTGCTCTGAAGCACATTTTTCTGTGTCATTAGGTTATCGTTTCTTAATTTTAAAAATTTGATGCAAAGGCTTGGGGGAGCGAATACATCATCGACCTGTACTTTTCTGTTCCAAAAATTGGATAATAACTTAAAATCTTAGAGAAGTCTATGATCATCGCGACTAAAATGATGTTGAATAACGATCCTACCGAGGAAGTGAGAATTTTATTACCCCTTTAAATCATAAATTTTCAGCATAAGCTGGCAAAGATTTAGGGTAACTAGAAAATTAATTTTCAGCTGTACGGAAAGTTCGTTAAGACTACAGTACTTGAGATGATCATAAATTTCTGCGAAGATTCATGTAGAATAAGCATATTCTGAATTTTAGATAATTTACGAAGCTATACCTGCCACAGAATACTCTCAAGAACTACAGTACTTAATTTCGTCGTGGAACACCCACTAGACATTTCTTTCTTGCGCAACCGTGTTGACAAACTCGAGTGTTTCACGAAATCGAATGATACTCCTGACCGTGATCTGTATCGTAAGAGACCCTATTCTGTTATCAGTCTTTGTGGGGACTGGGGAGTGGTAGGACTTTTTGGTGGGTTCAAATGTCTACGTTCGATCTTTTCTGTTCTTACATTATTTTGATCATGAATCACGAGCTCACCTAAAGTGGTTCCTCGGTTAATCGACGCCTTGTATTTTGTCCGTGATGGATTTGGGTTTCCACCGATCCCTGCTTCAAATAGTGAACCTTTTTAAAATTTATTAATTGAATGTAATGTTATTTCCTTGAATAAAAGATAGATTGCTGCGGAAACTTTGACCTTAAGCCAGACAAAGTGAGATTTTTCAATTGTGTTGGGAAATATTTTGGGTCCCTGCATGATTTTTGCGATTATATCATGGTTATGAATAATCCTGAAATTCAATCAAAGTTGATCTCCTTTTTTTTTAATTCATGAAGGAAGTTTCCGTGGGATATGGAACAGATTGAGACCAAATAACTTCAAGTTACTCCAATGAGGATCTCGAACCAATTATTCGTAGTTCAGTACAGAAGTACAATGTATTAAACTTTAAATATTCCTGTTGACGGACTTTTTTGAAAAAAAAACTTCCTACAGTATTTGAATAAATCTAATCCATAAATAGACGTCCAACGGGATTGCTGATTCAATGGTCTTCTCTTTTCTTTCTTTTTTTTCGTTTTAGAAGTTAATGCGCCGAAAACGTGCTTCATAGAAATATCCAGAGGTATCACTTTTTGTTGTTGTTTAAACCGTGAAATGCCTGCTGTCGTTGCTCGTTTGAAGCGCTTCGTTCGCTCCGCATTCTTCAATGTCGTTTGGATCCCATCGGTCGCCGTCGTACTGGCTGGATCTGCACCTCCATACATCGTTGCGTGGGTAGTGTGGCGTGGCGCCACTGCCTTCCTACCGAAATGGGTTTACCAAGTCGGGGACGACTTCTTGTACTTCATCTACCAAAATTGCGTCCTCTTTTTCTTCGAATATATGACCGGAGTTCAGGTGAGGAGAATTTCAATGCCCGTACATATTGTAATACCAGTCTGAGAATTTTGAGTAGAGGACCGTTTGTAGGTGGTTAATTTGTTGCGTGAGTTTACAGGCGGCTTCCTGATAGTTCTAGTCAGTGCAAGCGAACTTGAATTTATTAATGGACTGTAAGATACCAACCCTTCTGCGTAATCAAGTTCAGAACTATCGATCTATATATTTTCAAACCTAAGTGTCAACAGAAAGGCTCGAGTTAAACTTTGATTTTCGAATTTTGAAAGAAGGTGCTCAGTAGGTTATGTTTCTGGGTTTTGAATTTAAGAATCATGGTTTTACTCTCAGGATTGGCATTGAAAGACAAGTGTTTAAGTAAAGAAAAGCTAAGAACAGATTAAAATAACGGTTAAACCTCCTCAAGTCGAACTTCAGGATACCAGCAAAAAAATTCGAGTTAGGGAAACAAGCATTTTTTGGGACGTAAAGAAAGAATTGCAGGAAATTATAATGGTTGATATTCTTGGCCTTAAATTGCTTCTTAAATGAATTGCGAGGAGGCTGAACTTGGATGAATAAATTCATTTGCCCAATTAATCCACCACTTCCTTCCGAAACACACACATTTTTATGGCTTTTCTCTTTCCTATGTCAATAAAATGATTGCCAATAGGCCTCTTGAAATCTGAGTTTTGGAAATTCAGAGGGGGAAGCCTCCAAGTTAGGGAGGTTTTTAATGCATCGTTTGTAAAAAGGAATTCAGGCAGGGAGTTGAAAAAATTCGACTTCTGGTGGTTCAAGTGATTGAGGTTCAGCTATATTAGGCGTTTCTCTTCGTCAGCCCGCTTAGCCCTACGTCTTTGGGCCTTTTGCGCACCAAGCTGGCCACTTATTAGAACTGTGCTGCGTAAAATCGCTAATTAAAAATATGTAGAAACAACGTTTTTAACTGAAGATTGTGTTTCACCCAATATTTATGCGTTTTTTTCCAACCATTTCAAGGTACTTGTTGATGGAGATTACAAAGAAATCTTTTCGAAGAAGGAAAATGCGATCTATCTTGGAAATCATCAATCCACAGGTGACTGTCTTGGTCTTGTTTTGAACTACTGTGAAGTATTTTACCATTGAATATTATTTTTCCTTCCATGGATTATTTCAGTGGATTGGGTTCTGAGTAACATGGTTGCCGTTCGCCAAGGCTCACTAGGCAATCTACGCTATGTGATGAAGTCATCGTTGCAACAGATTCCCTTGTACGGCCTTTACTTCTACGAACACGGCTGCATTTACGTGAACCGGGGAAATTTTGACCCGGAAAAAATGATTGCCGGGTTGAGCTATTTGCGACATCCACGCATTAATGTAAGTGCAGAATATCCTCGGTACTAATGAAACAGTCATTAATTTCCATGATCGCGATGGCGAATCGGGAATCACGGCTTTCGTTCGTGACACGTTAATACTTCTGCCGTTTCTCTCTTTTTTTTTTTTTTGTGCCTCACATGCTGCTTTTTTTTAACGCATTGCAATTTCCTCTCGTTGTCTCTTCCTGGTTTTGAGTCGTTTACCAATGTAAAGCAAAATTTTTACAATTTCAAGAAACCGTAGTGGTCTTCGGCAGTTGGCTTTAAAAAGCATACCTGTGCTTCTGCCATTTTTGTTTCGTTGACAGTTATGTTCGACACCTCGTCACAAACACACTTGATTTTTTTTTCATTGAAATTTCAGACTAAATCTAGGATTTCCCCCCGAAAAGGGGAAACGCTGTCTCACAACCTCTGCTCTTCGTTTTCGATCAATGACTCATGCATCCCGGAGTGCCAAAAGTGGACCATTTCTTGATTATTTTCAGCTTCAATTCCAAAAGAGCTGAAGAAAAGGATGCTTCATTTTTTTTGGCCGCGAACGCCAGAAGATTTCCCGATATTTACGCATTTTCACTTGAATTGCATAAATATGCAAATACAAGTACCTCTAGTTTTTCAGCTTCTGAAATTGGAAAAAGGGATGCTTGTCTTCGCGTAAATCCGTAAGCAGTTCCCCCAAAACCTGTTGTTCATACAGTACTGTATTTGGACGATCTACATTAAGATACAGCCGAGTACTGTTCTCGTTCGAATTGTTGCAAAGTACCTCAAATGTGTCAAAGTAATTCCGTTAGTGAAGCTCCACTAGTTTTCGTTTGTGCCATTGCATTCATCGTAAAAAAATGCTTGAATTAGGATTGATTAAAATAATTTTCCATATACTGTACGAAGTTCAACGTGGGCACTAGTGAAACATGTTTTTTTTACCGATTTATTCACCACAGACATGGATGGTCGTGTTTCCGGAAGGAACTCGGTACGGGCTGGCGAGGAAGCCGCGATCTACATCGAATGCTATTGACAACTCCGCTCCACTTCAACTTGCTGCCCAACAGGATGGTAATTTGCCTGATGTGAAGAAGGAGGGATCTTTGCGAACCCCGAAAGTGGAGCTGAAACACCACCTTACCCCAAAATCACGGGGAACGTGGTTGGCGTTGCAGACTCTGCGTCAGCAAACCAATGCAGTGTACAGTGCGTCGGTTGTGTACGACGGTTGCATTGACGAAACAGGGAAAAGAAGGGTTGCCCCTCAGATTTTAGGTACGACTTTTTTTTTTTTCGAATATGCGTGAGAGCCTTTCACTTGGAACGCGCTGAAGATTTGATAAAGCCCCGACTTTCGTCTCGTGTTTCCCAACAAGATACGAGACTTTCCCAGGGATTCAAAAAGAACGCGGCGTATTTTATGAAACGATATTTTTTCTTTCGCAGGGTTTCTTAGGCGTGAGAGCAAGTGGATTTATATCCACCTAAAGCGCATCCCAATTGACGAAGTTCCGAGCAGGGAAGCTGATTTCCAAGCATGGCTTGACGATTTGTTCACTGAAAAAGACAAGTATGTTTTATATCCATAGAACGTCTTCCCATTAACCCCCTCATTTCCTGTTGAACTGACGCATTTTAAATTACCGCTACTGTAAATTTGCGAAATGAACGGTAGTTATGCGATGATTGTAAATTCATTTCACAATCAAGAATATAATTTTTCAGCAAAGAAATACTGTATTTCAATAGAACGGTGAAACTTTTAATTACATTTGAGTTAATTTGAGAAAAATTTTTACATTTTATGTATTTTATTTTCAATATTTTGCCCCTTTAGGATAAAATACCAGGTTGCGTATTACTCGAGGGAATACGGTAGTTCATGATCATCAGATCATAATTTGTCCAGTAATTATTTTTAATGGTCAACACCCTCTGAAAGTCAAAGGAGCAAGAAAGTGTTCCGAAGTTTGTATGCTGTACTGCATCCCACCAAGATCTTCCGCGTTCCTGTATAATTTTTTTCATCCAAAAATTGTTTACGTTATGATCATTCAAAATTTTCAGGTTGATCGGAGATTTTTTCTCACCGGATGCCGAGACCCGGTCCCGTGCATTAGCCCGAGGAAAACCTGCGAGATCGCATTTAGCAGCTGCAATCTTCGGACTTGTGACGATGGCTGCAATTTCTATTCCATTTTTCTTGTCCAGTGCAGGGAAAGCTTTGTACTGGAAGGTGACAATCTTCGGGTCTCTCATTGGTTACTCGCGACTAGCACTGGCGGCTGTGGCTTGAACTCATTCAAGATTCCCGGCATATTATTCTGATTTCGTTTTCGCAGTTTCACAATTTGTTAGAGCAACGTGAAAGCTGAGGTTAAGCAGAGGCAGTTCATTCCGAAAAAATTCAGAAAACTAGCCTCGCTTTGGATCTTTATGACGTTTTTTTCGGGAGAGTTGTCAGGTACTGTACTGGGATTAAGGTTGATGTGGCTGAATTCTGAAAGCTTTCAAGAGACTCATTTGTATTACTTCCAGAGGTTCAGTCGAGTCTTGAAACTTTGAAAGTACTCTCTGAAAAGCCAAATCATCGTGAAGTAAATTTACTTCCGTGAAACTTGATTGGAAAAATTCTAGTGAAGATGTAAGTGATGTAGCGAAAACAGAACAAATATGGAAACATTGAGAGTTCTGGTTCAGGTGTGCCATTCAATAGGTTTTTCTGAGGCTTTGAGCTCAAAGTAAGAAGAAATCCGTTTTTAAAACTGACTGGCCAAGCAGTCTCGTGTTCACTGTGTGATCTGTGCGTTTAACATTTTCAAAGCTTTTTGGGCTGCTTTGTAGAGCATTGTGACTGTTTTTTTGAGCGTTCTGGGAGATCATGCGCGAAGTGCTTACCATTCGCAGCGTTTCCTTTTTTTTCGTTTGCGCTCGCAGGATAATGCTGAGATAGGAAAACTGTCGTGTTCAAATTACCTCGTGTTCATTTAATTTTTTATTAATCGGCTCATTTCCTTTATTGCAAAATTTTTTTGATACGCGTATTTACTCGAGTACCACGCGCTCATTTTTTCCGAGAAATCGGGGTAAAAAATTAGGTACGCGTCGTAGTTCGGACATTTTTCAAAGATTGAAAACTTTTCTCCCCACCTGAATTTTTTTTTGGTTCTGTTATTAGTATGGAAAAAATATGGCCATTGAATGCAATTATTGTGTGGGCTTCAATTTAGATTTGTATCCAATACCGTTTTTTCAAATACAGTAGGCCTTGTTGTAAATGAAAACTCGGGTGTGCGTGTGATGCGGGGATGAGATTTCCCCTAAAACTTTGGCTAAAAATCTTAGATGCGCGTCTTACTCTAGGACGCGTGGTACTTCAGTAAATGTGGTTTTTTAATGCTTCAGGTTGAACGCCGAACGTCATGCATGACTTTGAAAGCTTCGTTTCAGATATTCGCGAAATGTGAGGTGAAATCAACGCGTTAGAAAAAGGTGAGCGTACTTTTCAGCCATATGGGAATACAGTTCTGTTCTTCACATGATATGATTTTCAAATCTCGGAAACCGAATCTCACTTTTTTTCTGTCTTCTTCACAGCTGGACGATGAACAGAACGAAAGAAGTTATTTCCTTGTATCGATCCTTGTTGAGGTACGGAAAATCCCTGAAGTGGACCAGCAAAGAATATTATTCTGGAAGAATCCGTTCTGAGTTTGAAAAGAAGAAGAATTTGACTTCGCCTGCTGAAATCGATTATTGCCTTAAAGTGAGTATTTCTGAACTGTAGTCGAGTCATTCAGTGAATGAAACTTCGAACTCTTCTGTCAGAAAGGCTTGGAATTTCTGGCGAAGAAGCGACTTGTTTAGAAGATGGGGACTTTCCGCGTCATTCTTCGGAAGTATATCTTCAGCTTACCATCGTTGAACGAATCAAAGGGCTTCGCTACAACTTCATGCAGCAATATTCGCAGAGATCAGCTGGACTTCACGAATTTCCCGAAACTCGACGACAAAGATCTTGAAGAAAGTTTCATCAAGGGAGGTGGTCCTGGTGGACAGAAGGTCAACAAATCAGTCAATTGTGTTCAGCTCAGACATGTTCCCACCGGTTGGTCGAATAATCAGCTCGTAGCTCCGAATATTGAGGGTTTAACTAAAGTAGAATCTCGTTACAACGAATCTCATGATAACCAATTATTTCCTACAATTAATTTGTTCTTCAGGTTCCCTCCCAAAATCTGTAAGGTTATTCGAATACCTTTATAACGACTTGGTTGTGCTCTTTTTCAGCTGGATAAGAAAATCCCGCGGCTCGAAAATCTCGTAGGCCCAAAAATTTCGGGGGCACAAAAATCCTGCAAAGCACAGAAATCGGTTGAAAAGTACACAGTCTATATTCAGAGAAAATGCAGAGATTAAAGCTCCAAATGAAGGCTACATCTTTCTCACGCTCTTTAGGAAGGTCATCTTAAACTACTAAACCGTTAAAATGGTTCAAAGGAAACTCCAAAACACTCTTTCACAAATGGGTGATCGATAAGAATTTTTTTTTACCGCGTGGTAAACGTATTTGGATTGTCATTTATACTTTTTTAATAATTCTGAATTTGTCTAAACACCATCGCCAACTACAGCCACAAATGGAGACCTTTTCTGATGCATGAATTAACTCCTAGGAATTTTCGTAAACCCTCCCCCCCCCCTGGCCATAGGATTTTTTTGGCTTTTGGCATTTTCGACCCACGAGATTTCCTCATTTATCCTTCTTTCTAGATCCCAGCATCTTTTAATTATTCAGTTTTAAAGAAATTCTACTGTACTGTAATAGTACTGTATTTGCGTAAATATGAGAATTCTCCGATTTTTATGGTAAATAAAACATAATTCAAAAATGGAAGGCGGTTTTTTAATTGTTGGCGTCTGATTTGCACCTTAAGTGTCGTGGAAGAGGGTCACCTGAAGACTTGCCATAATCAAGATCATTACTATTTCATCAGCTCGTTGAACCCATTTCTTCACTGTGGATGCATTTTAATCATGATCTAACCTTTATTTCCATCACTTGAAAAAAATTTGAAGGAGGTTTCCTGTTGAATATTTATTTTTAATGAAAAAATTTGTGCAGAGTTTAGCCGCTGTGTTGAAATTTAATTTCTCAAAAATTCTTTAAGGCGATTAACTGCGTCTTAGGTTTGTCCGCAAATTACGGTAATTTTTCGTAAGTCGAGGAACCTGCGAATGAAGGTTCGTCTTAACTTAATGACCTCACATTTGCGTAAATACAGGTACTGTATCTCGTTGAATTGAATCTTTCATTTTTGCTTCGATTTTAAATGCAGTACGTTTTCTCTTTCAGGATTGATAGTGAAAGTGCATCACAGCCGTTTTCAGCACGACAATCGCAAAATTGCGCGAGAACTTCTGCTTGAGCGGTTGGATGAGCACTTGAACAAGGACATGAGTATAAGCAATCAGAAGAAGCGATTGCTTGCAGAAAAAAGTAAACGCTCGAGCTCCAAGCAAAGCAAGTTCGCCAAAATGAAGGCAATGTGGAAGGAACGCGAAGGAATAACCTGAGTTCATTTTTTTGTTTTTATTCTAGTGATTCTAAATTAGCGAAATTTTCTTGTTTATTGAATACAAATTCATGTACTTTCGGCTGGTTTTTTCAAATACAAATTTGAAGAGTTGAAAGTTTTTATTTAATTCTGAGTGCTTGTGCGAAGCTTCCTGCTGTGGACTCTTGTGTCGATGCGCAGGTGAGTAAAAAGCAAAAATTGGTGAAGCATTCCTCTTGCTTTCAGAGACCGAAAAAAGGAAGAGAAGTTTTTCCAAGATTATCACCGTATTTTCCAGATTGATCACATTAGTTGTGTGTCGAGATGTGGTCTCTCGTCAGAACCGGAGTTGCCAGGATTGCGTCCTCCAGCATTCCTTCATCATCACGCGTTAGATTCCCATCAGTGACGACCTTAAAACCATTTCCTAACCGACCATTGTTTGGTTGGCTAAATTCAGTCTTCAACAAAGTTGATGATGACCGAGTGAAGGAAGTGGGTCCGGATTTGGCGGCAGCAGAATGGTTGCTGCGTTGTGGAGCAGGCGTGAAATGGTCGGGCAGTTCGAAGTTGACAAAGGACTACAATCATTTGCCCGCAAAAGGCACCGGCAGCAGAATTGAAGCAATAGATGCAACGGAAGCGTGTGTTATGGGTTTGGGGTTCCCACACTTGCGTGGACTGGAGGTTAGTTTAAGAATTTTCTTATTGAAACCCATGGTTTTTTTTGTTGTTCTGGTTATGATTGGCGTAGTGTCAAGCCCAATTGAGCGACGCCCAACTGAGCAGTAGGTCAATAATCTAACTTTTCCTCAATTGGAAAATCGTTGGCATTACCGGCGTTGAATAAAAATTAAATGAAAATGCATCACAGTAGAATTTTGTTGAAATGAATTTCGGTATGAAAAATGATTGCTTAAAAGTTAATTCTTCGTGCTTCACAGTTGTCCCAAATTTTTTAGATAGAAATTGGAGAACATTTTTGGAAAATGTTATCCAATAATGAATGCATCAACCATGAAAAACAAACCCGGTAGCAGATCTATTATTTGAAAAATTCGAAGATTTTATGACTTTTTGCGGAAAATTCCTGTTATTGTTTAATACTGTATTACAATATCTTTGAAATAATAAATTTTTAAAACCTGATGACCCAATTGAGCGAACCGCGGGAAAAAAAAATGTAGCAGCTGACTGGGGTCTGTGAAACTACTGAGCAGATCATTTGAAGGAAGTGAAAAAGTTATTGGATTTCTTGTGGAAAATTCCTGGTGTTGTTTAATATTACGGTATCTTTAAAAATAATTTATATTCTAACCTTGATGATCCGATGGAGCAAACCTTAACAGAACTCTCGAGCCGTAAATTGTGACCCACGTTTGATAAAAAAAAATAAACTTGTACTGTCTATTGTGCAGGGCGTGAAGGAGGTGAAACTTGTTCGTTGCGCTTATCTGGATGACGAAGCACTCGCTTACCTGATCAACCTCAAGCATCTCGAAAAGCTCGAAATAATCTCTTGCGGTAACATAACCAGTGCTGGTCTGCATTATCTCAAGAGACTTGGTCAACTCAAAGAGCTCAATCTCTATGACCTCCCAGAAGTCCCGCGGATGGAGATGTTGAAGGAGCTGCAAGAAGCTCTTCCGAGCACCAAGATCCAGTTTGATGATGCAGAACGAAGTCAGGCTTCGAATCATGAATCCTGAGTTGAATTTTCTCTTGCTTAGGATTCTCTGGTGATTGTGAATCATGCTGTCATTTTGTATTGTTCTAAAATGAAAATGTTTTAGTCTGCAGTCTGAGGGCATGTTATAAGTTTTCGATGGCTCATTGAGAATCTCCCTTCAGGATAATGAAGCTGTGATCTCGAGGTTTTGTAGTCGAATGTTTTTGGAGCTTGATTCATCTGGGCCAGGAAGAATTACTCATATAGTATGAGAGGTTATTATTCATAAATTGAATTTTTTTTTTATAAAAACGAGCCATAGAGGGCTTATTGATTCATCCTGACCTTCAGTGAAGAGGAAGAAAGGGATTGATTTGTCGCCTGCAGTGTAGTTTATACAAGCCATTTTTGGGGGCGAAAACTTGAAATTTTCCTAAAGAAGGATTGCTATTGTTCCATCTAACAAATGTATGATGATGGAACCAATAGTGTTTGCTAGCCAAGATCCCTTTGTAGTCTCTTGTTGGCTCTTCCTTTTCAATTAAAAACTAAATATGGCTGAGCTCCAGGCTTGAATAAAAATTAAGCTGTATCAAAGATGTAGCAAGCATAACTAATAGCTTCCCTGGATACAATTTTTTATATTTTTAACTTCATTTTTCAGATGGGGCATGGTTTTGGGATTGTTTGTAAGAAACGTCTAGTGCTTTTCCCCACTCAAAATTGGTTGAAGATAATTTTTAAATGTAATGTATCCTCAAGGTTTCAGTATCCTCAAAGCATTCTTGATAAAAAATTAGTTGGCTTCAATCCATTACTTAAAAATATGCAGTTTAAAACAAAGTGAAGTTCCAAGATAAATTTTAAATAAGTAGTACAGTACCTCCATTTCTCAAATAGACCAGAGGATGCAGGACAACAGCTCTTGCATTTCTGCAATTTTTTAAAAGAGGTTGTCCCACTTTGGCGTGACCTTGGTTATATATAAAGTATTAATGACTGTACACAAAATTATGATTTAATCCATGATGTTGTGAGGTTCTGGGATTTTTCAGGTAAGAAAAGTAATTTACTGCTCAATGATGAGTGAAAATTTTCCAGTTTTGGCCAGAATTGTCCACCCATTTCACAGCGTGCTAAAAAATTGAAATATTGTTCAAACGACTATCTTTTCTACATTTAAAATAATGGTCAAAACTGAAAGCAACGAAGAATTTTCAATTACCTGCTGACCTGACGTATTTTAGCACCCTGTGACATATGGGTGGATGACACCGACCATAACTGTGAAGTTTTCACTAATCATCATGCTGTAAATTTGCCTTTTTTTTTCAAATCCCAAAAAAAGATCTCAGAACCTTACAACATCCTTGACCATTTTTTTTTACATTCATACCTCCTCTACAAATAACTAAGGTCGCGCCCAAGTGGGACAACCCTCGTAATTTTACAAGATTCTTGTGTCTGATCTGTGCACAAAAATCGGACGTACTCGTATTCGAAAAATTTTTCGTTTATTCAGTGTGTTACTTTCTGGCGTATATATTTTGCAATCTTGTTTTTTCGTTTGTGCTTCTGAATGAAGCAATGTCGTGAAATATAAATATAGACTTGTGCATCAACTTCGTTTGCAGTGCTTGCTGTTCGTTGATTCTATGTCTCTGCTGATGAAATTTTGACGTCTCGCCTCGTTTCAGGAACCGTCTCGTCCGTAACTATGGTTACAGCACGTGACTTCCACTGCTGGAGGCTCTTTTCAACCTCAATGCCCCTTTCTCATCATCGTCAAGTAAGTTTCCGGAGACTTATCATTCAATTTAAAAACACTGTATATTAATGATACTGTATATATTCTTTCCCCTTCTCTTTCCAGGATGCCATTAATTTGATCACCACTGAAGAGAATGAGGAAAACGTCGTTTCGCGAAATCCGCTATTGATTCAGCCATTGGCAAGAACGCGTCGTTCCGGTGAGCTATTTGATGAATATTTATCTTTTGAACGCAAAAAAAGAATATTGCGTGTGGAAAATGGATCATTTGCGTTGAACGAATCTCACTTGCGAATGTTCTCGGTAGTCCGGGCGTTTGGGGAGTTGATAGAAATTTCGGAGGTCGTGATTCCACTGGATCACGTGCCGTATATGAGAGATTATTTTCATAAGTTGTCAAAATTATATACGTCCCTTGTTGATCTCGTTTTGGATGGATGGAGATGGACTTACCGTATTTACTCGAGTACCAGGCGCACCTTTTTTTTCTTTTTCAAAATTGAGAGGAAATTAGGTGTACTTCACAGTTGAATGCAATTGGAAATTTATGACGAGAACTATTTTGAAAATTCAGAAAAATTGAAAATTAATTGAATGCTGGTCGACTTCGCATTCTGTTGCCTATTATTTTTGAAATACGGTAATTTTTCAGTCACTAAAATAGGGCTGCGCGTCTTATTACATGGGGATAGGATCTCATCAAAAATGTAGGGTTACAAAATGGGGTGCGTGTCTTAATTATTCGAGTAAATATACTGTAGTTCTCATGGAGTATAATACTGTATCTAATAATTTTCCAACTGCTTTCGAATAAATTTACTCGGAGAGGAGGACTAGAGTTGAAAGTGCCTTTTATTTTTCCCTGTAAATTAGCTTCGCCATCTGCAATTGCATGTTTCATGAATTTTTCAGCAGTCGCCGAACGTCGAGGCACTTACTCGTACAGTATTTCCGAATCGGAGTTGTTTATGCCTGTCTCAGTTTTGACAAATATGTTACGATGGAAAAGGTTCTTTTGTTGGTTTGAAAGAGCATTGACACTTTTTTCATTGGAATACTCAATGTGGAGGTTTTTTTGAAATGTCAGTTGAACAGCGAGTCAGGGCTGCAAATGAGAAAACTCTGGGCATGCCTTTAACTGAGATTTGTCACTGATCCACATCAAGGATCCTTAAAACACGTTTCTTATATTTGATTGAAGAACTGATGAAACTTTTGTACCATCCCCTCCCTAGTGTGATTTTATTTGCATTGCCATGTTTTGATTCAGCTTGAGGACGGATTCGGTGTTCCGTGTAACGCACGAGAAAACTTTTTTGTTCTTTGCTTTGTGTGTACTTACCCAACTTTTGCCGACTACGTTATTCAACGCTGGCTCCATCCAAAACAAAAAAACACAACGCTCCTCAAGCTTTTTTTTCTTCTTATTTTCGTAAGCCATGTGTTTTCATCTTGTGTACAATCTATCATCGTACCAATTTTCTCTCTTCCCCTTTTTTTCCTCCAGTGCGTTCTTGGCACGCTTGTGTTGTAATTTACTGCCAGAATCACGAGACACGCACGCAGTAAGGGTTTGTGTTCAACTTGTTTCTTCTTCTTCTTTTTTTTTTGCCTTGTCGTCTATTATTGCTGCAGCGTAAAGAGCGAGCTCAATTTTTCGCCGCTTTACGGGCGTTCCATGAGTCACGCTTCGAAGCAGTGTTTTGTTTTTCCGCTCCACAAAATTGAAGGTACAGTGATGGTGGTTCCGTTGCGGATTGTCTCGATTTGTCGCCTGCAGTGTATTAGTGTACAAATTGCTTGTTGGTTTTCGGTTCGTTGAGAGTTTAGTTTTTAGGGGGAAAAATATTTATTTTTGTTTTCTTTGGTGTGATTTTTAGAGATTAATAGTAATTCCGGCGAACGAGAAGATAGGAGATGATGCTCTTGAGATTTGAAGTTGATCTTGAAAATCTGAGCTTCCGAACCTTGACCTTTGAATATGTTCCGAGCTGCGAAGAGCATGATGTAGTGTGTGTGTGGACCAAAATAACTTCATTGTAACGAAATAACGTATTGTACAATATAAATATTAATACCGGTGGGTTCTACAACGAAATGCAGGGGTCCAGGAAAAAAATGCATCTTAGAGTTTTCCTGTAGAGATCGCGTATAGAGGTATACTCTCTCTACAACGATTTTTGATGTATAACGATTTTTTTTTGTCCCACAGGTTAGTATACGCATATGTTATAGGGGTTCTCTACAACGAAATTATCTCTTTACAACGATTTTTTTTTCGGATTCCTTGAATTTCAAAAATTGTAGAGAGGATCCACTTGTGACATGAGAAGAGAACCATATGAGACCACAAAAAAACGTTATACTGTACGTTTAATACGGAGAAAATCGTTGAGAGAGTCCTCCTGTATATTGATTCTCATTTTGATGACTCTGGAATGGTTTGAACAAAGGGAAGCAAATTATAGCAAATTATGCGAATTATTTTTGGAAGGATCGACATTATTACTTTAATTACATTTATGCATTCACGCATGAATTATATTGCAACAGATTTTCGCTCCTTTATTTGTATCCCGATCGTTTACATTTTTATTTCCAGAATTACAGTATAAGGACCCCATTCGAAACTAACTTTCGAGGATGGAATAAACTCGTATGTCCTCGAGAATTCCAGTCGAGATTAATTCAAATTACCTGCTTAGAAACGTAATTGCTTTTCGGTGAATACTCCGGAAATTCAAAGAAAATCACTTGAAAAATGATGAAGGAATGCCGTAGGATTTTGAAACTTTGCAATTTGATTCTACATGTTCTTGAAGTTTATAACTTCAGACCCTGCGTTGAAAGAACATTCAGTAGCTGAAATTACCCAAAATGCGATCACTAATATTGTGGTGATGTATTCTCTCGTCGAATTATTTGTAGCGGAAAATGAATTTATCGAGACACCGAATTGCCGCGAATTCAATGCAGTAGAATCTCGTTACAACGAATTAATGCTTACGACGAATTTGTTCTTTTGTGTTGTTTTTGGTCCCTGTCCAATATAGCCGTAATGCTATTTTAATTTCGTTTCAACGGATTTTCGTTTATAACGAAACTCTTTCATGGTCTCAAACGCTTCGTTGTAACGAGATTCTGCTCAATAGTTTATCGTATCACCGTGTTGCACTTGTGTATGGTTCCTTATGTATACTCATCTTCCAAAAATGTCAATCCTGTTTTCGTTGCGATGTAATATTTTGTAACGAGTATGTAGATTATGTGTCATCCGGATTCGCGTGGTAATACAGTGAAATGTTTTTGCAACGAACTCTCAGGGACCTGATGACAAAAATTCGTTGGGACAAAAAATGTAGTGTGGCACTGTAGTAAAAAATGCATCCAATTTTCATTCAAGTGTCCAAGTGGTGTAACTCCTGCATCATAAATACATTAGTTTGTGCATCACCAGAGCACCTTGTCTTCTTATGTCCAGCATTTCATACTGATAGAAACAAGCTTAAGAGATATTTACAAGTACTGGAATTCAATGAAGAGACCCTTTCTGAAATCTTGAAGGATCAAGATAAACTGTTGGCTTTATATGATTTCTCATCAAAGATTCTCTGTAATCTGTTCATTCAACTAAACCTCATACATAAACAAGCTGAAGATCTTCTGCTTTAAATTAATTTTACATATATTTTGTTACCAATGTCAGGAAATGAATGGGTGTACACGTATGCAAAAATGTCAGATCTCCAATTGTAACTCATGTTGTATTGTATTTTTTTTTTATTGATTTGTGCTTTCCTGCTCTGAAGTGATTAAATGTCATTGAGTGGATTTGG